ACCGTTCCAATGAGCTATAGATCTTCGCGATGCGATGATCCGTTCCAGAGTTATGGCTGTTTGTACAGTGATCTATCAGTGCGTACGGTACGTGGACTGTACAAACAGTATAGTGCGAGTGTACTCGTCATAGCCCAGACGCGATGGGGTCTGCATGACGAGTATACTCGTCATAAACCCGGAAAGGGTTAAAAGGGATAGCAAAGGTCAGAGAACCTTAGCTAACAGTTACATCTTGGATATGTATACTCCGAAAGGTACATTGGTGATACGAGCAGAAAGAAACAAACAAGTTCCTTTACCTAGCTTTCTAGGTGGTCAGAGCAGTGAAACACTGGCACCTCGGAGAGTGCAGAAGAAATATATGCGAACGTTATCACTGTTTCGACATTGCAGTACTGTCCACCCCAAAATATGCTGTGTATTTCTGGCTTCACTACGTAGCTGCTGCCACTCTCACTCTCTAAGATGTCAATCTGTCGCTGCTTTGACTGCCTAGAAAGGTCCAATGCACTACAAAGGAATGTCTACAACTTGTGACAGGCAATGGAGATTTGCTCCCTATGTTGTGTTCACGTAATTGGAAAGCATGTGTTGTATACGTAATTAATACGTATACAGGTCTACACACTTACAACACAAACTGGCCTTGCACCACGGAAATATCTTACCTTGCGAAAACGGGATGACAGGCGAAAGCATTCCGGCTGAACAAGGTCATGGCACACAACAAACACACACACACAAAATCAACAATTACAAATCAAGTACTCGAGCCAGTTTGAAAACTGTGGAGCTGAAGGTGAAGGTGGAGGTGGAGGTGACAAAATTAGGTGTGATTATATTGATAGATCAAAAGGTGAGGTTCCACTATCACGACTGGAAGACAAGATGAGAAGATGAATCAACTGACAAAAATGAAAGAAGGGTACTTCACTACCTTCCAGCAACCTCAGTACCTTGTTCTGTGGATGGATACTTCAGCAACTTGTTCCATGAATGACAGTTGTAAGATACACATGCATACCTCGTGGATCGTATCAGATTCCACGACATGGTACTGTGGCCAGGATAGTATGAACTGCACCCTGATACATTTGATAGAGTGTCAGTGTACAATACACCGTCTACTGTCCTTCCTCAAGCAAGCCACAGTGCATAGTGAGTTGCATGGCCTTGAGCCAATCATCACACAGTACTGATGATAAAGTGGTGGGTGTGTAGTGTGTAGTGTGTAGTAGTGTGTCAACACAGATAACTTAGACTCACCACAGTCATCTCCGCAACAATCTCAGAGACGATCTTGATCCCCACAACACCTTGGTCGCCATCTCCCTGCGTAAGCATAAAGCATACACACACAGACACACGGAGATACACAGACACGCGCACACACACACACACGCATACACACACACACACACACACACACACACACACACACACACACACACACACACCAGTGTGAATATAGAATGCTGGTTTGCGCACACAGTCATACACGACTCGGACTGTGACCGATTCCAGCTACACACCACTGTGTAAGGTATAGAAAGAGCAATGCATAGGAGCACATGAACATAGGGCACACAGCCGCACAGACAAAGACAAAGACACAGACTTGCAAGTACATGTACAGTCAACTTTGCGTATAACGACACTCGGCGGGGCATCAGAAAAGTGTCCTTATTCGCGAAGTGTCCTTATACCCAAAGTCTCATTATATGTACAGTTAGATGGGACTTTGCTCTGGGTAGGGCCCGGCGTAATATGCCCGAAATTTTGCCGAAAATGCTTTTGGAAAATTCTCGTAAACCTTGCTGAAAATGCTCCCAAACCTTGCCGAAAATGCTCGGAATATGCTCACTTTTTTGTAATCCTCAGCACACGCCGTCAAAACCAGGAAGTCAGAAAATACCGGTATTTTACGACTCCCTGGTCAAAACCATATTTTCAATTCATAAACAACAAGAAGCTAACCCACGGAATGCGGAAGTGACGTTCTTGTTTGGGAAGTTTTTCTTCTCTCAATTTTGATACACAACGGCCAAGTGCTTCGTTTCCCCCAAAATGCTGCATCACGAGCCCATAGTGCTGGGTTCGCGGATTGTACCGAAAATGCTCAAAAAAATGCCGGCATATTACGTGGGGGCCTAGCTCTGGGCACGGAAATTCTGTCCTTATTCGCGAATTGTCGTTATATCCGCAGTCGTTATTAGCGAAGTTGACTGTACTGTGAAATACGCACATTTTCCTGAAGACACAGACCAGGCAACATTCGCAAATGCATGCGCACAAAGCAAGCAATGTGTGCTGCATACTCTCACATGCCACCACTAGCATACCCTACCTGAAGGAACTTCTTCACTTCTTCAACGACATTGCGGAAAACGTAGTGACCGTCAATATTGCCCATCCAGCCAAGTTTCGTAATACGAGATACCAACTATAAGCACATACAGAAGAGAGAAAAGTCAACGAGAGAGAAAAGTCAACGAGAGAGAAAAGTCAACGAGAGAGAAAAAGGGAACCAAATGCTGCTAGCAGCATCCAACCTCCAGCATGGCTGTATAAGCACAGCGCTCGAGACATACAGAATGAACAGACATGCACGTGTAGTGCACTACTCTGTTGTGAGAAAATCCAGTGCTTTCACGCTCGAGGTGGAAGAAACAATATCTCTCTGCTCTCTCACAACACCAGTGATTTAGCAGATATTATAAACAATGGGGACCAAGCAACTTTCCTATAAAATTAGCGTCGAAGTCACTATTTCTACCTCGAAATGCATACAATTATTACTTATTACAGCATGTAACTCCTTCCAAGGCAAAGGCTTGGTGGGGTGCGGGTCGCAAGAGTGTCATAGGCTTGGTGGGGTGCAGGTCACAAGAGTGTCATAGGCTTGGTGTGGTGCAGGTCACAAGAGTGCCACCACACTGTGATTGGGTGCAGGTCACAAGAGTGCCATCACACTGTGATGGTGCTAGTACAGGTGTTCTTACCTTGGTGAACGACTGCAGCACATACTGGGGAATTTTCGTGTTGCTGTACAGGAACTGCAGAACATAGTTCCCTGCAAGGGCGGAGCGACACAGCACAGGTGAACGAAACACGCTTCAAGTCAAAACAGCGCGTGATGACTCACCGCTCGGAGAGTCTCGAACATTTCCGAGAGGATTTTAGAACGCACTCTTAGTAAGAGAGCTCTCGTCTCCGGATGCCGCCACTGACAACAATTTTTTAAACTATTCGATCTAATCAAGACCACTTTACAAACAAGAGCGCGATTCCTTGGAGCGAAAATCATGCAGAACACCAACTTCGCACGAACATAACCAAATACTGTATAGCAGGAAATTTTCAGACTGAATTTATTTTCGTACGATTTCGTACACGGCCTCTTTTGTACTAAAATTAATTCCATACTAAAATTTGTTCCTAGATCCTGTGCAGTTATGTATACTATACATGCGTACCACATGCGAACACGTGCATTTAGCATGCAGCACTGTACGAAAATAAAATCCGTACGAAAGGTCGAAATTCGGCTTTGTCCGAAAATTTCCTGCTATACAGTACTCGCAAGCCTAGCCACGAAAGATTATGTGAAGTTTTGCATAACTGCTCTAGTCCCCGCCACGCGGATTTCATTGTGTAGTATTCCACATGGCATGTATTGAATGAGTCAGCACAGACAAAGGGCAGCAGCTGTCCAGCAGTCTGTTGTCACTCTGAGTTTCATGTACAGAGTGAGCAAAGACGTCGTCAACTTGATTTCAAGAAAGCACATACGGTGTCATCGGGTAGCCTGGTTTTAGTACTGACATACATAGAGATACGTGCTTCGAATAGAAGCCTAGCCCTGACATCGGCTTTTACAGGAATAAGCACGGCTTTTATACGCGACATAAGGGTATGTCAAAAAATACCCGATAGGATACCCGTGCTACCCGGATAGAAATACCCCAACCCGTTACCCGACCAAACCCCAACCCGCTCCAGCCCTAGAAGCACATGTGACACAACCTAGTTTCCAATAACACTGCCAGTCCAGAATACAATTGGAATATGCTTACTGAGGCCCAGGCGCTGGTCAATGGTGAGAGTGTTGGTCTCCTCGGAGACCAGCTTAGTCAATGCCGTCGACGACACAAGAAGAGCAAATGGGTTCTAATAACATGGAAGATAACAAACAGGACTCCAGCTAGAAGTATGCATCCATGCTGGATGACTTGAAATACACATGCACACACACACACACACACACACACACACACACACACACACACACACACACACACACACACACACACATTATCCCGACCTAGGACTAGGTACTCTCTATTTGCTCTGACTACACTGCCTGCACACCCAACACTGTACCAGAAACAGCTAAAGAGAAATTACAAACTTGTCCGTTACCGGCCATCATCAGTGAACTACAGTAACTGGCCAAACAAATGCTCACGTGTTAGCTGTCGGGGGGGGGGGGGGGGGGGAGAGGCATAGCCAGTGCAGAGGGATAGTGTCCAGATCAGGGTGTGGTAAATATCTGGCCAGTAAATACAGCACTCCAGTCTGTCTCATATATGCCAACAAGGGAATAACATCCTCAGAACCTCCTCTCTCAAGTACATGTACAAGCACAACAAATTATGTGCCGACTCCCTACTTGAAATAATCTATGACTGTGAGTCTGCTACGTGCCCCTCCACACAAAGCAGTGCTGATTTTAAATTGATTCTAAAATAATTTTAATGTGGGGACCAGTTCCGGCTGCATGAATAGACTTCACGCTTAACTCAGATTACAGACCCTTCTGATAATTTTATATTCTTCGTACTTAACAAGCCTTGATTGTCCCTGTTGTTCTGTACATGTACAGCGTGTACTGCAATACGCAGGAGAATTTAAATAATTGGCAAATAAATTCTCAAAGCTTGAGAAAGTTGATCATACCGATGAATTGTTGAAGACGAACTGGCATTTTTCAGCAAGGTCGGAAGCCTGGGTGAAGGAATTAAGTGCCTTCTCCGCGGATGCTCGAGTCTCCCCATCTGGCGATTGATAAAGTTGATCACATAGGGCCTCCAGTTGCGCCAAATGCTAAAAAAATATATGAGCCAAAGACGAAAACTAATTCAGTTCTTTGCACTGCCACAACACCATCGCGGTATGGGTGTTTTGAAATTTTACCTGGTGATCCATGATGGTAGTCTTGGGACCAAGCCAAAGCTGCGAAGCACAATATACTTCTTTTCACCTAGACCGCTTCCTCCATACCCAAAGCGTTCCCCGATGAAAATTAGAGAAGTTTTCACTTTCCAGTTCACAAAGTACAACTTTAGCCTAAAAGTAACGTTAGTTTAGATTCAATTTTGTGATCATGTCAGTCACTTGTTTTGTATGTTCCCAATGCGGTTATTTCTGGTTGGGCGTCATGGTGATAAGCGCCATTTACATGTTTTTGACGTCATGGCAGGCAACTCCCCAGGCCGGCAGGCCAGGGCCAACTCGACCTCAGTCCATGATCCAGTTACCTGGTTACAGTCTCCAGTCCAGTCCATGATCCATGAATGACCATGATTGGCATGATAAAAATTTAAATATGAATCATTGATTGAATGATCCATCCACGTGCCACCGGGATTTTCGCAAAACTCCAAAAATCCGGTTAAAAAATTACGAAAAAAGAGGGCTCTGCATGCGCTGTGCACGTGCATGCATTATGTGCCATATATGCGTATGGCATAGGGCGCACGCAGATCTACGTACTGGCTAGCTAGCTAGCTAGCGCCGCTAGCTTGCGCGGTTACCAGGTTACAGCTGCTATGTTATGACCGTACATGGCCTTGACGACTTGGACAAACAAAAAAGAGAATGGATAGTGTAGATTGACTTGCTTGTGCCAAAAACTGAAACCAATTACTTTGTTTGGTTAGTTTGTCAGCTTTCCTTGTGAGAAGATGGTGTGTTGGCTTACTGTTACCAGCAGTAGCAAGTGATGGGGTGTGTGTGTGTCTGTGCACTTGTCACTGACTTCGTGGAATTAAAAATTTACCACCATCTTTCCATAATGCTGAAAAGTTTGTTTGTGCCGCTGGGTTTGTTCAGTAGCTGGGCTGTGTTAGCTGTAGCTAGCGTGCTGTTTTCTTTGATGGCAACAGCAGCTAGTTCGACGACCGGTGCACTTCGTGATATGTCCTATTCGTCTTTCAAGGCGGTATGCACGGGTATTCCAGGCTGTGTGGATCCTCGCTCAGTGAGTGTGTTTTTCAGCGATCGATGCTTTCCGCCAGTTGCTCAACGATCGAGACACCACCAGTCTCTGTCGCAGATCGGTAGATGTTGCGTTGAGAACGGCACTTCTGTGATTGGGTGAGCCCAAAGGCACTTGCACTGCACTAACGGAGTAATCATCAGTGTATGTCACGGACATCATGATCATGTGCATGCTTCTGGCATAACGCTACATTGACATTGTGCACGCATAGAGATGAGACCTCTAGCCCTGGCCTAGACATGTTTGTACTAAATTGTAGTTTGTACAAGTAGTTAGTAGTGTAATCACTGGCTCAGTGGAGTATCATGAAACTGAGCGACATACTGAGACTGGAGAAAGACAAATGCGCTACAGTACTGTCGGGCGCCGAAGAAAGAAGCGCTGAAGAACGAGCAGGCTAGAATTTCACCAGTCCCAGCATACCAATGTATAGGCATGGTGGCTAAACGGTGCAGCTTACTGTAGACTGTAGTTCATGAAAATAAGAAACGGTCTACACTTTGTAGGAGGCTAACCCCCTCCCCCCCCCCCCCCCCCTCCATTTCTTCGGCGACCGACAGTACTATGGACCCTGTAGTGATGCGCTATGAGTTAGAAGACTGCAGCCATCTCTTCATGAGTGCTGTGATGTCATTGTGTATGAATGTCACCACTGGGTGAATGAGCGAATGGGGAAGCTGGGACGGGTGAGACCAGTAATAGGGCTGGCAAGTGATGACGTCAAAAACGGCCAGGGAGTAGTAAGTTGACGTCAGATTTCTATTTTGGATCCACTAAGGCTGTGACTTTGCTATTGCCTCAGTATGTGGGTGCATAGCAACCCACTCATGTCGTATGCAGGGGTGACTTTTACTTCGCCACCAATTGTAACCCCGCCCCCACTAGCCAAATCAGTCAGCTTCACTGGTTACATCACCTTGCTGTGAGTAAGACGGCTTGAAATGTGCTTGGATCCATACAAAAACTGGATCCAAGTGGATCCAATTTTTGAAATTGTTGCTATGCTGTGACGTAGCACTTTCAAGCCCTATTGTGAATCCCATAGCCTAGTGACCAAGACTGTACAAAGTGTATGATAATGGTACTTCATACCATAGCATTCGGGCGCGCTAACAACTTACCGTGAAAGATCAGGGTTCTGCACACGATGACCTGTAGCAATCACGGATGCAATGGTGACTTTGGTAGACTGTGGCCTAGGGTAAAGCATGGCCTGCACCGGCAACACCGAAACTGAAGAACTAGCCTGGGCTGACACCCTTATCTGGACACAGTGAGTGAATCTAATATGGACTTGATGGAAGAAGGCCCTGAACTGAAGTGATTGCTTGTCAGTTAATAGAATTATTACATGTACCAATCAAACGGTTGCACCGCATTGTTAGTCGGATAGTGTGGTCGCCACTGACACTGTGACCCAGGCTGTACGGCTGATCTTGCACCATTCATTGGGGATTGGGGGATACTCTGTGGCAGCAATTTTGGACCTGGTGAACCCGGAGACTATATTTTGACTTTTTAAAGGTTCTGAAAGGCTGTTACCATTGCTAGACCACCGTGGCATGATTTAGTGATCAATGTGCCTGATATTCTTATGTTGCCTGTAGAATGGACTTGAATGGCTGCTCCGCTACGGTGAATGCTGATCAGCAGCAATGGCTGCGAATACCACAAACCGTGCAGTGGATGTGAGAAGCTCTGCACTACACACAGTGATGCATACTAGTATAACGTTACCGTACCAGTACACTGTGACGCAGCTTTCGCTGGTGTTTTCCTTCCATACGTTGTGTGCGGCGTCCCCGGAGTGGACGCAAGCCTTTGGGCATATGTGTATGGACATAAGCTTAGACGACGCCTGCCCCACTGGCCGGGGTGTGATCTGAGGGTGTGATCTGAGGGTGTGATCTGAGGGTGTGACAGTCTGTTACTTATACAATTAGAATATACCTGTAAGCAGGTTAGGAACTTGCTAGGGAAAACACTGCAGTAGGGAAAACACTGCGTGTTGTGGTGATTCTTCTTGGTGTGTTGATATACTGTGGGAGCTTCCCCTACCCGGCCGTTGCTGCAAAGCCATGTGTTCAGTTTCTGGATATGTACATGACATGCGCTTCATGGACAGTTGTTGGACCGCTCCGTGTCGGTGACAGATACCCCTCCCCCTTCCATACGCACACGTACACACATACACATGCATATATACACACGGACATAAACGTACGTGCACACACGCGTACACACATACATATCCGTACAAGTGATATGCTGCTAGTGTGTACTGGAATTGACTGTTGGTATCACCCGCTATGTGGTGGTGTGTGCGTGCGTGTGTGTGTGTGTGTGTGTGTGTGTGTGTGTGTGTGTGTGTGTGTGTGTGTGTGTGCGCGCGTGCATGCGTGCAACAGAGACGTGTCCAACACTACCAATGGAATCACTTTCGGTGGTAACTTTACTGCTGAGTCCAATGTACCGGCTGAGTTTCTACTACTAAAAGGTCTTGCCTCACTTGAATACCTGTAAGTTATTCCGTTTCATTTTGCTCCATCACCTAGTGTTCAAATGCTGTTCCTTGTGGGGAAACTGTCGGCCTAGTGGAGCTGGCAACAGTACTAGTACATGTACAATGCAGGCATGCACATGTACGCTACCAGTAGCTGATAGCTTGCGCACACAGACGTTTTCGCTAGCTGCTAAGTTGCCATGTCACTATGGGACATATCCAGCGTTTGTACCGCGGGGTGTGCCGTGTGTCCTGTGCCATGTCATCATGGTAGCTGTGTACTTGCTGGCTGTTTGCTTGCCTGTGGGGTGGTTGGTGTTGCATACCGGTAACACGAATTATATGTAGCTGCATCACTCAGAATTGGAGTCTGTGATGCAACGGTGCAGCCGGAATAGCTGCTGCAGACTTTCTGAAACTGAGAACACATGGTGTTAGCCGATGACAGTCGTTACTATGGATGGCTTTCCACCCGATGAAAACTAAATGGTTGATTTTGTTGAGCTATAGCAGTTACTTGTCACGCCGTTATCATCTCTTACCTGCTGTTGTTCATGCCTGTGCATGTGACATCATGGCCTGTTGAATAGGGTATTGCCCGCTGATACCCAATGCCCTGGACCGAATGGAACATGGAAACAGGTGATCGACAACAGCACAGTTACTGTCTGTAGTGAACCAGTATCAGCCTGTTCTCTACAAGGAGGTGAGTGCATCATGCGGTAACACATGATGCAATGCCATTGTGTCACGTGGCATGATGTCAGAGTGTCACGTGGCATGATGTCAGAGTGTCACATGACTTAATACCACAGTGTCATGTGACTTGACCCCACAGTGTCCCATGACTTGATACCACAGTGTCACATGACTTGATATCACCATGTCACATGTCGTAATGCCACTGTGTGCTGTTGCAGTGAACTTGTACTGAATAAAACACACTGAGGTCATGCTGCTGTTGTGGTGTCTCTTCAACATTCTGGCATTCTGTGTTTGCTTTCCTCACAGCTCTAGTGTACCTTGGGAACCAGTCACAATGCTCCGCAACCTCAGACTGTGTACCAAACGGACCTGGTATGTGGTGTGATGAAGTGGCGATAGTCACGGTTTCTAGCTGTCATGTTGTATTCCAGTTCCGATCCACTTCAAGCATGTTGCTACCGTGACCGTCTGGCAATACTGCTGAACAGACTGGACAAAAGTGTACAATGTACTTGTAGGTGCTGTTTTGACTGGATGTGCATGACCCACACAAGCTATTAGGTGGCCTATGTTGGGCTAGTGCTTCGAAGTACTATTAGTACATGTACACAGCATTTGGGGCCAAAGAAATTCTTCTCCCCATATTGGGTCGGTGACTGGTGCTACACAACCATGAAGCCAAGTACGAGTCGTACGCGCCTTGTCTGTTCTTAGCTTGCTTTGCTATGCCGTTGCCTGCATGTACTGGCAGTCGGATTTCTTTGGCCACAACTGTATTTGAGTGTATGTGACATGTGCTGTGTGACTTGATGTGTCTCGGTGCAGGATTTCGTAGGTGTGAATGCCGGCCAGGCTATCGGGGATACCAGTGTCTTAGAAAGGTACATGAATGCTCAGCACACTCTCATTCGCTATGCTGCACGTAAACTTCCCAGCACCAGTGGCAGTATAGTATTACTAATATGATGTGCATTGGTGGCCACTTTGTTAGAGTGTATTACAAGCTGACATTGACAGCATGCATGTAATTTGAGTTTTGTGTAATTCACTGATTGTTTGTAATGGTACAATGTGTGTGCTCCTCCGTGGATATGTCGGGTGGAGTAAAGTCTACATGTATCTGTGGTGTTACAATATACATTTCCAGGGTCACTTCTCGTACGGGAATTTCTTTGCGGCAATCATCGCCACGGTATTGGCAATAATCGCTGTGCCTCTGCTGGACAGACTGCGTTGGATGTGGTATGTATTGGTCACGAGGCTAGGGGCAAACTGACGTACGCGGGATGACCCACGTCTCTGTCTGCCTCTGGCTATCTCTCTCTGTCTGTCTGTCTCTTTCTTTCTGTCTGTCTCCCCTCCTCGTATTATATGCCACCTCTCTTGCCAGTTTGATGTTTGTGATGTGAGTCTGCACCAGGGAGTACTAAAACGATTAAAAATCTCTTCATTTAGTACTCCCTGGTCTGCATGATATGGGTAAGTAGGTTACAAAGTAAAGTCTCAGTGCACTCCATGCTACCTGTCCCTGGCCCCAGTGGTGTGTACCGGCATTCTGCATTAGTAAATTAGATCAATACGTTTATCCCTATGCTTTGCCACTCTGCAGGAGAAACAAGTGTGTAGGTCAAGGAAGGGCATTGCAATATCCCTATCACCAAGTTATGGATAACAGCCTGTGTGACGATGATAACCAAGATACTGACAATTCTACCGGCAGCCAAGAAACCGAGATCTAGACCAGTGCCGCAGTGTGAGCAGCTAGTGTGGACATCATGGATCCTGCACTTGAACAAACCGCAGAGATCAATGGGTATGTTACCATGGTTACTGTGACAGGGACCGACAGCATAGTCTACAGCACGATTATGGTTTTCTACCGTCGTCGCATGCACTGTACATGTACTCCCGATCCTGGTCATGTTGACACAGGGTAGTGAGCAAGTCTGTGGATCACCAGCTACAAGGTACACTGCAAACTCTCCGGCTTCACATTGGGCTAGGCAGTGACTGTACTGAAATCACTAGCAGGCCGTCCAGGTTTGACTTGTGTGGCAGTCAGTTCTCCTCGCTCTTGTAGAAAACAGCAGCTGGTTCTCGTGCACGTGGCAGAACTGCATTGTGCACTCTGAGACTACGGCGTACGGCAATTATCTCTCAGCTCATGCCCAGCGCAGTCATTACAAAGTATTTATTTGTGATTCCAGCAACTTCTTGGAAAAACGTGCATGCGCAGCACGGGTAGAACTACCACAATTATTTATTTTTTATAATAGCTGAGCTATGACCAATCCTCTTATTATATAAATCATGGAGTTACATTTTTTTAATAGTGGTCAACATCATTCTACGCATGCAGCATCAGCGTCCAGTCGACATGTACCTGCTCTCACTGCTTGCTTCGCAAGATTACAGCTGCTTTCAAAGTATAGTCATTAGATGCACTCGCTACTTTCTTGCATCTTTCTCACACCTCCAAGTCCAGGATTTATTATAAATACATGTAGCAGCTATTTATTTCTCCTTTTCAGTCAAACAGGGGACAGAAAGGTACGAGATTGTAACTCAGTTTCATGCATCACAGTGCAATCATCAGACCTATTAATTTTCTCCATTTCAAAAGACAGAATAACGAAACACAGTCAGCACCATTCCTTTTAAAATTGATTGCATGCAGGAGCTCAACGTTCTATGTTCAGAGTTATTGGGCCTTGGGATGCATGCAACCCGTGTGTTGTGATTGAGTACCGGACGCAGCCAGCCTGTACATCATGGGGTTGGTTGCTGTGTTGAAGAGCGACTTACTTGATGATACCTTGTGATCCTAAAGCACCAATGCGTTGCTGGTGACGTCACGCAAATTTAGGATCCATTACATAAGTGACCAGTTATATTTCTTCGTTTCCCATACCATGCATCCATGCATACCATGCATACCATGCATATGCTGGGTTCAACCTTGGTATTTTTAACCCTTCAAAGTATATACAACGCTGTGTCATAATGACCCAACGCTGTGTCATAATGACCCAGCGTGTGGACTCTGTTCGAATAACCTGGTAATAGAGAAAGTAAAAAGAGAAGGAGAAAACAAGAGAGAGAATAATGAAAATGACAGGTTGGTGATAACACAGTGGTAATAACGTAGGGATATTCTGCAGATGAGCCAGCTAAAGAGCATGAGTCCTGGACAAAATGCACAACAAACAACATGTGGACACGTGACAGCGAAGCAATTCCCTGAGCAATACAGCTATAAGTTATTAAAGATAATTCAATCAACACAGCTAGCCAGTCTTACAATGTATGAAGTACATAAACAACATAATGTCATGGTCCAGAGTGCCACAGCATTGTCACATAAAACACACACACACAGACCAAGACTGAGCAAGAAAAGCAACAAAACAGATCGTCTTGTGGAAAAGGAAGCAGTGCACCAATAAACAGGTGCTGAGGATAGAAACACATGCGGAGCCTGCTTTGCGATGAGTATCCAGGAAGAGTAAAACGCGAGTAAAGGGTTGATAATATAGACATTCCTGCCGCTGCTGCTATCTACTCAATGTTGTTAAGAAACACATACACCTTCTGCAGCTAAAATTCGAGGCAAGACGAGAGCGAAAATAAGAAAAAAGTAGAGGAAAATCAACAAAATTTCCAGGCGCGAGAATATCTGGAGAGAATACCAAACAAAATCAAACAAGAAAGCAAATTGCCAAAGCCAGCGCCCAGAGGGCTGACAGCAAGACAAGCAGCAACAACAACAACAAACGACAAACTCAACAATAGCACAAAAAACACCTAACTCGCTCCAACGAGATGCACAGTATTCAAAACTTCCTGGGAACCCGGATATTGTGATGCTTGATGACAGCCAACAGATCAGCCACCTCCTGACCCAGAGTGGATAAATTGTCCTGCACAAGAACAAGCACATGTATAGCAAGAAAACCAGGTCATTAGGATGCACCAACACGTGCACGCACACACACAAAATGCCCCAACATAGAATGACATGCTCAAGTTGAAGTGGACATAACAAGTAACTCGGGGTGTGCAGCCAGAGACTATTAATGACCAGCACTACCCAGTATAACGTCATACCAGACTGAGAGTCTGTACCAGTTTCGAGCACCATCTCCAAGAAAGAATGAGTAGACTAGACACTTCACACTTCAACAAGCTAAGTTTAAAAAATAATGGTATGAATGTGGCTGGACATACTAGTACTGGGTACACATGTGCACATACAGTCATGTAATCTGAACTGGTCCAGGATGCTTTGCACTTTGGGTTGGATTTCCCAGAGCGCAACTGTACATGTTCAAAATCTGATCAGCAAACTCTCTGACCGCCACCACCTGCACATTACGACTTACTTTCAGTGTCATATTCTTTATTAGAAGATCTTCAAGCACAGCTTGCATCTTGGAATTGATTTCTAAAGAAAGGTTGAGTGTCATCTTCTGGTCGACCTTGCGTGAGTGGAAGACAGACGCCATTATGCCTCGCTGCGGGCCTGCCTGCAGCTGTACCGTGAAGAAACAACAAGTGCAACAGGCGCACCTGAGTGACAATGGTCTGTGTGCACATGGTGTGTGGGTGTGGTATTATGTACATGCATAATATGACGTCACATCGGGACTACTCCCCGAAGAGCTAAGTATTACACATCCCACAAGCACTAAGAAGGCAAAACCGATTCACTAACACAGTCCATCAGCAGATTATACGACGTGACTTCCACCTGGGCACAAGTACAGGTAGAAGCAGTGTGCAGTGCTCAATGTACAATGGGTGCACTAGCATGTACATGTACATGTACCCCGTACAGCCAGTCAATCCCAGCTGCTCCATACCTTGTAACTGTCTAACGATGCAGGAGAAATACTACCAGAATCTTGACGTAGAACAAGGCACTGAATAGCTCTACAACACAGAGGAGGGTGCAGCAGCAGCAGCAGCAGCAGCAGCAGCAGCAGCAGCAGCAGCAGCAGCAGCGAGAAAGGTTGGTACGTAGAATCAGCATGACAACAAACAACAGCAGCAACAAAGCTAGTACAATCACGTACTAGCACACTGACAGTCAACTTATAGCCAATCCAATCCACAAAGAAGTACACTGATGTACGCGTATGGCTATGCACAGGTACAGCCGTGATCGATGAAGTCCAACCGGAAGAAAGAGGCAGCATCATTGCCCAGTGCACGGCCCTCTGTTTGAAGTCCACAGCACATCATAATCTACAGCTTGCCTGCTATTCATGAGATCAGATCTCACGGAGCATGACCGTCCCGGGCCGTAGTGTTTGTGTACATTCTACTCTGTACTCTACAAACAGCAAAAGTATACACACACCCGGTACCCGGTCAAGCTGAGATAAACCATTGGAGTTCTAAAATATTACAAGTTATTCATGCCTGCCTGTATGTAACTCACCTTGTTTTCCTCCGAATTTCCTCCGTAAGCTCAATGATATGACTCTCCATAAACTCCATCTTCTCATCCTTGCTGGCATGGGAGTTTTGTAGACTACCAATCTTGCTGAGAAGCATTCGTCGCTCTTTCTCTATAACCGCTGGTGGTCGTTGTATGCTGACACTCTCCAGATTGCTGGAATCTATGTCAGGTGCTCGTTCCGTAGACGTGGGCACAGAGACGGATGCAGGCCCGGCTGACGTTTGATGTTGTGTACGTTGCTCGGGCCCAACAACACGGCCCACGGACAATGACCTGATACGCTGCGATGATGAAGTTGATGCCGGGTTTGCCGAGGGACTTGTAGTGCGATGGTAGCTTGCAGGTGGCGGAGCAGAGTTACCACGAACAGCCTGAACGAAATAAGCATTCAAAACACAAACACACCCACACACAAACACACACACACAGGGAACACCCTCACAAAAGTCCATAAAGCAAACAGAGGCAGGTCTTGACCTACCAAGTATGTGACATGGAAACCAAACAGGAGACTGCAATACCGAATGTTGCAGATACCAAAACTGTACCCGGCCCAGACCACACCTGGTCCGCACCATACACAGTTCACACCATATACAGTCCACACCACACACGGTCCACACCCTACACAGTCCACATCACACCCCACACAGTCCACACTACACCATATACAGTCCACACCACACCATATACAGTCCACACTACACCATATACAGTCCACACTACACCATATACAGTCCACACCAAACCATATACAGTCCACGCCACACCATATACAGTCCACACCAAATACAGCCCACACCACACCATATACAGTCCACACCACACCATACACCGTGCACACCACACCATATACAGTCCATATCACACCATACACAGTCCACACCACACCATACACAGTCCACACCACACCATATACAGTCCACACCATAAACAGCAGGACATGAGATTGCAAATGCTGAATACACTGTACGAGACAACACACAGTGCAAGGAGTGATGTGCATAGCTACATGAGTCATGACTGTATACTGAGTAATGTAAAGATAGAGGTACTCCATTGAGTCCAGAACACTTTCATGAGCTTTGGAGATGGACAATAATGGTATCTGGTGGCAAAGAACATGATTCATTGAGGCAGGTTGCCATCCCTGTCGGCCTTTCCTCCCCCGGCAGTGCCCCGGCAGTGCCAGTATAGCGGATAGCAATACAGTGCAGGGTACTGTAATCACAAATTTTCGGTGCATCTCTTTCATACCTAAAATTTCAACAACCGAACAAACACTGACACACGTAATCCAATAGGGAACTGCTTCTCTGTACCTGAAATTTCTATTTACCTAACCTGGCCTTTTGCCCTCATACCGAAAATTTTGAGCACCTGAATTTTCTGAATTAGAGTATACGGTATACAGTGTGTACATAATTAATTAATTATACAATATAGATGATTGTAGATGTACTTACGTCTGGATTGCTCACTCCTATCTCTGTGCCATAGGACTGTACAGACATTCACAGGAAAGAAGTATACAGAGTACACACACACACACACACACAGTACACACACACAACAACTGGATTAGTTCAGCTATCTCCAACAGAACACACAGTCAATTGCATGAAAATCTCTACTGGATGTGTGCGATGGTACAGGACAGGTACGGGATACTGAAGCTAGGTACCGTCCGTCGGAACATGATCGAGTCGTCCCCACATTTTTATGTATACATGACACCAGCCTACACTCCATGCACTCTTGTCTACATGCATGCAGGCAGGCAGCTCCTTGCAGTGTGGGCAAAACATGAGGCTGCTCACACATGGTCACTTGGTCACATGCGCGCAAAGTGGGTAAGGGTACTGGACCATGATTTCTGCCACATGTACTGCATTTAGGATATCTCGGGAACAGAGCTTACTGATGTTGAGATGTCCATGTCGGATGCATAGCGCTGTATAGTAGCACCGCGATTGGCAGCTGATGAGCCAGAGCTGATACCGCTTTGCAAACGAAGCTCTTCTACATCCAGTTCACCGGTTTTCAAAGCATCCACAGTTCTGCAAGACAGTTCACACAAAACAAATGATATTTTGTTAGTCACAAAAGCAAACACACCACTGTACCACATGGACACACATTCCATTGCCACCATGTTGGTTCGTTTGCACCATTTCATCATAATTCCTATCACTTCATGTTCCTAATTGAGCCCCAGTCTTTTGCCAGGTATCATTCCGGTTATGAAAAGCAAGAAAGTGAGAAGCCCTACATGTAACAGTAGTTACAGAGTACAAAGAAAAGCAAAATAATAAATAAACATAGAACAAGTCTCCGTTATATGACTTGGGTGCATGACTAGATTAAGCACAGCATAGACAAGCCCAAGACTGTTGTTTATGGTGTCGAGCTGCATGAAACATGGACTGCAGGCTACAGGGGGTGGATGTCTTACTCTGGATAGTACCAATGTGTCAACAAAGCATGTCATCCTGTCAGTTACGAACAACTACAGATCAAGATACGGCAACAGCTTGCTAGAATCTGGAAACTAAAGAGAAGCTGCCAATAACGCAGGCCCTAAGTGAGAAAAAGAGTGGTTTAACTTACTTCCTGGCCTGTAGGAGCTGCCGTGTCAAGTCCTATTGCAACACAGAACAGAGAGAACAGAATCAATGGCGGTTGTTTTCGTTGTTGTTGTTGTAGTTGACTATGCTGCTGGTGTCTGTTGGTACCGGAATAACACCATAGTGCTTCATGGTTATCATCACTCTGATGGTCATTCTGAGGCAATGCAATGAATGTACAATGTACTACCAGACTAACACACCAGAACAATCTAGCAATATCCAATATCCAACATCAACAATGTTACACCAACAGACTATGCGCAACTGTCACAAGTTCTTAAAAAAATCCCCAACAAATTTGTATACTTCATCATCCGCACAAAGGTATTTCTTATAGTGGAATGTCCATCCATTCCTATGCATTTCCAATTTTCCATTCATGAGAGAGGGTCGGAAACTCCGGCAAATAAACTGACATCATTGCGGTGCAACTGGCAATATAGCTGCTGATTAGTGTTGCACGTAGCTGTGGACGTACCTTTACGCTAGCGGTGTTCTTTCGCTTCAAGACACGCACTTCTCCCCTCTCGTCATCTAACAGCACTGTTAGCTGTTCCACTGCAACACGCCAAGCACAACACGCACACCATAGCATTTCCATACATTGGTACAGTTCCAATACAGACGGTTGAACGGCATTGGCAAAGGTGAGCAACACAATATCTTGTAGGTAAAGCACTGCATAAGCGGATAAAGTTCAGATAAACTGGATCTACTTACGCTGTACGGAATTAGTGCAGGTAAAGCCTAGCTAGTGTGTGGATTACATCATCTACTACAGCAGCAAGCCTAGCTAGTGTGTGGATTACATCATCTACTACAGCAGCAAGCCTAGCTAGTGTGTGGATTACATCATCTACTACAGCAGCAAGCCTAGCTAGTGTGTGGATTACATCATCTACTACAGCAGCAAGCCTAGCTAGTGTGTGGATTACATCATCTACTACAGCAGCAAGCCTAGCTAGTGTGTGGATTACATCATCTACTACAGCAGCAAGCCTAGCTAGTGTGTGGATTACATCATCTACTACAGCAGCAAGCCTAGCTAGTGTGAATTACATCATCTACTACAGCAGTTCACAGTTCTTATAATCGCACACGGCCAGTGGCATAAACAGACGTGTGCAAGCTGCACTCAAGAACGTGTCCGTGGACAATCTCCAGCAAAAGGCAAACTGCAGAAAGTCGACTACCATTAGTAGTAGGACTAAAAGCAGGGCATGAAAACAAGAACTTACCGGCCTTGGTTTTGTCATCTACCTTCGCGGAGAGTTTGGATACTTCAGTCTTGTACTGCTGCTGGAGATTTTCAAACTCCCGTTGCTGCCATTAGACCAGCAAGAACATAGCAATTTCCAAAGAGATACACACGAGCAGAAAGGATCAATGCACTGAGGCAAAGAAAGGGGCACACAATTATGATCACAGTCATCATGTATCCTTGATGTACATGCCACTATCACATATATAGACCATTTGAAATCGCAGAAGGAGACCACCTAAAATGGACACACACACACACACACACACACACACACACACGCACGCTCCGAGCTACATTACTATTGCTGTGCTCACCAGTCGACTTCGTTCCTCGGCCAAGTGATCATGCTCCACCTTCAGGTCTGAGTGACTGTTCCGTATTGCTAACAGCTGTTACAAAGAAACAAACACACAGACATGAGTGGTGGTTGTTCACTGACAATGATACACACTCACATAGGGTCAGTCAGCAAGATCATGTAAAGCGAGACTAGATCAAGATTAACACTGTTCGTGGCTGTGGCAAGTCAGCTTACATCATCAGAGATTTTGTTGTTCTGTGACTGGAGCTCAGCATTCATAGCAGCCATACGCTGATGAAAGGATAGCATCTCTCCTTCTCGCTGCTGCCGCTCACCAACCTCTCCTTCCAACTCAGAACGAGACGCAAGAACTTCACCAAGTTCAGAGCTTAGAGTTGTGACACGTTCCCTTTCTCTGCAAAACAAAACAGCACAAAAGAAGGAGAAAATAGAACACTGGATCAAAATACCATACCATATTTCCTGATATTACCCCCCCCCCCCCACACACACAAAATACTGGTAAGAGTCATTCTGAAATTAGCCAAGTAGTTGAGAGGCGCTGGATTTATCAAATCGATGGTGCTAATTAGACACATCCAGTTATCCCATCCAGTTATCCCATTAGGCAAGGAGAGCATGACTTACTGGGTCAATTGCTGACGGAGCTCTCCTATCTCACTGATCCGAGAATTGAGACGTTCACACTCGCGCTGCCGATCTTCAAACCGGTCATGTTCTTTTGAAACGTTCTGCTGTAGCTCCTCCACTTGGCTGGTCTTCTCTTCAACCTAGCAGCAAAACAACAGCACATTGCACAGAGCAGCAAAGGCAAGGAGCGATCAGTGGGAGGAGGACTACCAGTAGGTCTACGTATGTTCTTAGTAATAAGAGAAGGTAGACATCTCCAACAATACAATTTTACATACCGATGTCTTCGCTGCAGACAGTTCTTCAGATGTAGTTTTCAATCGGCTTTGAGTGTCGAGAAGCTGTTGTGCGGTCACCTTGTGTGCCTGCAGTTAAACAGTGAGAACATGGCAACACACGCCATACCATTTGTACACAATAAATTACAAAGTCAGAAACAGCTAGGACCTGCTCCACCAACCCTTTCGCTGACTAGCAGCACCACCTGTACCTGAACCACTGCCATCTTCAGTACAACGTGTGAACAAAGTAACAAAGACATCCCCCCCCCCCCCCACACACAGCACACACACACACCAGGACATACAGACACACAGACACATGCACACCAGGACATACAGACACACAGACACACACTGTGCTTGCTCACTGCCAACACTGGTGACGTGGGTCTCCCCGGGAGAGGGGAGTCTCCGAGAGAGACTCAAAAGGAATCTTGGAAAGATGACTCAATTGGTTACTGAACCACCTAATGGCCGACACCCCTAAAATCCCCAAACTTTGGGTGGACTTGGAAATGAACCCACTTATGGGCTCACCACACTACAGTAAGTGGGCGAGGACAAGGTGCAGAAAAAGGATTGACGGCATCAGGGCATCCGTCCCGTGATCCAACTGCATTTACCCCTGCCCCTAGTGAAGGTAATACAGTACTTGCTATTAGTGTGGGTGACTAAATCAGAGTTCGTCTGGTATAAGCTTTACTAGCACCATGATTACACAAGAGTTCATCTCCACACACGCATGCACACACCAGGACATACATGCTGAACAGTACAGTTGTAACCTGCATAGCGGTACCCACCACCACAGACATACAGTAAAACCTGTCAAGGTGACCACTCGGATAAGGTGACCACCTGTCCTAGAAGGCCATTGCAACCAGGACCAATGGATGCTATTTCCAGTCAAATGACCCTGGATAAGGAGACCACCTGGCAACGGAGACCATGTTTTGAAGGTCCCTTGAACGGTCGTCTTAGACAGGCTTCACTGTAACTATTTCAAAGTAATGATCATGATAGCATGTAAACAAGCGAGGAGCACAACATGTACATGTACCAACCTGAAGCTCAATGTCGTTCTCCTCCACTTTCTTCTTCAGCTCAGCTTCGATTTCTCGAATGCGGCCATCAAGCTGTGTGGAAGATCTCATCGACTGGTTCTGCATGCACAAACACACAAAACAAAACAAAAATGGAATAAAGAGCGGGACAGCCCCACAAACAAGTCCCTAGTCCACGTACAGCATATGCATCTAGTACATGCAATGTACTTCATGTCCTTATCCATGGTAGACCAGCAGGACAGCACAGCTGACTTCTGGCTACCAGTACATTGCATCTAGTACAGAGAACTAGGTCATAGCAGTTCCTCAATACAACCGTGAAATGTATAACTAGACAGTCACACATGCATGCAGTACAGTAAGCAATGCATTCAGCGCACAGACAAGAGTATGGAGTACACTCATAAACACAATCATTATGCCATCCAGTCAAGCTTGTCTACCAAACAATCACCACCTGCAACAGTTTCAAAACAGACCGAGCTGGCCAACAACAACAATCATGGATTCTGGGGATATCTAGCAAGCTCTGAAGTTATAACTCTCCCCAAACAAATGCACTCAGAAGTAGGGATGTCATCGGGTAGTAGGGTACCCGTGCTACCCGTAATTAGAGCAGGTATTCGGGCGGCGGTTTGTTCCCGAGAACCTGATCGGGTAGTGGGAGTGCGGTGTTTTTGCAACGGTGCATGTAAAAAGCACGGCTACGTGCTTACTGTACACGTTCTATGTAGCGCAAGTGCACACTCGCTGTATAAACCATGTCAAAAAATACCCGAGAGGGTACCTGTGCTACCCGGATAGAAATACCTAAACTCGTTACCCGACCAAACCCCTACCCGTTCCAGCCCTACTCAGAAGGCAACACAACACCACCAGCCCAAAAAGTTCTGCAATACGTTGGAACAAAGCATACCTGAACGTCGGTCATGGTTTTATCGTAGTCTTTGCGCAATTTGGACATTTCCTCCTGAACAGTACTGAGATGTTTCGATGTCGTGTCCAGTTTACTCTTTGTCTCCTTGTGCGCTTCTGTTTCCGCTTTCAGCTTGTTCTGTGCCCAGCTGAGCTTGATGAACTGGCTCTTGACATCATCTTTGCCCTTCTCCGTCTGCTTCTGGGTGTCATTCAGTAAGGTTTGCTGATGTCACAGTGAGCAAACGTGCCAACAAGGAAAAACAACAAAGTTTAAGTAAGTGGATGGGAGGAGAGAGAAGAAGAAGGCAAACACAGAGGAACAGAAAGATGCAATAGCTAGCACAGTCGCACACACATAGGAAGAGAGAGCAAAGATTCAATAGCTAACACGGTCCAAGTTAAAGATGCACTAGCTAGCACGGTGCAAGTCCTTACCACAGACTAAGTAAGTGGATGGGAGGAGAGAGAAGAAGACGGTGAACACAGAGGAACACAGAGGAAGAGAGAGCAAAGATGTAATAGCTAGCATGGTCAAAGTCCTTACCACAGACTCGTAATTAGTTTGCCACTTGTGCACTTCCGTCTCCAAGGACTTGGCCTCTCCTTTGGCCTTTTCAGCTTCCTGTAGAGATTGAAGACAGCACAAGGATACATGTAATAAAGAAGTCAGGTCACCAAAATGAAACCGTTGAAAAAGTGGAGAGAAATTCGTGTTATAAAAATCATACAAGTGGGATTCAGTGACACGTTTGGGGGGGGGGGGGGGGGGGGGGCTCTACAGGAACCTTGACACTAGACAAACAAAAACCAGCACATGTACTCTACATGGGGAGTAAGAAGAGAGGCAAGCGGCAAGGGTTGCTCTTGCAGACTACAGTAGCCTACGGGGTCGATCGATCATTCGAGAGAGAGAGAGAGAGAGAGAGAGAGAGAGAGAGAGTGAGAGAGAGAGAGAGAGAGAGAGAGAGAGAGAGAGAGAGAGAGAGAGAGAGCTGAACATGAAAGATGAAAAGAAAGGAAAGAACTGCGATTGATAGGATGTAGATAGACTAGTATGGCACACCCCGAATAACAAAGACCCTCCCTCCCCCCCCCCCCCCCACACACACACAGACGTGGCCACAAACCTTTCTGACAGCGTATGAGGCAAGGTTATTGGCGTCACGCCATCGTGGAATAAAAGAATAAAAGAATAATAAGGTGGGAAGACATAAGGGAAAGGACAGTACTCTTGATTACAGCCAGTATCGCAGTTTAGTAGGATCCTAGTTGATGCAATAATAGTTGTAATCAGGGGTATCAGGGGTATTATCCCCCTTCAAGGTATCTCCTCCCACCTTGCCATACGAGCCGTCAAAATGGTCTACATCACACCACCAATGAGCCAGGACCTTTTATAGATATAAATAACACAGAAGAGGCTAGCAAAGACAGTATCAACACAATGGCGATAACAAGATTCTTTGTTTCTTCTAAATACCTGACGAAACTGCTGTGTCAGCCGTTCTGCTTTACCCTTCTCCTGGACAGCAGATTGACGCTCTTCTTCTTTCGCTGCAACCTGATCTCGCAAAGATGCAGCTTCCTTTTCTGCTGCGGCAGTTTTCTCCTTTTCCTGAGCACAAGACGGGTAGGCAAGTTACAAAACAAAGTCAGTACATACCGACATGGCTCCGTAGAGTTCTCACATCAACTTAACATTTGTGTACGTACATGTACTACACCAGCAGTGCTAGTTCACATTAAATGCATGTTTGTGCAGTGCCAGTACATTGTGCCACTTGCACACGCACATACACACACATGCAGTCAAGCATACACTCGCACGGGAAAACATACCTTCTCTAAATGTTTCTTAAGATCGTTCTGGGCAGAAGTGAGCGACTTCTCCTGCTCCGAGTGGCGCTGCTCTAACTCCTTGCGCATACTGGCAAGCTGCTCTTGGTGCTTGCCATGTTCAGCTTCACACTGCATGTACGTGAATGCAAACAAGAGTCATGATCAGACCAACACATACTTCTACTAGACTTGCATACAGCACAAAGTCACTAAAAGCATGTGCCACGGCACCAGCACCAGCAACAACAGTCTCTTGTTGGCCACGCACCACCGTGAGAATAAAAGATGCGGTCAGAAAAGCTCCCCAAAGAGCAAATATCATTGTCTCTCATTGCGTCTCATTTGCGTCTTTGCCTTTCTCTGTAGAAAGCTCGCGAAACTTCATCATGGGCAACCGTATTACTCTTTTCCACCAGAAGCTCACCTCATTACGAGCATCCTCTGCTGCTGATTCCTAATGCAAAACATCACAAACAAGTGCACGCACAGCGGCAATCATATCTTGCACGAGAACCGACTACAAACGAAGACAGCTCAAGGACAGTACAGTATGCATGCTGGGAGCAATACTCCATACGTGTACTGGTGAGGAATACTCTAGATACTTTTCCTTCTACTTGCTTCGATGAAGAAAGGTGGAAGTAAGCTTGCTTAGTTGAACTCACATTTAGCTTCAAGATGTCTCAGCCAAGTCGAGTGATGCGAGTGTTCGAGTTCGAGCTCGAGCATAATGCGAGACTTCTGAGGAACTACGTCTGTCATATAACTCTCGGAGAGTACCAGGATGCTAGTGTTTTGCTGCAGCTGACGGACAGGAGCATGAGTGAGCTGCTTCGCGATGATCTCATCGTGTTTGGGAGGTACAAGGTAGCAATTGTCCTCCAGCTGCGTTTGATGAAGCAGGATGGTGTCACCGGTGACAAGGTGGACATCAGCTTCATCGTGCGCACACGAACAACCATCGTCCTGAATGACGATGATGTTCGTTTCAAATTGGAAAGTGCTGCAGCAGAGATCGATGCTCAAATCGATGAATTTGTCCGGAATGGATCATGGATCGCGTCGAAGCTGTATATTTGGAAGGTGTGCTACAGGTGTTTGAACGTGTTGAGTACTCAGACGGCTCTGGAAAGTCACTAGCTGCATTGCAAAGACCATCTTGTTGCACGGACGGTGATGCCGCAGAAGGGTGAAAAGCTGCGTTTCACACAGTGCGAGAAACAGCTTCGTGCACCCTATGTGATTTATGCGGATTTCGAGAGCATCATCGCACCACATGCTCAGCCTAAAAGCATTGGTGAGAAGACCAAGCAGTACTCGGAGCACATACCCTGCTCTGCCGCATACATCGTCGTGCGAAGTGATGGCACCGTGACGGATACGTTCCAGCATACGGGTGAAGATGCAGTAGAGCAGTTCCTGACCTCCCTGGAACAGCAAGAAGTCTCCATTCGTGTAGATCTGGAGAATCGCCACCCGATGAACCTGACGCCCGACGAGGAGGCTTGCTTTCTCAACGCCAGGGATTGCTGGATATGCAAACGTCGACTTGGAGGGGATCGTGAGCATGATCACCATCACATGACGGGTGCGTTTCGCGGAGCAGCGCACAACTCCTGCAATCTTCAGCTACGCATCGTACCCGCCAAGGTGAAAATCCCGGTAGTGTTCCACAACCTCAAGGGGTACGAGGCACATCACATCGTTTGTCATCTCGGCAAAACGAAGATTGACGAAGTGACGTATCAAGATGCTGCAGACAAGGAGCATACGGAACAGCGGGGATCCATCAACATCGTTCCCTCTAACACGGAAAAGTACATCGCTATGATGTGGCGGCAGTTTGTCTTCATCGACTCGTACGCTTTTCTAAGCACTTCGCTAGATAAGCTCGCGAAGGTAACACCTCGAGAAGCGTTCGTCCGCATGCGTGATCTGCATGGTGACGATCCCGAGAAGATGGATCTTCTGCTTCGGAAAGGTGTGTATCCGTACGAGTATATGGACTCGTTCAGCCGCTTCGACGAGGACAGTCTTCCCCCACGAGAGAAGTTCTACTCGTCGCTGTCCGAAGCACACATCACTGACGATGAGTACAGCCATGCCAGAACCGTCTGGAACAGGTTTGATTGTCACGATCTTTACCTGAAGATGGACGTGTACTTGCTGGTAGATGTATTCGAGAACTTCCGCACCACTGCCATCGCCACGTACTCGCTGGATCCGGCTAACTATTACACGCTGCCCGGGTTGGCGTGGAGTGCACTGCTCAAGGTTTCCGATGTCAGTCTGGATCTACTTTCTGATGTCACCATGCACACGTTCATCGAGCACGGTATCCGTGGCGGAATCAGTATGAGCGTGCAGAGATACGCCGAGGCCAACAACGACCTGACCCCAGACGGATACGATCCCTCGCACCCGACAACATATCTACAGTACGTCGATGCGAACAATTTGTACGGCTGGGCCATGCAGCAGCCCTGCCTATTGGCGAGTTCAAGTTCGTGGAGGATATCAGCGACGATCTCGTGAATGACATAGCCATGACGCATCCTCACGATTCACCCGTCGGAAACATCGTGGAATGTGATCTCACGATTCCTGATGGCATCCACGATGCGTTGAACGAGTATCCTCCTTGCCCCGAGAACATGAGCGTGACAGATGACATGCTGTCACCACATCAGGAGCAACTGGCGCAACAGCTCGGCTTGGGCAAGCAGAAGGAAAAGAAGTTGATGCTCACTCTGCTGCCAAAAACTCGCTACGTGTGCCATTACGTGAATCTGCAGGCATACGTTGCGCTTGGCGTGGAAGTGAACGCAGTCCATCGCGTCCTCCAGTTCTCGCAGCGTCCGTGGATGCGCTCGTACATCCAGCTGAATACCGATTTGCGCAAGAATGCTGCATCAGAGTTTGAGAAGGACTTCTACAAGCTCATGAACAATGCAGTGTTTGGCAAGAGGATGGAGAATGTCCGCCGCCACTTGAACTTGAAGCTCATCCGCTCTGAAGAAGAGGTGGACAGACTGCGGCGCTCCATCGTCAAGCCAACGTACAAGCGCAGCATCGTGTACGACAACGAGCTGGTTGCGGTGGAGTTTTTCAAGTGTCAAGTGACCTTGAACAAACCCATCTATGTGGGTTTCTTCATCCTGGAGTTGTCGAAGGTGCTCATGTACAGCTTCTTCTACGACACTCTGAAGCCGCGCTATGGCGAGAACGTACGGCTATGTAACACGGACACCGATCCGTTCATCCTGCAGTACGCCACGGACGACCTATATGCGGACATGGGTGATATGATGGATCAGTACGACACGTCCAACTATCCGGCTGATCATCCTCTGCACTCCGTCGCAAACAAGAAAGTCGTTGGCAAGTTCAAGGATGAGCTAGGTGGGCGCATCATGAGCGAGTTTGTGGGACTTCGCTCCAAGATGTACGCCTACACCGGCGAAGAGTCCGCGAAGCGTGCAAAGGGTGTCAAGAAGTCTGTCGTGAACGACACCCTGCAGTTCTTGACGTACAAGGATTGCCTTCTGCGTGATCGACAGAGTATCGAGAGAGAGAGAGATGAACTTCCTGCGCAGCCGGAACCACCACATCTACGGTGAAACCATCCGCAAAGTGGCGCTATCGCCGTTCGACAGCAAGAGGTACATCCTCGACGACGGTGTGAGCACGCTTGCGTATGGACATTACAAGATACCAGCATAAAACATCATAGTGTAGTGGCAGACCCTTCGCTCATTTCATGAAATACATAGTTTTCTCATAAGGGGCCGTCCGTAAATATCGATGTTTTTTTCAAGACGATATTTGTTCATTTCTCGATGTTTTTTTCAAGACGATATTTGTTCATTTCTCCCCCCTCAAAACGAACATACACATGTTAATGCAAGAGATCGATATTTTTTAATGAAGTTCAATTTCCTCATGAAACGTGACCAGCTGCCACTCTAATGTCACCATACACCTAGGTTTACGTTGCCACGGTCGCACAACCTTGCCATGGCTATGCTCACGAGGTTGACTTTCACTTTGTGTAGGTCATAAACTACATGTTCGAACAGCGCCCGTCCATAGATAGAGTTCGATATTTTTTTCTGCAAAGACAAGACGAACAGGGCCCAAACCCCCTCCCCCCCCCTCCCCCCCCCCCCCCCCCTAACGAACGAATATCTTCTCTAAAAAAACATCGATATTTGTGGGCGACCCCTAATATTTTATTCTTACGCAACCGATTAACTTCCGATTTTCTTAGCCATTAGACACCCTTAGCAAACAACGGTAACGCTATTTTTTACGGTACTCGTACCTTGATCACCCAAATAGCGTTGAAGCTGCAGCGTATAAACGTTATGGGGGCTGATTTATCGTTGTGACCAACGGTACGTGTTTTGGCCAAATATTGCATAGTCCGTACGCATTTCACCTTGTATCGCGTATATGGTGACAAAAATGGTTGTACCGCGCGAAATCAAAGCTACTCTCGTGGCAACAGCGTACTAAAAATAGCGTGCATCTTGCTAAAGGTCGAACCCAAATCACGGTATTTTCCCCGTTACGATAATACCGTTACAACATAACGTTTTTTGCTAAGGGTGTCTATTCGCCAAACTTGGTCGGATAGCCTTTGAAAGATACCAGAGACGTATTGCGCTTCGTTTTAATCACTTTGTTCAGTCTCAGCCCGGTTTCTTTGGCTCGCTGCAGTTCACTTTCATAGAAACCGCCTGGAAGTTCTTCACCTTTTAGATCTTCCAACTGATACGTAACCGGATCTGTGAAGAGAACCTTCCTGATCTGAAACACTTCCTCGCTCCAATTTGGTGTGTAGCCTTTTTCAAAGTGTCCTTTATGTTTCGAGATGCGAACCTTCATTGCAACGTGATACTTGGGGGGGGGGGGTTGATCTAAGGGAATAAACCCCTACACCTACTGATCATGTCAGCCCGAACTAGAATGCCTAGCACTGGTGGGGAAGGCATGCCACTTTTATGTACAAAATCAATGGTGTCAGAAAGTGACATGTTTTCATCTAGTTTTGGATCGAAAGTTGACAGTTACAAACACCAGATCTACAATGTAGTAGTATGTGTGTATTTTTTTTTAAATTTGAAGCCATGGCAGCGTGACTTGCAGCAACACAGTGTGAGTGCATTGTATATCGGAGCTGGGAACATATTTATCGAGATTGGAAGGGTACGGCAGGATCAAGTATTCGACTTTTGTTTTCTCCAGCAAACAAAGAAACAAAACCTATGCACATCCCTTAATTAAGCCTGATTCATACTTCATTTCGCTTACGGAAAACGCGTCGTATCGCGAAAAAGTTGACTTGTATGTACGTAAACAATCGACGAGGAGACAATAGTCGTAAAATGGCAATAAATTCTGGACTGGACACCAAAGGAGGATGGAGGATGAGAGTAGTGATGAGGAGGAGTTTGATGTTGACAAGAGGAAGTCTGCAGTGTACAAGCATTTGGTGTCCAGTCCAGAATGTCGTAAGGTGTTTGACGATTCCTGGTTTAGTGTTATTCGTTGCGCACGTTTCTTCAAGCAATTGCAGGTGTTGGAAGCTGTGTATATTCGTACTCGTGACCCTGTGCTATGTAAACAGAAAGAAAACGTTGTATCACTCACACTCTTCAAGTAATACACACGCACCATTACATTCATTCACACAGTATCACATTCATCTGCCACTACCTTTCTCACATACACTATATTCACACATTGCAAAGGTGCAAACTTCGCTTTTTGTACTTGTTAGCTGCTGTATTTCTACCTGAAACCATATTAGCTACATGTATATAAGTGTGTGTTTTAGTTATTACATTTTTATGTGACGGCGTTCCACTGATGACAGTCACAAGAAAACGTTATGGAACTTGACTTTCTTCATTTTTGCTGTTGTTATGAGTGCACAATTTATCTTATTTATTGCCATTGTATGTATGTATTGTTTATTTTACTTCGCAAAGTCACTTGAGCTCAACTATTATGATCGTCGCGCGATGACTTTCCTGTACGCGAAATGAAGTATGAATCGGCCTTAACTCAGTCAACCAACACAGTCTCTCTCTCCCCCCCCCCCCCCTCTCTCTCTCTCCCCCCCCCCCCCCCCCCTCTCTCTCTCTCTCTCTCTCTCTCTCTCTCTCTCTCTCTCTCTCCTCACACATGGCCAACTACACACACAGCATGTCAACACAGATGTGCAGAACACACCAGACGGGTGGAGGTAACAACAGCAAACGCACCTTGACACTAAGACTGGAACGCAGCTGCTGCAGATCATCCATCAACTGCCCATGCTTGCTCTCTGCTTCTTGGCTATGTTGAGCATGGTGGCGTCGTGACCTGCAAGTATCAACGCAAGTACCCAGTAGTAAGTGACAGTAACCTTGGTAACGAGGCCTCACACCGATGGACACAACACAAAAAGGTGAGATTTACAGCAAGGAAAACGACAATCCACTTTCTGAACTTGGGAATGGTTTCTCCGTAACCAAGATCGGTGGAGAAGTGACACGATATGTTTGGTATCCAATATGCTTAGTCCGGAGACTGAATATTGGTTGGTTTGAGGGAACTGAGAGAATAAAGACTATTGTTTCACGCACAACAAGCACTTTGGCGAAATCAGCAGGATCACACGGTAAAAACTTCTACTAAAAAGCCTCATCTGACTTCAGGACCAACTGCATAAGATAAGTTACTAGTGCTTTGAAATGAACACAAAGGAAGAAAGCAAAGGAAGTGAAGAGCAGCCATTTCTCTAATCGCTGCAAGTCAGTATACACATGCGGTTAAGGCTTCCTGGGTGAGACCTACTCTTCTAGTTCCTTTGACCGGCTTTCCAAATCAGCAACCAAGCTGTCTACCCGTTGCTTCAGCTCATTGTTAGCAGATGTCAAGTCCCTCAGTTTGTTGGCATTCAGCTCCTGCTGCAGTGCGTGGGTTGTCTTGAGATCTTCAACTTCCGTGCTGACAGCAGCGCTCGACTGCTCCTCGAGCGCTCCATTCTCTACAGTGAACAACACACGTTGGTACAGTACAATCATACTTCAGTACACTGTAGTACATTGTAGTGCGATGAACAGAAACGAGTGCCTCCACTATCATACAACACGGGGTGGTGGCGGACTGCCGGTCATCCTTGCCACACTGGCAACAATTAACATCCGGCGAAACAAGGCACACAGACTGTCAGTGCTGAAGTGGGCATACACTAAGTAGGCAGCAGCGTGTACATGATCCAGAGCATGCCTCAACTGCCTGAACTGCCTGAATTTGCAGGCTATAGCCAGAGATTGAGTGATAGCCTGGCCTGGTTGAGCTTGGAGATCAAACGAGGTCCACTACTGCTATGATACCACTGTACAGTGCTTAATGAATAGTGTCAACCTGTCACAGTACACTGTGTGCCGGACACCTGTCCTAAAGAAGAACAAGGATACACCCGGGAATCAAGGACACCTTTCCTTTGTACATGCACATTTCAACATCAAAAAGGAGGACACATTTGAAATAGGGACAGTCCCTTGGGTGTCCACATTTCCCAGGGCCATTGCATTATAGTGGGCACATGTATTATAATACATGTACCATTTACGTGCCCATACGCACACAATCAGCAACCATAGACACATGCCTTAGACCTCAGATGCAAATTCATCAAATGTGATAACAGCACGCACGCGCACGCACACACACACACGCACACACACACACACATACACGCACACACACACCACACACCACACACACACACATACACACACACACACACTTTACTTGCTCACTGCCATAAACAGGTTACGAGGATCTCCCTGGGGAAAAAGGAGACGGATTCAAAAGGAATCTTGGAAAGATGACTCAAATGGCTATTGAACCGCCCAATGGCTGACACCCTGAAATCCCAGACCCAGGGTAGACTTGGAAATGATCCCATCTATGAGCTAGTCACACCACAGTACGTGGCGAGGACTATAATAATGTAGGTGCAGAAAAAAGATTGACAGCATGAGGGTATCCGCCCCAGGATCCAACTGCATTTACCCCTGCCCCCAGTGAAGGTACGTGTAACTCTTGATTCATGTACTAAGGTGGATTGCCAAATCGGAGGCACAAGCACACACACACACACACACACACACACACACACACACACACACACACACACACACACACACACACATACGTATACTCAGACACATACACACACACACACACACGCACGCACACACATACGCACTACTACTACTACTACTATTGACAGCTGCCAGAATTGGCCACGCCGCGACGTACTGTCAGAGGGGTTGGGGGGGGGGGGGGACATACGCACACGCACACGCACACACACACACACACACCACACACACACACACCTCACCTCACCTCACACACAAACACACACACACACACACACACACACACACACACACAATGTGCAAGTGCATAGCAGTACCAGATTTAGCATGCCCATTGTCCGAGGGTTGTTGGGACAAGGTCTGAGCTACCGCTTCCTCCACGTCAGCTGCCATCACAACGAGAAGGAATTTTGGTCAGTGAGAATGTAACACATTCAACAGTCCAACTGCTTATGAATGGAATGTGTCTTACCAGCAGACATTCTCCAACGTCAACCACCACTACATTCACGCTGTTGTTACCCAAGGCGTTGGTAGATCGACAAACATTCACAACTCTCCGGGTCCCTACGAACCGAAGGTAACTGTTTCATCAGTAAAACCCATTTCCACATAAGGGAATGTGGATACGTGACAAATTTATGGCATCAAGTCACCACAATTCTACAACATACAAGTATAATGATTGATGTTGGACGGTACTCTATGTCTATGATTCGCACAGGACTCGCTCACTTATTATCCACAGATCTAGGTCAGAAAGTCTAAGGAACGATTCCTCCATGAATTTGAGACCAGCTTTACTTATTCAGTTATTGTACCATTCCAACCCTCAACAAACTGACTACACTGCACTACGAAGTACACGACACTCGACAGTGAGTTCGGTTGTGTGTTGACCGTGAGCATTACATGTTCTGTGTTTGGCATCGTTTTTGGAATCGGCAACGGCACGGCCCGGCGGCGCATCGAGATCGATGTGCGCCGTGGGCAATGTTACCATGGTTACAAGTGGAGGCACGTGATATTGGGGCACACGTGATCACAGACCAGATCAGCTGCTTTTTTGTGCGTTCTAGTCTTCACGTGATCTTGTGGCGGGAAAAGAGCATGGGTCCACGTGGGGTCATTCAGTAGTTCGACCGTTGGTGTTGTTCAAGTAGTTTTGATTTTTCGTCTTCACAACTCTGGCAAGGTGAACTTCGTGCAGTGAAGTTCGTTTGGTCTCATCCCTTTCTTCAGTCTGTAGTTACTGTCTTCTTCAACTTCAAGATAATATGGCCGTGCAAGCTCCCAACCTCAGCCCCTATGAATTGCGACGAGAAGAAATGATTCGAGAGAGAAAAGCATTCGTGAGTAGCCAGCTGTTTACATCCCATTTCAAATTTGCATTTGAATTCTTCTCTTTCTCAAGGCAAGGATTAATGGTATTGTTGTTCATTGTTGAGATTATGTGTTCTTTATCTCGTTTGGCACTCTCTACAGCTGAAGGAACTTTTCCCCGAGGGCGAATTGGCGGCATTGAAACGCGACATTGCTCCGAAGAGACGAGCTCCGGTACGTGCTGGCAACAACACCGCAACCCAGTGTCCGTTTGAAAATCTTTGAACTTTTTGCTTGATTATCAACAGAGCCCTGTGACATGTACTAGTACAATAGTAGTAAGGAATGAAGGGATGTACATTGCATTGCAAGGAGGACGTTGAGATTGTTGTTCATTCTCTAAACAAGTCAGTCTGACCTGACCCCTACAACTACAAGGACACACATAAAAGCGTGCTAGCACTGTGTAGGAAACACAGTATGCTCTCACCCACCTATTACTTGCATTAAATTTGATGCTGTCTTGCTCCAGGCCCTCCAAGCCACTATTATTATTCTTATTATTCTTTTATTCCACGATGGCGTGATGCCAATAAGGACTATTGAATGTGTTGTTGCTTGACGCATTGTCTGTCGATGTGTGTTTGTTGGTCTTTTAGGCCAGCAAGCCACGCTCTACTCCACAAAGGTCAGCTCGTCTTCAAGGTCCGATTCGCAGGAGTGCTCGCCTAAGCAGTGGTGGTGCAAAGAAGTCAACAAAGTATTGCGTAAGTTGAGCATGTGGGTGGGGGGGGGGGGAGGGAGGAGGGGTGCGTTGTTTGTAGTGTGACGGGGTAGGAAAAAGAGGATCTACAGGAAGGGCACAGCACTTACAAAAGACACTAATGTACCATGGACGAAATGGCAAATGGTAGAATTTGAAAGCCAAATCAAAACACAGATTCAAGTGTTTTGCCGGACACGCCTAGCACTACTAAACATCTAGCAGAGCAACATCGCATGCAACAGTCACTTTATCATCATTATGTGTGTTTGGTTCTGTTTTCCCCTTGCCTTTTTGGAAAACAGGTGTGTGCGGTTAGGCGAGGTCTGACTGTAATGAAAGCATCATTCCAGGAGAAAAAATTGAAGGTTTCGGTCATGAAATAACAATCGTCAGGATTTTCTGGTTCTTTGTTTTGTTTATTTTAGGAACTTGAGTATGACGAGCTTCCGAAGTATTGCTCCAGGCCGAGGAGTTCTGTGCCGGTGCCCGTTGAACTGGATGATGACGCTACCCAGTATGACCCGAAAGATTTAACTCAGATAGCCCAGAGTACTTCAGAGAAAGTCTACGACCGAGTGGAGGTATGTGTAGCGTGTTGCAATGCTGGCCACCAGGTCACGGTGGTCAGGGCAGTCAGGATAGCCCCCTGGTGACTGGCATCCCGCAGCTGTGCACACTGTGACTGTCTAGCTAGGTGTGACTGAGTTCACACGTTTACCATGCATGCAACTAACTCATGGAGCAGTTTGACCCAGTGGTCGGGTTTCAGTGGCTGTACTGCCCGCCCGCTTGTAAGGTGGCAACACCAGTAGAACCCGACTGGATACATGTATATCAATGACTTATAGATGTGTTTCTGTAGAGGTGCACACAAACAAGCTACTTCATTCTGATAACAATGAGTACATAATCTCAGTTACCTGTCTGATGCTATTCCCGAGTTGTATAGGAACTCAATGTGTACCATTCTCTGTGTTATCCCCTGTGTGGGTGTGTCATTGACTTGCCCAGGGTTCCACCTGCCATCAATGCCGTCAGAAAACTAGGGACTTGAAAACGACATGTCGCAACAAGCACTGTGTCGGTGTGCGTGGCCAGGTGAGTGCCCAACGGCAGTGGTTGGAATGTGTGGTGTGTGGATGGGTGTATTACTCCCCTCTCTCTCTCTCTCTCTCTCTCTCTCTCTCTCTCTCTCTCTCTCTCTCTCTCTCTCTCTCTCTCTCTCTCTCTCTCTCTCTTGACGTCACAACCAGATGATGTAGCGCTTGCTCAAGCGTTGAACCCGGGTTCTTAATCCACCATTCCCAGTTCGCAAGGCTGGGCGGGGTTGTGAGCAGGCTTTCATTTCATCTTTTCTTATTATTTAAATCATGCACCTGCTTTCAGGCGTAAAAACCCTGTTGAGAAGTCTCAGTCCTCATTTGTTAGACTTACCTGTCTTTATAAATGTAACTTACTCTCTCTCTCTCTCCCTCTCTCTCTCTCTCTCCCCTCCTCCTGGTGTGTTTGGGCTCTTAAATAATGTTGCTGATGGCAGCACGTTCCAAGCATTGATAGAGCTACCATACTCGCGCAATTAGAATACCACGGGCCTCCATTCTACATGTATATTGGCACTGCTGTTGTCAGCCACGTGTATGCGCGCAAATAGAAACCCTGAGGCACTGCTTAGAAGATGGCTTTGTGGCGTTGACCTACATTATTCAAGAGAAAGAGGGTTTAATTGTGTGAGTAGAGTGTGCAATGTTTAGTGACACGTGGTGTACTCCATGTTGTGTGCAATGTTTATCATCTAGTTCTGTGGGCCCTGCTTACGTAATCGCTACGGAGAAGATGCAGCAGAGGCATGTAAAGATCTGGTGAGTTGTGTGTGTGTATGTGTGTGCATGACCTGCTACCGTGCGTACAAGCTCTGGTCTGTACTGGATAGTAACTGTTGGAGATTGTCAAGGGACGTGACTCCGGCCATAAAACGGCACGGTTGTAGTGGTCGGATTACTTGGACTGTTCCACTGACCACTGCGGTATACATGTGCAGTACATGTACATGGCGGGGGACACACCATGGGTACATTCATAACATGGATGTTGATTAGTGTGAACTGTAGCGTGTACACTTGTTGACACAGTATCATGTACAGTCTGTATCATGCAAGGCTACAAGCTGAACCACCGGCACTGCTGAGCACCCCAGTACAGGTAGCTGTATTTCAATGATCGTCGTTGTGTGTGTGTGCACTCCATTCTGTTCGCAGACTTGGGTTTGCCCGCCGTGTCGCGACATTTGCAACTGCAGCTTCTGTCTACCGAAGCGTGGCCGTCGACCGACTGGCATTCTTATACACATTGCACGAGACAACGGCTTTGACAGCGTGCACTCGTTCTTGAAGAAAGAGTCCAGTGAAGAGTAATGTCATCATCAGACCCCCACTCTCACTCCATGAACCAATCTCATCTGAACTATGACTTACTCGTGCATGTACATCAAGTACCCGTATGTGCACAATCACCTCACAGTGTGTGTGTGTGTGTGTGTGTGTGTGTGTGTGTGTGTGTGTGTGCATGCTATGTTACCACACTCCATTTCACTTCACCCGTGATATCTTACCATTCCCGTCCCCAAATTGACTTGGTCCTTCAACAAACCATTCCCCTAGGTAGCTGCAAGCACGGACACAAGCGAACATTACAACTCCAGTTTGCAACATTTCCAAATTTCCTTTTTTATTACAATTGTTTCCAGATTAATAGTGTTAGATAGTCTAGAATTGTGTTGGTATGTAATTTATATGATGCAAGAATCATACTTGCAACCGCTCAATTCATTTCCTAGTATCCTACTATTGTACATAGCGTCCGGTCTTTGACTTACTCAATTACAGTACTACTGCATTCTGCTGTCTTATCATGGTTAGTTTGTGACATAATATTGTGACCAGCAACACCGGTCGACTGCTCTCGCTCTTCCTTTCTCTAGTGTGCCTTCTTGAATCATTTTTTTATCTTTGTTGTCGGTGTGCTTCCCAGTCTTTGTTCATTCATATTTTTTGCAAGGCAGTCTTGTCTCAAGAAAAATTGATAGAATAAAAATAAGAAGCATGAATATTGAAGATGAGCGGTGGGAGATATCTGTACGTGTGTGTGCGTGCATGCGTGTTCAAACCGGTTTGTACAAAGCCAAAAATAAATTAATATGGCGCAAAACTCTTGTGCCATGCACTACATGTAGAATGATATAATGGAGTATCGTCGTCGCACAGTTTGAACATCAACGGCCAATATCCTTGAAGTCAATGCATTGCATGCCAGCACCTGCCAGGGCCAGAACATAGTCACTGGCCTGCCTGCAGCCGTCATGTAACCTGTAGCAAAGTAATACAGAACAAAGGAGAAACGTATGCTATCACTGATTAGTTTCAGGGCAAACAAAGATACTGACGGTCCTGAGAAGAAATATGGTGTTTCAGAATGTTCTAATACTGGCGCCGCTCAGAAAGAAGTGAATAATTTTGTGTTCGGACCAATTATCATGAAGTACCTGTACACAAACTGACTCCAAAATATACAAGTATCCACACTAAACCATGAGATGTAACGCATCAAGATACTTGCACAGTGAAACCCTGTCTAAGACGACCGCTTAGGGACCTTCAAAACGTGGTCTCTGTTACCAGGTGGTCTCCTTATCCAGGGTTGTTTGACTGCGAATAGCAACCCTTGGTCCCTCGGTACAGTGGTCTTCTGAGGCAGGTGGTCGCCTTGACAGGTTTTACTGTACAATCGTGTATGTCTCTATTCACCTGGTTCCTGCAAGGACTTACAGTAGAGTCACGCGCTGAAGAATGTGGAACACAAGGCAAGAATATCCAGCCTGAAATGCTAAGAACGGTGGTGTTTTCTGGCAGCTTTTGGGATACATATGATCCAGTACGATTTGTTTCTAAGAACGTCTCAGGCTAACCCCTTACAGAAACAACATTCCTGGGCGCGCGACACTACTTAAGTGACACCATGAAATTTTCTTTGGAACCAAATGTGTGGAAGATGCACTGGTCAGCCTACTTTCAGAGATCACCACTGTTGAAAGGTCACTGTGATAACTGATAAGCTGACTCCATGGTCTTTGGGACCAGATTTTACCTGGTCCACAACAATTTGTGAATTTCCCTATTTAGCAGCAGTGTCATGGCCCACCATACCTGTTCTTCCAATACAGCATGGCATGGCAATCAGAAACATCTGACATCATGTTTGATATAGGCTGCATACACAGGAACATAAGGCAATATACAATAAACATAGGGCTTCCACGAAATGTTATCAGTCTCTGCATAGCGCACCTCCACACAAATGCGCACACGCACATCTACACAAATGCACACACACACACACACACACACACACACACACACACACACACACACACACACACACACACACACACACACACACACACACACACACACACACACACACACACACACACACACACACACACACACACACACACACACACACACACACACACACACACACACACACACACACACACACACACACACACACACACACACACACACACACACACACACACACACACACACACACACACACACACACACACACACACACACACACACACACACACACACACACACACACACACACACACACACACACACACACACACACACACACACACACACACACACACACACACACACACACACACACACACACACACACACACACACACACACACACACACACACACACACACACACACACACACACACACACACACTACTACTACTACTATAGCATGACTGCCCATTGGGCAATGTCACCCCCGGAGGGGGCCAGAGTTTGGAGTGCACCGTCATTGGCAGGACTTCTGGTGCCTCGTCAAATCTTGCTGTCGTCGGAAACGTTTCGGGCAATGCATGCAGATCAGCGGCAGTGATTCCCTATCGGCTGCAGCAAGACGTTTTCCACGGTTGCAGTTATGGCGGTTAAAACCAGCCCGGGACTTGAAGCAGCGATTGCAGCGTTGACAATGCTGGAAGCAGCAACTAGCGAGAGACGCCGTCAATGCCGTATCTGCATGTTCAGGGAGTGCAGGCTGGCAGCGATGAACTGCAAGCCCACCCTTACTACGGAACCATCGGCAGCAACTGACGCACTGTGCTGAACCACGCTGTTGGTGGACGGAAAGTTGGCGCTCAGCCAAACACTTGTGCCGTGCCTTGTCTTGAGGACGAGAGAAAGCCCGGTTGCAAGATGAGCAGAGTACGGATTTCTCTACTGCCCGAGGAGGCTGAAAAACCAGAACCTGCTCTCGCCAAGCTGACCGGTCTTGTGTGCAATCAAACCAGTTTGGAATGGACTTCGTGTCAGTAGCCACAACGTCTCTCCACCTACGCCTGGGACCGCAGAAGGGGCGCGCAGCCAACAAACGACCAAACAACAGCTGCAATGGGACACGGTCCTCCGACATCCGAGCTACATGACCAAGCCACTCTAAACGACGATGGCGCACACACACACACACACACACACACACACACACACACACACACACACACACACGCACACCTTGGTCCTTGGTCCTTGGTAACACTGCCATCAAATGGTCACGTGTCCCCTGTGCAGGGGTCGACAGCACTGAGTTCAGCATTGGACCCAGAAACGCCGCTCTACTTCCTGGACAGGAAATTAGCACAGCTATGCAGGTCGAAACCACGAGATGACTTGCAGCAGCGACCGCAGCCGAGACAATGCGCTCTGCAGCAGGGCAGGGCAACCCGCTGTTTCCGGACCGAGTCTGCCGATGCCACAGCCGAGACCGACGCCACTTCAGCAGCCGAGTTGGAGAGACACTTATGCGAAGCTAGCCCGCCAGCACTCAAGAACCATCTCCCGCACGCATTACATAGTCGGCTGCCGGACTGCTCAGATATGGGCTTCCTCCTCTCGGCCAGGCACTTGTGGCGATTCTTGTATTTCTGGTGGGCGAAAGTACGCTGGCAAACATCGCAGAGCACAGAAGCGTCACGCTGAGCCGATCGCGGTACTGGTTGAGCGAAATACGCACTGCGCCATTTCCCACGCTCCTGGGCGAGGTCGTACCATTCCGTGTGGTCGATGTTCACTGCGGAGAGGTCAGCTCTGACAGAGTCTCGCCACCGTTTCCGAGGACCGCAAGCCGGCCTCAGCGGAAGGAGCGCACCAAACAGGAGCTGGCGCGGAGTTCTATCGCCGTCCATCCTAGCTAGATGGCCTAGCCACTCCAGACGGCGGCGAAGAACACGTGTGGTAATATCCACTGGATCTCGACGATTCCAGGCCTCCAGAATGGTCTTCCTGTTGATGTGGAAGTCCCAGGTGTCTCTTCTACCGAGGGCTAAGATTGCGGAAATGCAGCGAAGATGGAAGGCGGACAGCGCCGCAAGCTCGCTTTTCAGTGGTACCCAACACTCCGCTCCGTAAAGGAGAAGAGAAGCCACACATGCATCATACACCATTCGCTTCGTTGCCAGTGAAAGATCGCCATCATCAAAGACAGATCGACGCAATGCTCCGAATGCCCTAGATGCTGACGCTATTCGGGACCGAGTGTCCACTGCGGTGCGGCCACCAGTATGGATGATGGAGCCTAGGTAGCGAAAGTCATGCACATTCTCGACAATTTCCCCGCCAACCACCAATGGACGACGATCCTCCGGAGAAATGCCGAAGCCGACCGCCATTACTTTGGTTTTTGATAGGTTGATGGTGAGGCCGAAGCGAGTTGCGACGTCCATGAACCGGCTGAGCGCAAGTGTGGCACCATGGTGAGTTGTAGCAATAAGTGCCGAATCGTCTGCGAATTGACAGTCACGATGGATGTTGATTGTGTCAGTCTTCTGGCGTTTGAAAAGGAGAGACGGTCCAGAGTTAGAGGAGACGGGAAGTCCAATCTCAGGTATGTCCGCAACCTCACGCTGCCACAGCTGGAATACTGCCCACATGAATATATTGAACAATACTGGGGCCATACAACAACCTTGTCGAAGGCCATTTTGCACCTCAATAGGCTCGGCCTCGATGCCCGGGATCGACAGGTTTGCAGACATAGAGGGATGAAATGAGCTGATAATGGTAACCAGCTTGTCAGGTACGCCCGCCTTCCGGAGAATTTCCCACATGCACTTACGGGTGACGGAATCATAGGCCTTCCGTAGATCAACAAAAACCATGAAACCAGAGCAGCGATGTTCATATAGTTTCTCAGATATTTGTCTCACCGCGAAGATCATGTCCGCACAAGATCTGCCTTTGCGGAATCCACACTGCGTGTCTGGCAGGATGTCTTCCGCGAGCCGCTGCAATCTTGTCTGGACGAGGCCAGCAACAGCCTTTCCTACCACCTCCAGAAGAGCGATGCCCCTCCAATTGTCACAGCTGGATAGATTTCCTTTTTTTGGTATCGGGACAAGCTGGCAGTCCACCCACTCCTGGGGCACCCGCTCTGCATTCCACACTGTCTGGACAAGGTCTAGTAGTGCCATCATGAGGCCATCCCCACCAGCCTTCAGCAGTTCCGGTAAGATTCCAGAGCCTCCTGCTGCTTTTCCGTTCCGTAGTCGGCGCACAGCTTGCCTAAGCTCTTCCAGAGTAGGTGGATCGGCGAGGTCTTCACACACTTCCTGTTGCTCAATGGTGGCAACAGTTGCAGGTTCATACGAGGTTGGAACATTGTAAACCTTGGAGAAGTGGCGGTGCCATGTGCGGCCCTGATCCGCCGGTGAATTACAGACATTTCCGTTCTCGTCCCGCACAGCGACTGCAGTTACACCCACAAGCCCTCGCCGAGCCGTCTGCATGGTCTTGATACCGGCCCAAATGCGCGCCGAGTCAAAGCGCCCCTTCTCAGTACGTTGTGCCATGGCAGCAAACCATCATTCTTCGCAGCTCGGGTGGCAGCGCGAGCCCTCGTGCGCGCAACACGGTAGCGCGAATACTCTGCCTGATTCCGGCCACTAGTGATCCATGTTCGATAGCATGCATTGCGCGCGTCCAGCAGTGGCCGCAGCCCGTCCTGGCTTTCCGTAAACCAATCAGGCTGCCGTCTCCTCTGATGACCGAGAGTGTCCGCAGCTGCCGCCGTCACCACGTCCCGCATCGCATTCCATTTCTCGTCGACACACACACACACACACACACACACACACACACACACACACACACACAATGAGAAGATTTGCAGCGTGTGTTCATGGTGCATGGAACAAAATGAACAGACAGCGATTAACTACTAAGGATTACTGCAATAGATGACCAATGTTTGGAAATAGACATGCTCAAGGGCCATGGATACTTGATGCAACAACTTACCTGGATACTGGGTTGCTGTGTGAGTGTATTTGAGCCAGGGGTACGTGATTCATCTATTGTGCAGGATTGTTGTGGGCGTGTGGCTGCTGTTTCACTGACTGTGTCGCCGACTGCAGCTATCTTCCACACAGCTACATGCTGGTCACATGATGTGGACATAACACAACCACTAGGTAGCCAGCAGAGACCTGCACACAGTATAGCATGCACACACATGCACGCACGCATGTATGCACACACCCACACACATGCACAAACGCATGCACGCACACACCAGCACACACCCACACGTACATACCCACACACGAACACACCCATACAAACACACACACACGCACACACGCACACAGAGCAGCAAGCACGCAGCACACACATAGTCCGCAGTGGGAAATCAACACCAGATCCCGCTTAGTGTACAACCACAGAGAATAGTACTTCAGTACAACGAACAGAAGAATACCCGATACTAGTAATCAGACCCCCACAGCTGCTGCTGTGAGAGTTAGAGTTAGCATAATAATAATAATACTTCGAAGTACATGACTATTATATTTGGTACTTCAAAGTACATGTAGTACGGATTCTTCACATGAACTATGATAAAGTTGATAAGGCTAGCAGCGGGGGATCCAGCTTACCAGTAACAGTAGAACCATGGCAATCAGTCCGACTCGCAGTCCACTTGGTCTCTAGCATCACCGCTCCTTGCTCATCGTCATGCACTGACAGAGAGTGTAGTGTTACACCACCACCATCACCTCCTGACAATAGAACTATACTGTCATCTTCTTCAGCAAGCAAATATCAGAAGTTCAGAACAAACAAAAGAACAAAAGAACAATTATAACTGTAAGAACATACAGGTATCATACAGGAGAGCAGAGTTTGCGGTAGAATAGAGCAAGGCAAGAACTAGACTACAATTCAAATACACGCATGTGAAACGAAGGCAACACCAGATCTTCACTATCCTAAGCACGTCAAGTCACAGAAATACGTCTAAAGCCTCTCCAGAATGTTATCATTAGCAGTTGGAGCAGACTGCAGCAACACCACCAAGCAACAAGCATGTCAACTCACCATCAACCATCTGCACCTCAAGACACGTTACGGTGCAGCGTTGTGAGGCCAAAGTGGCCAGGACAACGGGTCTCGGCAATGCGTTGTCCTGCTGACAAGTGTCCAAGTCAAGAGCGGTCGTAGCAGAGCTGCCATTCACGCAATCGGCTGCTGAGTGTGCCAGTACAGCCTTGAGATAATCTGACAAGACCACGGTGAAATCCCATACTGTCACGTCTCCACTGCCTCCAGCCGTGGCTGCCAGCACGCAGGACTTAGACGGAACAACGATCGTCTCAACACAAAGCAGAGAGCGGTCTTGCTGCTCACTCTCGGCAATAAGGGTAAATGCTTTGCGATTCGGGTCACAGTGAAGTAACCTGTGGGAACATGCAGGAGGACCATGAGAAAGCACTGGTGATCAGATTGGAAAAACACATCAGCACAAAAACATACACCCTCACCACCCTCACCCTCACCACCATAATTACGTCAAAGCATTACAATAGAACAATACTGCCACAATGCATACCAACCAGGGAATTACTACTACAGTGCTACACACTATACTAACCCAATGCTGTAGACAGCAAGCTGTTTCGGCCACAAAGGCCTCATCAGTACAGCTACGAGTTTTTTAAAGGAAGCTGAGCTACCAGCCATGGTGCAAAGGAGGCACCACAGACATTAAGATAGCTTGTCACTCTAGCGTCAGAGTGCTCTAACTACGAAAAGCAGCGGACAATGCGTACTGCAGCAGCACTAGAGCAGCCTAACGAGAGTGCTCAACAAGACAAATGTCGAGGAGCGTAATACTACAGTAGCTATACATCTTAGCAGCAGATAGGTGCACAGTACAGAAGAGTTCACACAAGCACATGCACACACGCACGCATGCACACAAACAAACACATGATGTAGTGTACTGTGTGTGCACTTGCACCACATTCGTATTTTCAACCGCAGTGCATGTGCTGTCTGTCAGTCCGATGAAGTCAAAGAGGGACTTACCGTAACCAGCCATCGGAGTAAACTGCCCAAGCAAACACACCCGCAGTAGAGGCATGATGCTGACTCTCTGGTGTAGGGAGATTGACAGCGAGACACTGAGCTACGGTGTCCACATTCACCGTTGACACTGACATGACACGGCTTTCGGCAGCCATTGCCGTCGGCGGTTGTTGTCGTCGTAGTCTACGTTCACGCTGTGATAGCGGAGCAGGGTACTGACACACTGACTCAATGGCAATGTCATGCACCATGTGACCATGCTCACCACTACTGCTCACAACACCAGCTGATGTTGCTTCGCCCATCGTCCTGTGCTCAGTAGGCAGAGCAGCAGCAGCAGCTGGGTTGCTACAGGCGTCAGATATCAACCAGGCCTTGATCTGAGATCTACCACCAGCGGATACAAGCATCCAGCTGGCATTGTCATGACTATTGCTGAGTGGCGAGGCTGACATGGTACGAACACCTGAGATGTGAACACATGCTGGATGCACAATAGGGCGAAGACCACCACCAGCTGGATCATCTGATGATTACAGTAAGTCAAGGATCAGCAACACAATGATTGCACCTGGCAAAGTGTGTTGACTGTATGTGACTGCGTGTGACTGTATGCGACTGTGTGTGACTGTATGCGACTGTGTGTGACTGTATGCGACTGTGTGTGTGTGAGACTGTGTGCATGCATGAGACACGCAACGGAACCCGACAGACCACTACAGTACATGTGCAGTAGTGGCAACTGAAATCTGACCCCTAATGATCGTGCTTCGAATGCAGCACCGATTCCAGCGGTCTCTGTGGTGTATGTATTCGGTAGTGTACAAGCATGTGCTGGGCTTTTGCAATGTTTGCGCACTGAGCTGGGGTCAGATATAAGTTGCCCCCACTGCACATGCTATAGCATGGGTCACCTTAAAAGCAAGTCGGAGTATAAATTGGTGATGTTGTTCCAATTTACTTGCTGTGCTGGTGTCTCTATGCTTTGCGCATTGATTCGGCTGAGAGCGCGTGGTGGTGACAAGTTGGGAATGCAGTAAATTGGAGTATGGCCGAAAACTTTGTCGCAATATTAAATATTTTAATTGTGATGTAGCCGTACAAAAACAAATACTTTCGTGCTGCAACCGAGATCACATGTAAAAAAAAAAGTAAATTATCGTATCCGTTCCCGAAGGGAACTTACGACGGCCGCTAACACCCGATAAACCCTGTAGATATAGATCTTAGAAACTACAGAGATTTCATACAAGTAAATGCCTACGTGCAGACTGGGGAACAAACAGTGATGATCAGATTGGATACAGATTGAGAGTCGCACAGAGCAGTCCTCACTGCCGGAAGCCAACAAGGTGCTACCTGAAAACACACACACACACACACACACACACACACGCACGCACGCACGCACGCACGCACACACACACATACACAAACTATAATACAACTGTTTTGTTGCAATATGTTCAAATGCAGTAGCAGCAGCAGCAGCAGAGCACAATACCAACCATCGGCCTTACATGTTTCAAATAATAATACAAACAGGTCGCATACAGCCCGCATTAATAAATCATACGGGGGCCATGCATCTGTTTCACAACAAACTACTTGAAACAGGTTCAACAACAATGCCAACCAAATTTGACAATTTAGTACAAATTGCTGGAGCAGAAGCAAGTACAGTACAGTCATGTACATGTACATGCACTGTCAAATTGTAAATCTATGCAGTGACATGCACTGTAGATATATCCAGTACATGGGAACAAGTAGTTCAAGTACCTGATGTCTTGCTAGAGAAGACTTGAGTAAGACACGTGATTTCACGGCCATGGAAGCTACTCTGGAGAACATACACAACAAGTAAAAGAGGAGCACACAATGTTATGAGCAGAAGCTGATAGTGCAATACGTGGTTATACTCTCCACCATCAGTGAGTAGTGTCCTGTACACATGTACAAATCCAGATCCTTGTCACCCATTGACTGTCCAGTGCATGCAGTGCTGCTGCACACAACTGGGCAGCGCTAGTGACGACCTGTGGGTGCCATATCACACTGTCAAGTATGGGAATGGGTATCCACAAGAACTAGTAGAGGCTGTGGTGATATGAGTGTATACAGAAAAGCTGCCATACACAGATACAGTGATGCCGGGTATAGCGACAACTGAATACATGCTACTTCAAAAAGGACTACGTACTCAAAAACACATGCACCTACACCTGTATCCGACTAGCCTATACTGTATTAGTACTAGCACTATTTCACACAAAAATACATTCAAACCTCAAATTCAATGAAGTCAAACTATTCAAACCACTAGCCAACACACGGCTGGAGAAGATGGTCATAGAACATGGAGTCACTGCTCCTGACAATCCTGTGTCTCCACATGCACTGACAATCCTGTGTCTCCACATGCAGCATACAGACAGTCATGGTGATACTCTTTGTACCAGAACCATCTACTGGCCTGCAATACTCGCCTGCAATACTTTGGAAGAGAATGCAAGGACACTGGTAAACCTGTCCAGTATACTGGTACACTGGATAAGTAGTCTAATAGCGAGGGTGTGCTGGAATGATAGCAATGTATAAGACGGTAGGAGTGCAGCACCTGCATATATGGCCATGATGCACGTTGATATCGTATGACACAGTTTTCTCACCTGAAGAATACGTTGCCGAGACCATTCACCAATGTCTACCGTACAATAATGCAGACGACACGCTTGCAGGAACACAAACGTCACTGAGTTTCCCTGTAACAAAAAGAGAAGAACAATATCAGGTAATCGAAGAGATAGTAAAGAGAGGGTAGACACGTTATCAAAATGAAAGTAAGTTCCAAGATAACAATTGTGGTAGATTTGTCACATTTCCTTGAAACCAAGGACCATCACCGACCATGGACATCACCGACCAAGGACATCACCGACCATGGACATCACCGACCATGGACATTACCGACCATGGACATCACCGACCATGGACATCACCGACCAAGGACATCACCGACCATGGACATCACCGACCTTGGACATCACCGACCTTGGACGACAACGTAGTATGTTGTGGCTGGGGCGGTACAACTTTTTAGGGACAGTTTAAACTGCATTTTCAAGTTTATCGGCGAGATGTAGATGACATTTGAATTTTTTTCGGTGAATCCCTCGAGTACGAGCACTCTCTAACTTCCTATAGGCTCAATTTCATTTTTGGACAAACACTTGAAAATGTTAAGGGCTGTACTGGCGGGTATTGAGTTGCGGAGAGAATCATACTTGTAGACCATTCCTTGTGTCGCCCGGGGCAGTTCTGAGCCTACAAGTATACTCGTAGCTTTACCACAGCTACAATACCGGCCACTGTGACAATAGTCACACTACACTGCAACAGTACATACTATGAGCAAGAATACATAACCAAGAGTGTGCAACTCGACGATCCCCCCAGCCCACGGCGGAATTTTTTAAAGACATTAGTCTTTTGCGGCGGTTTGGCTTACTGATGCGATCATGCGTAGCCAGAGATCAAAGTGCAAATAAATAATTGTACATTACAGCTGCGATAGTCGAAGCAGAACAACGGACGATAGATCAATGTGTCTTGAACCTGATGAACTCTCACTGTATCTACAAAACAAGCGCGGTAAAGCATACGCACTTCATCATACTTCTGCCAAAGAATGACGCAATAAAAAATTCCGCCGTGGGTGAACCCATCGCAGCTCAAGATAGGAGTTACACACTCTTGGTTATGTACTCTTGCTAAATGCGAGTCCTTCACACAATCCCATCGCTAGCATGGCTGGCTAACGTCCCCTCCTTTGTATTGGCTTTTGCCATTGGACAGTGAAATAAAATAAAATAAAATAACTAAATAAAAACCCCACAGGCTTACATCACTGGACAGAGAGTAGTGCCAAGAGCGGTGACCTCCCCCGCACGGCACCGTGGCAACGGTTTCGGCATGCCGTGAATCCCATATAATCAAGTTAGTCTGCAGAGGGCAGTAAGAAACACACAACAGCACAACCCAACATGTACTACCGTACTAAGAGCACAAGTGATATCGTGCCAAGTGGTGTTTGCTTGTGTGTGTGTGTGTGCGCGCGTGCGCGTGCGCGCAGGCGCGTGTGTGTGTGTGTCCGTGTGCTTGCAAGTGTGCGTGATTGTGCATGCTCTTGTGCGTGTGTGTGTGTGTGCTTCTGCACGTGCTGCGGGGAAAGATAGGATATCAGAGAGGACTCTGGGCGCTGAAGTCAAGCTCAGACAGTAGTGTCAGGAACCATATCCACTTCTGCTGCATACCACAACACATACACCCCCACATACCGGTATACACACAGTCTTCCCCAACTTACAGAATGGAATCCAATGAGTAGGTCTCGTCCGTCCGAAGTGTGAATCATTCTCTCCAACCAATCCACGCCGGGCAAGAACTGGAAGTGCAGGTATGATTAAGGGCAACGTAATATCAACACAACATAACATGGATGAGACTCAAAAGCACCACAACATGCCTTCAAGCCAGTCAAATAAAAAATAAAAAAGTAAAGTTTGCACGTCCGCGCTACAACGGGCGCTGAGAAACACAACCAGCTTAGGAAGTTTCGCTCGTGCCAGGCCACCACCATGCCTGTAATACCAGGGTGGCAGACGCAGCGCCTAACGGCGAGGGTGAGGTGGTAACTCTCACAACCAATGCCCGACAAGGGGCAAACCTCGTTAGCTGCATCCATGTTACCCTCACTCCGAGTAGTGAGTACCCAGTTGACCGTGGGTGTCGGCACAGTTCCTTGCATGTATAGTGGTTCACACATGCATCACCGCATTTGTTAGCACAGTACATGCTCCCTGCTCCCAGCGCGGGTCTCGAACTCCAGCCAGTCAAATGGCTATCCATATTATATCTCCACAGGGATGACCGCACTACCTCGGTACTGTATAGTGAACTAAGCATGCATCAGCAAGAGAATGGATGGGGTGTCAGTAATGTCCACTCTTCTGGACTATGACTGATATGTTCATTGTGAGAAAGACAGGCAGATGTACAAAATGAAGGAAAGGGAGAGAGAGAGAGAGAGAGAGAGAGAGAGAGAGAGAGAGAGAGAGAGAGAGAGAGAGAGAGAGAGAGAGAGAGAGAGAGAGAGAGAGAGAGAGAGATACTAGATAGATAGAAGACAGCAGTACATTCACTGTACGTACGTGTAGCAACTAAACATACTCTAACACTAACCTTGCGGTCTGAACACACTGTCAACGTGCCTGGATGGGCTATCGACAACTGACGGATGTGTCCATCACGACCACAGCTACTGACACAGCCCCGACAGACCTGTATGTCATTTACACCATTCTTGCCATGTACACCAACCAAAGAACACACTGGATCCTGGAGAAACACACACACACACACACACACACACACACACACACACACACACACACACACACACACATATATACAGTATAACACACAGTACTTACTTGTACTACTTGTACTTGCTCACTGCCAAAACTGGTCACGTGAGTCTCCCGGGGAGGGGGCAGGGGGAGAGAGACTCAAAAGGAATCTTGGAAAGAAAACTCAATTGGCTATTGAACCGTCCAACGGCCGACACCCCCTGAAATCCCCAACTCATGGGTGGACTTGGAAATGATCCCACTTATGGGCTCACCACACCTCAGTAAGCACGAGTATACAAACAGTACAAACACACACAGTATGTATATATTATAACAAGGAACCGAGTGTATATGGAGATATATACACCACTAAGGGAGAGCATGCCTAAGACTGTAACTGTATATGGAGTGAGGTATAAAAACACATACAGTCCAAACACATACAGTCCAAACACATACAGTAAAAATACATACAATATAAACATGCGGCACAAACACACAACACTAGCTCAGTTTCTGAATAGGGGTTGAAAGTGAGGACGTCAAGGTCAGCTGGTTGGTCAAGAACAGTATTTCCTGGGTCAAATAGGATCAGATCGATCTACTAGAGTCCAGAACTGGTATGGCATGTAGTACATACATGGTAGCTGCCACCACCCCCCCCCCCCCCCCCACCATCCCCCCATCCCCCCATTCCCCCTCCACCATCCCCCCCATTCTCCCCTCCACCATCCCCTCATCCCCCCCCCCCACCATCCCCCCCCCCATTCCCCCTCCACCATCCCCCATTCTCCCCTCCACCATCCCCCCCCCCCCACCATCCCCCCATTCTCCCCTCCACCATCCCCCCATTCTCCCCTCCACCATCCCCCCATTCTCCCCTCCACCATCCCCCCATTCTCCCCTCCACCATCCCCCCATTCTCCCCTCCACCATCCCCTCATTCCCCCCCCCCCCCCATCCCCACCATTCCCACCATCCCCACCATTTCAAGTTACATGTGTGCCTGTGTGACTTTTCTTCACAAGAGGTGCCCAAGGTGTTCAGTGTTAATGAGGTAAATGACTTGGCCATGGTGCATGTCATGGTGCACGTCATGGTGCACGTCATGGTGCACGTCATGGTGCACGTCATGGTGTGGGTCATAGTCCGGTGTGGGTCATAGTCCGGTGTGGGTGATAGTCCGGTGTGGGTCATAGTCCGGTGTGGGTCATAGTCCGGTGTGGGTCATAGTCCGGTGTGGGTCATAGTCCGGTGTGGGTCATAGTCCGGTGTGGGTCATAGTCCGGTGTGGGTCATAGTCCGGTGTGGGTCATGGTGTGGGTCATAGTCCGGTGTGGGTCATAGTCCGGTGTGAGCATCAGCAGAGAAGTGAGCACGCAACACACTGTACCTGTGGCATTGCCGCGTCTTGACATGCCGTTGAGCAGCGATATGTATGCAGTGAGCCTTTCCGATCTCCAGCTATCACATAGACAGCATCACTATCAGCTGAGGTGACCGGGTGGTTAGGAGAGTTATCTGTCAGGGATAGTACATCTTGTGAGTGAACAATGGCCACAGCTGATAGCCAGCGGTGTTTGCAAGGTGGTAAGCAGAATTCAGCAAGAAGCTGGCAATCTAATGCAGACCCAGGTAAGTTGCTGACTTTCCACCATTTCTGCAGCCAACAACATGCAGTAGAAGAGAAAAGGGCAATGATATCATCATTTCAACTGCAAACATCAAAAAGGAACTGGCTTTCTCTTACCCCCCCCCCCCCCACACACACACGGATGCGCCGTCCCCTAAATTCTCAACAAAAACGCACACACAGCAGTCAGGTATGTCCTGTAGGACCTGAGAAAGTACTTGAGAAAGTGAAAACACGTACATGTGTCTATACCATACATGTTAGCACTTTCATAACTTTCATAACTTACCATGCTTCCTTCTGGTCCAACCGTGAACAGATTACTACCGCCTTCGCCTGCATACACCACAAAGGAGACAGGACGAAATGGCAAATAGGGCCAGAGGAAATAGAGCAGCATCAAAACTTTCAAAATTTCAGGAAAAGTGATTCCATACTCCCCTACCACATCTACACCAGTAGCTGGGTGCAGTTGCCAAGGATCTTTACTACTGGTACTTATTCTTTTTTAAGTATGCATGGGTTGCCTTGGCAACTGGACAAGCAGGCTTGGGGAGGCAATGGCTACTGGATCTATGGGACACTAGTCCTCCATGATAGTAGGCAACATTATTTAATAATAACAAGCAACTCACCAGCACCAACACCAGCATCAGAAGATGAAGTTGCAGATGCAGTTGCCCAAGTAACTGAGAAGACTTTCCCATCATGTGCCAGGACACAGCTAGAGCAAGACACAGCATCTGAGAAGGAGAAAGCAAAAACAAACGATATGACAGCGGCGTTAGGTGAGTGTTCAGCGGACGAGGAGGAACAACTGAAAGAGGCCTCAAAGACTGCAAAGGACCGTGTGCAAGAGCCTATGGGCTGTGAATACAGTTGCAACACAACTGACAATGCCACTGGAACTAAAGTTAGTTAAAGGGGAAGTTAAGGCAAAAATTAAAATTTCACCAGTTGTAGTCTTCGGGGTGCTGAGTCGAATGGTCTTGGTCCGAGGAAGCTGAGACGCTCCCTTCCTACTTGAATCCCAATCGAACTCGCGCACTTCCACCGAAACTGGGTGACTGCGCCCTACGAGATGGGGATTTGTATGCAAAATGTCACTAAAAGCGCCATTTCGTTCTTATAAAAGCACGGATGACCGCGATTGGCCCATATGTTGTAGTCTTTTGGACGCTGAGTCGACTGGTTTTGGTCCGAAAAGGCTGCGATGCAGCGTTCCTCCTTTATTCCCAATCGAACATGGTTGAACAAGTGGTCACGTGCTCCTGGGTGCCCAAATCACCTGGTCACCACGCCAGCAGGTGACAACTTTCACACCAAGGTTCAACTCGAGTTCAACTCGAGTGACAGGACTGCACCCAAAAAAGGTCAAACAGGCTAGTAAGTTGTACCCTGCAGGCACGGTGACCAGGTGACTGGCGTACGCAGGAGCACGTGACCGCTTGTTCAACCATGTTCGATTGGGAATAAAGGCGGAACGCTGCATCGCAGCCTTTTCGGACCAAAACCAGTCGACTCAGCGTCCAAAAGACTACAACATATGGGCCAATCGCGGTCATCCGTGCTTTTATAAGAACGAAATGGCGCTTTTAGTGACATTTTGCATACAAATCCCCATCTCGTAGGGCGCAGTCACCCAGTTTCGGTGGAAGTGCGCGAGTTCGATTGGGATTCAAGTAGGAAGGGAGCGTCTCAGCTTTCTCGGACCAAGACCATTCGACTCAGCACCCCGAAGACTACAACTGGTGAAATTTTAATTTTTGCCTTAACTTCCCCTTTAACCGTCAACATGAAGCAGAGGTAGCAATAGGAATGGAATGCACCAAGTTATTTGAGCAACTCAAGATAAAGGATCATGACAGTCTCGATGCGATGCTTTGTGTATGTTGTGTGCGTGTATCCATTCACTACCATTGCTAGGCAACAGGCAGGGTCAAGGTGAGTGTGTGTACGTGCGAGGGCGTGTGAACATGCACACATGCGACTCACCAGTCATCCAGTCACTGAGACACAACACGTGGCCAGCCAGCCCGCCAAGTGCCAATCTACCCGTCTTGCAGTCAAGAGACATCACACTGTATGACGCAAAGGCTGGCTCATGCAACAGCAACTGGATGTGCTTGCTGACGCTATCGTACAACAGCAGACGTCTGTAGTTCAGCAAACAAATATCCACACAAGACATGTAATACGCCACAATCTAAATTCCTCTGGTGTAATTCTTTTTATGACTTGGGGCTCCCCGCGTGCTAGTTTGTACGTGAAGTGTGTGGGTACAGAGAGGGCTGCGTCCCAACCGCCTGTGTGGATTCACAGGAAGTGTGAGTTACGAAGTCTGAAGAAAATGTTGAACGGCCTCTGCTGGGATGACGACTACACCATAGCTCAGTGGTTAGAGCATCGCTAGCTACAAGCGAGGGTCCCTGGTTCGAGTCCTGGTGGTGACAGTCAATTTTTTCTCCAGACTTTTCCCGTTTGTGTCTTTCCCTCAAACTAGTGAAGTGTAAATCTTTCCTTTACACACGCTGCATTAGACACAGCCTTGGTGCAGAGATAGGCAAAATTCATCATCAACACATTATTGAATCTATTGATTAGTTTGAGGGAGTTGAAAACGGGAAAAGTCCGAAGAAAAAAGTACAAGACAATACCAGCTTGACCGGAACTTATTCATTCATTGTTTCATTTATTTGCAGAGACGGTAAGCATACAGTGGACGTACCCTGAGTTCATGAGCAGAAGCACATGCTGAGATTCATACACGGCCACATCACGGATATAGTCGTCTTGTCTCTTACCGCATGATGACTGCAAAGCCTGGACAAGGACAAGCAACACATAACCGCAAAGTTAGGTGCTACTTGTAATTCTAAGCAAGCGTTGACCTCATACTCATGATGACTACTGGCCAGGATTATTCAACTGGTGCAACACTGTTGAGTTGCAGTGATGAACACAGTCTAGTCTCCGCATGCATGCATGCATGCATGCAGTGCAGTGCACAAAACAGAACAGACGGTTGAAGACGAAGCCTACAATGGCTACCTGGATACCTAACTTGTGTTTTAGTAGTGTTGCCAATCTACAACAGTGACATTGTTTTGCCAGTACACGCATACGCACACACGCACAATGCAAGGTTAGACAACTTAGAACACTCGACAAGGCGAAATTCGGGGAACAAGGAGACAGCCACAGCAGCAGCTACATACAAGGAAGTCCTAAACATGTGTACATAACATTGCTAAGTGTTCTGGACAGGGATCACTGGTCTACAAGTGCATGCATCTAGACAAGAAGAGGTTAAACTCACTGCTTCTGTCAGGTCTGGCACCGACAAAGAAAACTGCTGAGACACAGTCTCCTTGATTTCATCAAGGGACCACCACCGAATACCACCATCACCACCACCAGTTATCTACAACACAACACAACAAACACAACACGCGCACACAGCCAACCAAGGATGGCTAAATAGCAGGCACTACAATCATAGTGACCCTTGACAAAACGTGATGCTCGACAGAATTCAGAGGACACTTGGCCCTGCCTGGTGGGGACATGGGAATCCTGCATGAGTCGATGAGAGCAAACTAGAGCAAAGATAGTGGAGTTCTAAGCTTCATGGACATGATGGGACAAGTAACGCCTGCTGCAAATCGATAGTCATCAGTCAGTATACCAAGCACTTGCAACGGTGTGTGTCAGGTTCAGAACAGAGATGACAGTTCTAATATACGGAGCATTGAGTTTCAGATACAAACTGGTACTCCCACGGATGTTGTGCATGTTGACTTACAATACTCAGTGATGTGGCATCACCATCATCAGCAGCACAGACACTCCACACATTGAGACCCTAGAACACACACACACACGCACGCACGCACGCACGCACACGCACGCACACACGCACACACACACACACACACACACACACACACACACACACCCTTCGCACCTGGTTGCCTTGCTTAAGAAGTATTCGGCCGATTCTGCCTCTCGTCATCCCGCTGATTGTTTTCAGTTTTTCATCAGCTGCCGCAAACCACACCGTGGCGTGTGGTCTGGCACTCTTTCTAGATGGGTCAAGAATGTCATGTCGGCAGCCGGCATCGAAGTGACTAAATTTGGAAGTCACCGTATCCGGGGGGGGGGGGGGGGGGGGGGTGCATCTGCATCAGCCACTGCAAATTCTAATGTTCCCCTTGATTCCGTGCTTGCGGCCGGCGATTGGTCCTCAGGCCGTACTTTTCCCATCATTATTCCCGCTCGAATAGCCACTTGCCTGCCCCTGCTGTTGCTAATGCTCTGATGGCAGCTTTGACATAAGTGCTGGCCTTTGCTGTTTCAGTTTGTTCTATTTGAAATTGAATTTCAAACGGTTTCTGCTCTGGGGCTGCTTTGAAGTCTCAAGTTAGAACGTACTGTAAAAGCAGAAATTTTCGGTAGTAAACTTCGGTGCCGAAATTTTCACCGAAAATAAAACACACCGAAAATGTCGGTATAGTACTAGTACACTTACCTGGAACGCGGGTTTACCGAAAATTTCCCTCCACCGAACCGCCGATTTTGGAGAATATCGAAAATATTACACCACCAAAAATGTCTGCTTTTACAGTAGTAAACTGTACTCAGCACAGTGATCCTGTATGTGGAGAGGGATGAAGTAGAAATTACAATTGGAGGAGCCTCAGCGAACTCCGATTGGAGTTCTACGAGGCCCTGGTAACATACAGGAGCACTGTGCTCCCACCCTCACGACCCTTGCCTAGGCTTGTTCCCTCACTACTGTCGTCTTTGAATACTGAGGGTTTTGGGCATGTGGTGGTGGCCATATTGCACCATGGCAACACACAAATAATCTTTGAAAGGCGGTTTCCGGGGCGCTCTCTCAAGTTAGAATGTAGTTTACTGTGACCAGCACAGTGCTCCTGTATGGTACGATGGCCTCGTAGAACTCCAATCAGAGCTCGCGGAGGTTTTTTGTTGTGGAATAGATTAACCGCAATCATGGAAAGAGCTTTCCTCCCTCTCCGAATTTCGATGTGCACTTGAACTACATTTACAGGATCCATCATTTTTTCTTGAATTCAGTCGGTTGGTATGTGGTAAGACCACTAGAATTTAGATTGGTAGCTGTATTCGCCATTTTAATTACTTTTAAGTTTTAACTGAAAGAAAAAAGAACAAATAACTCTTCACCACCATCATCAGTACTCAAGGACTCAAGAAATTTTCACGAACCAGTTTTCGCACATTCTCTTCAAGTGAAGTCTCCCACTCAATCTCCAGACAGCTGTATATAGCTGTTTCAACCTTATTAGGTCTCCTCAGCGGAGCTCAGAGGCACTGGCCAAACCAATCGCATTGAAGTCTAGTGAACAGCAGAGCATTTCGAAACCGGCTGCTCAAAGCGCTAAAGCCAAAGTGCTCGAACTGTGACAAAACACAGCAAGCTTTGCACCAGGGCAGGCAACGTTAACACAAACCAAAAAAGAGTGCTCAGCCAAGCCAAGGCGAGGTAGCGTAATTCTCTGGGCGAGGTCTCCTAGAAAGTTGTTCAATTACTTTTGGCTGCTTTTAGTAAAAGATGGTCATGACAGCAGATAGCCTTCTGACATATACTACTTTCTGCTCAGGTTTTTCTTCTTTTCTTTTTTCTCTTTCAGCCATGCAAAGTGGACTTTCTTTGTTCGTCCCTCTTAATAATTGTACTTTGCACTGTTCAAGCAGCAGAATTTTTTTAACAATACGATCATGTCTTGAGCGGTTTTAGGTGATGCAAGTGATGCAACAACACTAACAACAACGACGACGACGACGACAACAGTACTCACCTGATGTCCTTTGATCTCTTTCAAAAGATGACCAGTATGATCCCAGACACAAACGAGAGCATCCTGCAGCCCAGCACCAGATTATGCACATGTACTGTCAACATTAGGCAGTATGAGACTACAAAGAAGGACTGGGCTGTAAAAATGCTTACAAGTAGTAGTATTGACATATCCGCGGCAAGCCGCTTATGTACAACGGCATGGGAGAGGATAACAAAAAATGAAAATATAATTAATGTTGGGGAAATCCACGCTATTATCGAATATTCAACAATGACGGGTGTGGGGTTATACCAAATTCCCATAATGTGGAAGTACGTTATTATTGTTGAAAGCACTAGGTGATCTGCACTCTACAATGTGACCTGTGCGATTATATCGTTGAATGATTGCCTGTTCCGAGCCACCAAACGCAGTGTCTCCAGGTCCTTCAGACTCCGGAGACGCATGGACGTTGCCTTAGCTAATTCGTTGTCTATCACCACTGGTAGGGTGATGCGCGGGCGTCCGAGCCAGCCCCGATTCTGTCGCTGGAAATACGCTGTCATGCTCACCTGCGCTGGAGTTGCTTCAGGGAGGCGTAGAATATGACCAAACAGTTTCCACCGTGCTCTTCTGCTTAGTACGGATATTGGCTCGGCATTGCAGCGGGCATATAGGTCTGTGTTGGAGATAATTTCCGGGTAAGATATCCCTAATAGACGGCGGAGCTGCTTTCTGTGGAACGCATCCATTGCTGTAGCATCCCGGGATGAAAGCACCCACACGCCGCAGTTGTAGGTCAAAATAGATAGCACAAATGCATCAAACAACCTCAGGCGGGTTGCTTCAGAGATAACTTGTCTCCGCATCCACAGGTTGACAAGTGTGTTGAAGGCAGCTGCGGCTTGCTGGCGCCGGCGCTTGAGGTCTTCTGTGACTCCGTACAGTGAACCAAGCAACCGGGTGGACCTCCATCGTTCCTCACCTCTTCTTGCAACATCCTCTTCTTGGTATAGATGGGTCCACTCGGTCTTGGTAGGGTTGATGTTGAGGTTCCACTCTTTGAACACTACCTCTGCCTCTGTTAGTGCGCACGCTAGATGTTGACGGTCCGTGGAGTACAGGTTAACGTCGTCCATGTATGCTGTTTCGCAAGGTATGGACATATCGACAGTCGTGTAGGCTGTCCCTCCAATATTCAGTATGGCAGGTCTTGGCGATATCCTGGGACGCAGGCAACGCATTGTCGCTTCGAGATAACAGGTGAATAGCACCGGCGACAAACTATCTCCTTGTGGGATGCCTATTGATGTTGGAAATTCTGCCGAGAGCGCATTCTTTATCTTCACTCTTAGCCTTGTGTTGTGCAACAACATCTCCACCATTCGTACCTCATCTGTGTTAACTATTTGTTTCATTACCTCCACCAATCTTCCCCGCTGCACTGTGTCGAACGCCTTGCTCATATCCATTCCGAGGACCGTACATTGCCACTTGAAACGTTCAGCCTTGGCTGCCAGCCACCGGCCACACCAGACAATATCCGCGGTACTCCGACCCGGACGGGAAGCGCTCTGGGTTGGAGATAGGTAGGAGTCAATCTTTGGCATAATCCTGCGAAGTGTGATTGTTGACAGGCATTTGCGTATAATGCTTACAAAGACCAAGAATTACCTAACAATAAGCAGGGCAACATTACAGTACATGTACATGTACGGTCGTACTGCACTTCGTGACGCCATTGGTCTCCACCTACATGATATTGGCATGTCGGAAAGGAAGCCCAGCACACATGAGACCGTTCCCAGTCCAATACAACAGCAAGGCCCGCCTAGCAACTAAGCCTATATACTCAGGATCTGAGAGTCAGATTCTCAGGTTCTCCAGTTACACTGTCCAAAGCCACTTACTTCTCCAGTGCTAACGATAAGGTCTTGTACGAATATTGCCTTCCATATACGTGCACTGTGTCCATATAGGGCATGTCTGTGTGGCAACAACAAGAGAAGGATGCAAGTAAGGTGAAACCCTAGATATAGGTGACAGGCAAGAGCAAACAGTCCTCTGATTGAGGTAACTAGGAGTAGTCAGCTGCTGTGGGAGCTTGCTTTCTTTTAGGAGAGAGTTTTCCAGGTTTCATTTGGCCACCTCGCCCTGAAGCATATGTTTGCAAAGAGACGCATTTGCCTTCCAGTTCTGTTTTGTTTCTCACAAGAGAACAAAATCAAGTCTAAAAGTCCACCAAGTTACATTGTACTCACATGCACTTGGAAGACACCACTGTACCATCATCGGACAGCAGCAGCAGGTCCCACACACGAACAGTACGGTCATCAGATGCAGTGCAGGCCCTACACCCATCGGAGCTCAGTGCTATGGAGAAGATCACGCCCTGCAAAGCAGAGTCCAGAGTTAAGAGAAACAACAACAACAACAACAACAACAACAACAACAACAACAACAACAACAACAACAACAACAACAACAACAACAACAACAACAACAACAACAACAACAACAACAACAACAACAACAACAACAACAACAACAATAATGGTTCGGTCTAGTTACAACAGGAGAGGCAGCGGTGGTCGCTCAAGAAAGTCGCTATCAAGAAGTCATTCAAGGGTGTCAAGTCAGCCGAGTCCTTGTGTGAAAGAATGAACTATTTTCCACTCTTCCCTCAACTAGTGTGCTTTGGGGAGGTGAGGCCCAATGGGACGGACAACACTACCTACATGTACATATATCTACCTATCTATACCTGTCTATACCTGTCTACATACCATACCATACCATACATACCTACCATATGTATCTAATACATGCAGGGATCAGAGTTTCTTGCTACTACGCAAGCATCAGGAGTTTCCTGATGTGTGCGTACTAGCAAGAAACTCTGAGAAGAGACCGACTGATTAGTTTCTTCCACAGATCCCTGGATGTCCAGGGTGGCCGGTGAGTACCCGCTAGCAGCAGACGCCATCAACAACTCCACCTACATGGACGATACGATGGACTCCGTGCAAAATAATCAGCAAGCAGAACAGCTATATACTGAGCTAATGACAGTATGGAACGGCTGCGGCATGAAAGCCAGAAAGTGGTTGTCGAACTCAGCAACCTGCTGGAAAAGATCCCTGTCGAGCACCGAGCGTCCAGTGTGAACCTATCTGGTGACAGCTTGCCCACGACGAAGACATTGGGTATCAGTTGGCAAGCTTCAACCGACTCGTTTTCGATCAGTTCCGCGGCAGCACCACAGCAGCAACGCATCACCAAACGTGCCATACTGCAAGTGCAAGCAGTCGCAAAGGTGTTTGACCCGCTGGGGGTTGTCGCCCCATTTGTGCTACGCGGTAACGTTCTAATGTAGTTGTTGCCTTGCGTTGTGTCAGAATGTCCAACAATGGTGTTCAACATTGGCGCCCGGCTTTTCTCTCGGACCCATGACCCTGCTCCAGAACTCGTCGTCAGCCTCGTCTCGTCCATGTCAACCTCGTCTCGTCCATGTCAACCTCGTCTCTCCTACGCCAACCTCGTCTCGTCTCTGTCAACCTCGTCTCGCCTATGTCTACCTCGTCTCGTTCAAGCCATGCAGGTCAGCTACCTTTCTCTCTTTCTTTTTTGTGTTTTTTTCTCTACTTCCTCAGTCATTTTTTCTTTATTTCTTGATATTTTCCGCGAGGCCGCGGTTCTTTTTTCTTACGCAGGGGAGGTATGTTAGGTACCTCCGCCCGTACAGTATACCCTTTTCCCCTAGCTGGCCTGCATGCACCCGTACTACGTCATTCTCACCTTTCGTTCCGTTGGCCTGGGTAGCTACTTGCGCACCCATGTTTGCCATAGCTACCCAGGCCCTATCTATTGCGTTGCCTCTCTTCAAATCTCTCTCTCAACTCTCTTCAAATAATCGCTCTATTGAGTCGAGCTCTCTCTAGTCATAATGTAGTTGTTGCCTTGCGTTGTGTCAGAATGTCCAACAATGGCGTTCAACAAATCGAATAAAAGGAGTTCAACTGTAGAATTATCGTGAACAGTACCTGTATGTGGTAAGGCTCAGCTGTGCTGACCAGTAAGCACCAGAATGGAGCACTCTAGCCAGTTTGTCAAGGTCACCCCTATCTAGTACGGATGTATCTAACTAAGCACAGTACAGTGTACAGTACTGTACCTACCTCGTGGCCGCATAGCCTATGCTGAACATCCACTAGCCCATCACTCGTTGACTCTGCTTGAAACGGCTGCCACACCAGAACCTGATTGAAAACAGTGCCTGCATACACGATCAGAGTCTTCTCCGTCAACCCAGATAGCAAGCAGGAATATCTACAGGATTTCCAGAGTCAAGGCAACAGCTCTACCTCACAGGATGGTCGCACCAAATACTACTAAAGTACGTTTGAATACAAGCACACAATCAAGACAAAACAAGTTTAGGCTTCTCACAAGCAACATTGTTGAAAATGCCAACAAGATGTGTTGATGCGTCCTCATCAGGAGGGATACAGGCGAAGAGAAACTGAATGAATGAGCACAATGAACTTCATACAACAGAGATGTGATAGAAAACGGCGCAAAGAAGAGTAGCCAGAAACCGCACGGTAAAATGCGTAACCTCATACTTCAAGTATACATTGAAGGATTGAGAAAAAAAGTTGCAAATATGAAGAAACCTAACAAGCTCTATGTGTATGAGGTTATGCATTTTACAGTGTGGCTTCTGGCTACTCTTCTTTGCACTGTTTTCTATCACATCTCTGTTGTATGAAATTCATTCTCCTTGCACATTTCTTTTTGCCTGTATTCCACCTGGTGAGAAGGCATTGAAAGTACGTGTGGACATTTTGAAGGGATATACATGAACGAGCATAGCCAACCCATAATATACAACTACATGTACAAACAGGGCTGGACGAGGCAGCTTTGTGTACATGCACATGAGTATAGGGTATACAAGAGTAGGTTGGTGCGCTGCTCCAAGAGTGCTCTATGCCCTGGCGAACACACAGCAAGGAGAGGAAGTTCTCTTGCAACTGTTTTCTGATGGTTGTGAACGTGAAGCTCTGAGTTGCAACAGAACTTCCTCTCTGGCCTTGCTGTGTGTATGTGTGGTGCATGCATGCCTATCCGGCGTATGAGTTCTGTGCGCATGCATGTACTGCGCTACATCCATACTTTCTCACATTGTCTTTGCCATCAAACTTGCAGCAGTGCATACCCCCAGAAGACGCCGTCACCAAACTAAAGAAACCGGTCACGAGACAGTATTGGAATCTGGAACACGTGATGTCCCGTACACCATACAGGACACTGACACTATACTACAGTTCTGCTCAATGAAATCTGATCATGCGAGTCAATGTCACGCTGTGCGCTGTGCAGCCCCAGACCTGTGACCACTGGACTGTGCACCGGTGCAAGGCGCAAACGTGACCCGCTGAGCAGCACCTCGTCTCCTGTGTACATGAACTCTTGCTATGACAGAAGAAGTAGCTACATCAGATGATCAGACAAGGATACAGTATGCACACGGTGCTGCACTGTGCACTGCGCACATGTACATAGGTAGATGCTGCACTGGCGTCGCCGCTCAGCTCAGAAGAGCCGAGAGCACCCGTGGATTGCCTGGCATCCTGCTGCTGCTCTAGCCGCTGCTCCTCCCAGATCTCTACAGCATTGTGGGCCGTGGCAATGGCCAGCTTCTGTCAACCAACCGGGGACACATCACAGCACACGTATATGAAGGCAAACTTGACACAAGCAAGAGCAGGAATTAGATGGGCATATCACTAGTACAATTTAAAAGAAAAAGTTATGCAGAACGTGTTACCCAATACCAGAATACAATATGATGTGTCTACACTAACCTTGATAGCAAGAGTACATAAATCGTATTTATGTACTCTTGCTGATACCAACAACGATTCAGAAATTATTCATATCAAAGCCAGCACTCACCGAATTTCCAGTCAGCCAGCAACAATCCAAAATCCAATCAGTGCAGTGCAGTGACCCTGTTACCGCCCGCAGTCTATCACAGGCAACATGTAGACCAGTCAACAATAGAAAGGAAAATAAACAGGTGGAATTGTCAACAAGCATTACCGGGTATGCATGCAAAGACATGCAGCACACAGCATAGCACACAGCATAGCACACACACACACACACACACACACACACACACACACACACACACACACACACACACACACACACACACACACACACACACACACACACACACACACACACACACACACACACACACACACACACACACACACACACACACACACACACACACACACACACACACACACACACACACACACACACACACACACACACACACACACACACACACACACACACACACACACACACACACACACACACACACACACACACACACACACACACACACACACACACACACACACACACACACACACACACACACACACACACACACACACACACACACACACACACACACACACACACACACACACACACACACACACACACACACACACACACACACACACACACACACACACACACACACACACACACACACACACACACACACACACACACACACACACACACACACACACACACACACACACACACACACACACACACACACACACACACACACACACACACACACACACACACACACACACACACACACACACACACACACACACACACACACACACACACACACACACACACACACACACACACACACACACACACACACACACACACACACACACACACACACACACACACACACACACACACACACACACACACACACACACACACACACACACACACACACACACACACACACACACACACACACACACACACACACACACACACACACACACACACACACACACACACACACACACACACACACACACACACACACACACACACACACACACACACACACACACACACACACACACACACACACACACACACACACACACACACACACACACACACACACACACACACACACACACACACACACACACACACACACACACACACACACACACACACACACACACACACACACACACACACACACACACACACACACACACACACACACACACACACACACACACACACACACACACACACACACACACACACACACACACACACACACACACACACACACACACACACACACACACACACACACACACACACACACACACACACACACACACACACACACACACACACACACACACACACACACACACACACACACACACACACACACACACACACACACACACACACACACACACACACACACACACACACACACACACACACACACACACACACACACACACACACACACACACACACACACACACACACACACACACACACACACACACACACACACACACACACACACACACACACACACACACACACACACACACACACACACACACACACACACACACACACACACACACACACACACACACACACACACACACACACACACACACACACACACACACACACACACACACACACACACACACACACACACACACACACACACACACACACACACACACACACACACACACACACACACACACACACACACACACACACACACACACACACACACACACACACACACACACACACACACACACACACACACACACACACACACACACACACACACACACACACACACACACACACACACACACACACACACATTACGAACACATTCTCCTGGCAACATTAGCCAAGCCATATGCACATTGTTTTCCACAGCACAGCACAATGAGAAGCGCCCCTGTTTCTGTGAGCAATAGTGAGGTTCCGCTCCGCGTGAAAAATGTCACTTCTCTGAGGTTGACGTCACAGTATAAGAATTAGCAGAGAAGTAGTGTTCTCTGTCCACCCGGGAACGGGTGTGAGGGAGCACCGTGTGGGATAAAAGGTGACGAGTGCAGGGTCGGCCTCTTTTGTCTTTGTGCGTAGAGTGGAGTGAGAGTTCGGAAATTTATTTTGAAAGTTGGTTTGGTTAGTGAGAAGAGTGTGGAGGTCGAGAAGTGTGTCGCCGAGTGGTAGTGGTAGTGAGAGTGAAGGGTATGATGAGGAGAGTAGGAGGATGAGAGAGATGGCTGTGAGATTGGAGACGTTGGAGAGGAAGTTGGAGAAGACGGAGAGTCGTAAGAGGAAAGAGAGAGTAGGAGTAGCAGTGTGAGTGAGAGTGAGTCAGAGAGGAGCAGGAGCAGGAGAAGTGGCAAGAGTAGAAGTAGCAAGAGGAGAAACAGCAAGAAGAGCAAGGAGAGTGAGCAGATGAAGAGGGAGAGACAGGACGAGAGGATGGCGGCGGCGAAAAAGAGAGTGTGGAAGGCAAAGGCCCAAAAGGAGCAGTTTAATGTGCTCAGCAAGGCGTTGGAGCCTCTAGCCAAGGCAAGGCAGAAGGCAGAGCGACAAGGGGAAAGAGACATCGCACGGAGCATTGAGGAAGATGAGAGCATCCTCCAACGGCGTATTAAGTTGTTGCTCTTCGTGGACGCCGAAGGATGGTCGGCCGCCAACGTCTATGATGGGAAAGTGGAGTGCGGCTCGGATACAGACGATGAGCGCAGAATGAGAAGGGCCAGGGTGGAGGCCAAGGAGGGGCCTAGTGCTCTCCCCGTCCCTGCCACCCCGCCGCAAGCTTGAGAGCCTGCCCGTTTGGCTGGAGGCGTGGTCCGTGTATTGTGCACTGATTTGCGACACCCAACCCGCAAAGGCGGTGTCGCTAATCACGTATCAGCTGCGCATCATACAAGCGGCGAAACGCTATCGGTGATTGTCGGTGTGCCAATACGACGAGGAGTTCCGTCGGAAACTCGCCCACAGCCCCAGCATGCAGTGGGATGTGGTTGACCAGGACCTTTACACCCGCTGCTTCACAGGCCAGGCGCTCATTCTCTGCCCGCTCTGCAAACGGCTCGGCCACACCGCCACCACTTGCACCTCCCGGGATCAGCGCAAGCCCGGCACGACCCAGCCAGCGTGCGAGCTGTACAAGGGGCGGTGTAATTTCTTAACTGCAGATTTCGCCACGTCTGAAGCTCCCGGCCACGTCGCCACCCGGTGCGGGGCGCGCGCCGGCCAGTGAGGCCCCGGCTAGTCTGTATCCTGCCTTATCCACGCACACACCTCACACTCCTGTTATTTCTAATGCATTCGTGTCTGATTCGCACGCACATACACACCCTGCCTTACCCACGCACACCCCTCACACTCCAATTGTTCTGGAGCAATAGTAAGCCCTTTCCAGGAGGCCGCCCCGCCGGGGTTGGGCTCGGAGCGGCTACTCGCACCCAGACCATACCGGCGGCACCGAAACCACCATGTTCAAGGAGCTGGCCTGTTGGCGGTGCAGAGGGAAGGGGCATGTGCAGCAGGACTGCACACAGCCTGCCCCAGGCCCAGCGCCGGTATTTTAGAGCTCCAAAATATTTCAGCGCCAGCAGATAAGCGCCGAATATCTCAGCGGCAAATACGCCAGCACACTGTCTCAGCACCAAACTACATGTATAGTGATTATTTTGATAGCTAAAATTGATTGGTGTTTCAGCTATCAATATTTTTCAAAACAAACTTTCCTCGACCCACACACCCATAAACGAAACTTTTTTTATTTCGTGTGAAATGGACGGCCCCTGACTTGTAGATCCTTGGTCCTTTTCTTTCCTACAAACTACACGAAGCAAATTATATTTATTGATGCAACCTTATGATTGGGCATCACCGAAATCTATTCCCCATGCGTACAACGTTTTAAATCTCCGTGTATATTCCGACTACTAGTATACCCTCCAAGCCAAGTTCCAATGTATCCAACAATGTATCCAACAATGTATCCAACAATGTATCCAACAATGTGTCCAACAATGTGTCCAACAATGTGTCCAACAATGTGTCCAACAATGTGTCCAACAATGTGTCCAACAATGTGTCCAACAATGTATCCAACAATGTATCCAACAATGTATCCAACAATGTATCCAACATTGTATCCAACAATGTATCCAACAATGTATCCAACAATGTATCCAACAATGTATCCAACAATGTATCCAACAATGTATCCAACAATGTATCCAACAATGTATCCAACAATGTATCCAACAATGTATCCAACAATGTATCCAACAATGTATCCGACAATGTATCCGAGAATGTATCCAACAATGTATCCAACAATGTATCCAACAATGTGTCCAACAATGTGTCCAACAATGTGTCCAACAATGTGTCCAACAATGTGTCCAACAATGTGTCCAACAATGTATCCAACAATGTATCCAACAATGTATCCAACAATGTATCCAACAATGTATCCAACAATGTATCCAACGATGTATCCAACAATGTATCCAACAATGTATCCAACAATGTATCCAACAATGTATCCAACAATGTATCCAACAATGTATCCAACAATGTATCCAACAATCATTATTTAGTATATGAACATAGGCACATCTCTTACCATTATTTTAGTATACCATTTACCGTTCAAATACTAGTATCAAGAGTAAATTTACCGTTCAAATACTAGTATCAAGAGTAAATAAGCTCCCAAGAGTGTGCAACTCTGCATATAGGGTCTTCGATAGCGAAAACTCACATCGCGTGTCTCAGGTAAGTTTCGTACTACGTACAACGAAGGATAGCACGCGCGCAATCCGAATATCTGCCATGATCATACTAGGGAATTGCATACGCGAAGGAAGTTTCTGTCAGGGGGTGCTTTTTTATTACTCCGCTGCTTGCTAAAAATGGGCTGGAAACGTTCCAAAACGTTTTCACGTGACACTCATCAGTGGAAAGTCGTCACTAAATTAGGAATAACCAAAACAATCACTTATAGCCAAAATGTTTTTGGCTATAAATTATATTGATTGTTTGGGTTATTCCTAATTTAGCGACGACTTTCCACTGATGAGTGTCACGCGAAAACGCTTTGGAAGTGAGTACTTCAAAGTACATTTATCTTTTACACTGTTATGACTGCACAATTTGCTTCATTATCACTTTACTCAAATTTCAATTCTCAATTCGTTGTTAGTTGGCATTAGCTTCTGTTTCACCATGATGATGGGCCAGGCTCGACAATTTGGTGAACATTTCAAGTGGCGTATGCAGCAAAGAGACCGTGTTTGGAGTGTTTGAGTTGAGGGACCCTTATGTGTACATGACTGCAATGGAGTCCATGAGCACTTAAAAAAGTGTACTTTTTGTACTTTTGCACTTTTTTGTGCTGAAAATGACAGCGCCTTACTTTTCTGCGCTGATGGTGGCTTCGCTGAAGTGGCTAGTCACCACGCAAAGAAAATGTGTACAGATCTGTTGGGTATCGTTCAAACAAGGGAGAAAACTGCCAAACTTGGAACGGGAAATTCCCAGTAAACATGCCACGCGATTTCTTTGTGTGACTGCAGGGCAGAACAGGTTTCTCCTGTTACGGGACCGGGCTTCGAAGAGTGATCAAGTCGCGTTTCCGTAACGTAGAGCCGAACATCAATAATGCGTCAACTCCCATGGCTAGTATACACGACAGACATCTACACACAGCTACTTCATGCCTTCATACCACCACTTACTGAAACTCCTGGCGATCTGTACACACTGTCGCTGTAAACACTCTCCATGATCGTTGACCAAAAACGAGGATGGGCCAAGTACCATCATCACTCATTTTTCCTTTGACAAAAAGAACCAGTGAAACTGAAATAAGAATGGGGGCAAGTGATCTGCAAATCCTATTCACATATTTTGAGCAGAATATTCGGATGAACTGCCATTGTGTGTGCGGAAGCTGCCTCAGTGCTTGGGTACCCTCATCCAAGTCGTGGGGATACTCTGCAACAAACAGTCTTCGATATCTGCACTCCAAATACTGGTACATGTACCTGTGCACCCACTACGGAGCGGGTACCGGTATTAATGGGTCATGTAATAAGTCACATGCATAGCCAAGTCACTAGTCACATGGCATGATCGGCCACCAAACACTCAAGACAAGAGTATAAAAGTACATCATGGTACTCTTCCTGCCACTCACTACCTATGTGAAGCACCATGCCTCATACGCGAGTTTGTACATCAATCATGTACATGACCAGCCATTTTCTTTTAGAAGTTGCATTGCACAGTGCACAGCGCAGAGCTGGATAGCATAGTATGGCATAGCCGGGAACATGCAGGGACTTAGGTGCCTGAGTGCGGAAAGAAAAGAAGAAGAGATTCAAAGCTCCACAGCGTGTACCTTTTCGAATGCCGTGGATCCGACAGCGTGGCAAAGCTTCCATGCCATATAAACGGGTGGCTGAAGAGACCGAGTATACTGACACGAACGACCCATTGCCTGCAGAATAGACATGACATTATGAGGGACAGCGTAAATATTCTGCCATGCGTGCACAGCACCAGAACGGCAATGTACCTGGATGGTACTGTGCCCATATACAGTGTCAAGTTTCCAACACTGATTATGTACCCCTACTACACTGTACCTGCACTAGTGGCCACTCAAGTATGTGATCTTGCATCAGTACTAGTACATGTATGCTAGAGTTGCACACAATACATGGTGGTTCTGCACCCAACTCAAGCGTACACAGGTCATACATGGACTGGTACTACCACCACACAAACCCACTATTTGTTTGTGGGGCTCGCTGACACACGAAGGCGAAACGAGTACAGATTGACTGTACAACATGCACGTGCGTACAATGTACGTGCTGCACTATGACCTACAGTAGGGACTCGCTCACCCGCACCGACTCTAAAAACACGGCCATGAAGGGGCCCAGGTGGTGCTGTGCTCTTGTGACACTTAACATTACGCGTGAAAGCTGACCACCTGCCAGCTCTGCCAGGATGGCTGATGGGCAGTTGGCGCAGGGTGCCGGCCAACGATGTGACCCCTGCCTGAAGCGCACCCTCGACCTTGCTGCCGAAAAGGGATCATCCAGCTGGCTGACATGCCGCCCAATCAAGCGTCATGGCCTGATTCTGCACAAGCAGGCCTTTCGCGACGGCATCTTTGTCCGCTATGGTTGGACACCGCCACATCTGCCTCAGCAGTGTACCTGTGGCATGGCATTCTCGCTACAACACGCCTTATCCTGCCCGACAGGAGGTTATCCTGCAATTTGGCAGAACGAGCTGCGAGACGTCACTGCTAGGCTCCTGGATGAGGTAGCCCACAACGTTGTGGTGAAGCCAGGTCTCCAGCCGCTGTCTGGAGAGTGGTTTCGCCACTGCACCGCAATCTGGGAGGACGGCACTCGCCTTGATGGTGCAGCCAGCGGAGTGTGGGGTGGCCAGTTTGAGCGAACCTATTTTGATGTTCGGGTGTTCAACCCTTTGGCTAGCTCAAATCAGGCCCCCTCCCTCTTCGCTACATATGCCAAGCATGAAGGTGAGAAACGCCGACACTATGAGGAGCGTGTGCGGGAGGTTGCACATGCGGTGTTTGTACCACTCGTGTTCAGCACCACTGGAGGGCAGGGAAAGGCCGCTAGTGCTCTTTACAAGCGCCTCGCCACTACGCTTTGCGAGAAGCGGAAGGAGCTGTATTCTGTCATGATGGCTTATATCAGGTGTCGGCTTGGCTTTGCGCTGATTCGCTCGGCCATTGCGTGCCCCAGAGGCCACCGCGGTTGCCCTCACACTGTAGCGTCGACGGGCTCCGCATCGCTGATGGTCTCAGAGTGCTGCTTGCCTGGCTAACCTTGGACATCCTGCATGGCACATTCATGTGACTGTAGTTCTCCACATTTTGGACGTGATCTTCAGTTGAGCATGACTTATACAATGTAAGTATACCGGTAGTAATTTCCTTTACCTCAAGAATTCATGTTTATTTTGCCCGTAGAAGAGGCTTTCAGACTTTAAAACAGAAGAAGTCATAATCAGCTTAGCAGTACGACTACTGCATGCAGTTAAATACAGTACTAGCACCTGTAGTGACGGGCACAGTGGAGTATCCTGATTCCTGGCCGAATCAGGTACACTCATACCTCGGTTATCGCGGACCCCGAAGTTACGGGCACTTCGGTCTACCGGACACCCGTTTGGGCGAGTTTCAGTGGAGATACACTCTTTTGTCACTTTGTATGAAAATAGTGATGTCACATGCCATACCTATGGCCTTTCCCATCAAAATGTATGTGATTCGGAGTTACAGTCACTTCACAGTTACGGGCAGTGGGCGGTCCCGGACCGCACGGATAAACGAAGTACGAGTGTAATTCCACAAATTTTGCTGCCGACCAATGTTTTATTGTCGCGAGTCTGTGTTCACTGTGCTGTACATGTTTCACTCCTTGTGTGGAGTCTGTATATACGTATTGACTATTCCATACAACCTCACACTCTGACTATCAATGACCGTGCAAACAGATGCTCATGCTGGATGCAGATGTGACTAGCAAACTGCGCTCCCCTCCACGGATAAAAGGTATACAGTGCAGTCACGTATCTATCAATTTACTTCACTGTATCATTTTCAATGTAAACCGTCAGGGAAGTGAACTTAAATCTGAAATTCTCCCAATCCTTTCAAATACTACCAATCTAATACATAATAGCTATGAAAAGTATGAATGCCGCAGACATCACCACGCAACATGACAATTTGTTCAAGGTTTTAGATTGTGTGTTTCCAGAATCGATTTTCAAGCTCCGATCATCAGTGGAAATACGGAACTAAAGTGATCAAGGGAAAAACAAAGGTTAAAAATCCAAAGAAGTGTGACACATGACGCGTAAGTATTACAAAAAGTGAGGGCTAAGATAAAGAGTAAGTGTGACAAATGGGCATGAACAGTGCAGAAACAACTCATGAACACGGGGTGCAAACTCACGAAAATAACCTAAGTGCTAAAACATGTTCTTTTTGCTTACACAAATCGGGCTTATGCGTGCGAATACAAACAGCTTCAAGGACCTTCAACTGCTGGACATAACGGGCACGACACAGTACAGAGAAGTGGGAATCATCATACACACTCAAACAATCGGGACGAGATAACAAATGCATTTGTTATCTCTATTATTATAGAGATATTATTAGTTACATTTGTTATCTCGTCCCGATTGTTTGAGTGTGTATGATGATTCCCACTTCTCTGATTGATTGATTGATTTTTATTTAAGGATTGTCCAAAGGCCGCAGAGGCCTATCGAGCTGTACTGTGTCGTGCCCGTTATGTCCAGCAGTTAAAGGTCCTTGAAGCTGTGTGTATTCGTACGCATAAGCCCGATTTGTGTAAGCAAAAAGAACATGTAGTAGCACTTAGGTTATTTTCGTGAGTTTGCACCCCGTGTTCATGAGTTGTTTCTGCACTGTTCATGCCCATTTGTCACACTTACTCTTTATCTTAGCCCTCACTTTTTGTAATACTTACGCGTCATGTGTCACACTTCTTTGGATTTTAACCTTTGTTTTTCCCTTGATCACTTTAGTTCCGTATTTCCACTGATGATCGGAGCTTGAAAATCGATTCTGGAAACACACAATCTAAAACCTTGAACAAATTGTCATGTTGCGTGGTGATGTCTGCGGCATTCATACTTTTCATAGCTATTATTATACTTTTTTCTCCACGTAGATTATTTGTAATCTAATACATGTAGACTATTTTATATTTTTTCTGTTTACCTGATATCACCCAGTTTGAAACGGAACATAACGCCGTGCTTGGAGAAACGAGACTCTTGGAAATAAAATCCATGGTCGCCACTGTATGTACACCACCGTCGATGGTCAACTTGAGAAACAGATGGGTTGAATACAAGGCAAAATCAGACCTACAGCATGTACTCTTGACTTCATTCGACCAAGCTTGCCAAGGGCAAGGGGGCTGGGCCTGGGGGCCGGGGGTATTCTTGACGTTTTATATCACTCTTCTCGAACACTGATTATTATGATGATTTTTTGACTTTTCCTTTTGAAGTTTTCGCACATTTTTTGCGGCTGCACGTGGTGGAACAAAAAGTGCTTGGGGATTCCCCCGATCTGTGTAGCAAGAGCAGAGACTAGCAGACTAGTCTAGTTCCAATACATAACCCCCTACATTTACCAAGACTGCAAGAGTTCATAACCCCCATGGGGGTTATGAACTCTTGATTATACTTTATATCAGGGAGTAGTACATTTGCACCTTTGTGTCATTATTGCAATTTTCGCTGTTTACTTTAGCTATCTTCTTTCTTTCTTTCTTTTTTGCGCTGTTTTGCCACCTTCTTACTGTATTTAATCCACTGTTCCTGTTCCTTTTCCCTTGCCTGTATTTCACCTGATGAGAAGGCTTGAAAGTATACTTGTGAAGACAAAAACTTTCAAGATGTTTGTAATGAGCCTGAAGTGTGTCCTTTTTATGAGTATTAGTACAATACCCCTGCTTTATATAGCAAGAGTAGATAAACTGTTTATCTACTCTTGATTATAGCAAGAGTGTTTGTGGACTTTTGATTATAGTTATGTACTCTTGCTTTTATTTATGACTATCAGGACGACATCCAGGAGCGATCAAAGAATACACGACTGACGTTAGGAGAAATCTAAAAACTCCCCTAGCATAACGAGGGTCAGAACTGGGTTCAACACCCATATGGCTCAGATGGTCCCAACGGACCGGGGCTGTCCAACCGTGGATGGTTGTAGTAAGGTCACTGTTTCCGAACACGGTGTCCTCCACCTTGTTTATGCTGTCAAACCAACAAGTCAGTACTCGTGTATGGGACTTATAATTATATTCTTGGTATTATAATAAGCTCTCAGCTCATTTACTCTTGATTGTAGTACCAAAGCCCACAGCGAACAAGGCAGTGTGTGCGGCTTGACAAAACAAACATGGACAAAGAGAGAACGCTCGGGGTTGGTGTTTCACCAAAGAACAGGAGAGCTAGATTTGCCGCTGACATTACGTAAGAGCGGAATAAAAACACACATCACACCGAGAGTTGCCCAGACCAAGAAAGCAAGCAAGACAGAAAAAGAAAAAATGGCAGGAGAGTGAGTGGGCTGGTTCTCACTGTCATGGATGTGTGATGTGTGATGTGTGATGTGCGATGTGTGTGTGTGTGTGTGTGTGTGTGTGTGTGTGTGTGTGTGTGTGTGCGTGTGTGTGTGTGTGTGTGTGTGATGTGTGCGTGATGTGCGTGGGGTAGAAGCAGAGTATTCCTCACACAATATACAAAAACTCTGCTACCGGAAATGGACATGAATGCAAGTTTGAAGCTCAGCGTAATAACTGAAGTTAAAGAGCAGCGAGACACAAAGTCAAATCGACAATGAACTCAAACATAAGACGGTTTAGAAGAATGCAGGCAAGTGACAACCCGACTGCTTGCGATATGACGGCAACGAAGAGAGAGTCGTAGATAATCATGATTGACGTGTGCATTATCTACTCCAGGCACACATTGTGAGCACAGAAGGTAAGCACACGGGCAGAATAAGCGCTTTCCTTCACCCAAGAACAGCGAACAAGATGATTGCTAGCGTGATGACAAAGACAGCTAGCTGGATGAAAACAAGTGTGAGTCAGTAACTGGCGTGCCGTCTCAAGCACAGCGGTCCACATGCCTTCCCGCTCTCACTGAGAGAGACATCAGATCACAAACTCAAGTAACAGAAAGAACGCCAATGAAGTCATGCAGCGGATCCAGAGTTCTGTCATAAAACAGTGCAGCTGTCAACTACAACAGTCAACAGGCAAAGTTATTCGGGAAGCAAGACCTTCCGTCGAAAAGAAAGCAATCTGATTAGTCCCAGCTCTCCTCCTCTTCCTGAGCAGCAGCTCCAGCAGTGGATCTGCCCACAGACCAAGATTTCTCCTGGCCACCGGCACCACTGCCTCGGTTAGAACGGAAGTCACTGTCATCTCCATTACGGTCACCACCACGACCGCCACCACGACCACCACCACGGCGTCCCCCATGCTAAAAACAAGAAAGAAACCAGCAACAAGAAACCTAGGTCAATGCGTCAAATCTAATGAAAGTACAACATTTTGAAAAGAAAAATCCCACCAGTCAAACTGCGACCTTTTGAACATAATAATACCGTATGTCTGCTCCTTTAAAGCCATGGTGGTATATTCGACTATAAAGCCAGTCACAGTTATACGGCCATGGCTTCATAAATGAGATATCATTTGGATTATGTTTCGAGGAATAAGTGATACATACTTACCGGTACAAACTTCCAGCCCGGCAAGTGGAAATAGATTGAAATTTCTGTGTGAACTTTGACTTTTATGGCATGGCGTAGTGGGTGAGTCATTAGACTCATTTTTCATCAAAAATAGCTTGGAAAGCAGCAGTGTTTTGAATATAAAGCCATGGCTTAAGGTGCAGACATACAGTAATACTAGAGTTCACGCAAGCGCTACTCTACCGGATGTACAGTTGCGCTCGGTGAAATCCGACCCGAAGTGCAAAGCTGGCGCCCTGGACCTGTTCTGATTACATCACTATATTTGTACATGTGTACGCCCAGTAGCATTCGTGCCACTTCCAGGGCGTCAAGGGCCGTGCAAGTTGAGGGCTCCAATTATGCACCCTGGGTCGGATTTCACCGAGCACAACTGTACATGTAGTAAGGTTTCACTACATTATTTGCAACATGTACGATAAAGTACTCCACATATCAAACTGACATGTCACTCAGTTATCCGAAAGTGACGGGAAAAAGAGTTTTTAATCCGTTGTGCACTGATTACCAGCACAGCATGAAACACAATTAGAAATTTATAGAAAAGAAAAAAGGACCTAGGAACTACAAGTTACGCTCTAATGTCCACTAACACCACCAGTTACTAAACAATCAGCTCATGCGATAACATTGCACGACACTGACCGACGGTACTGACGTTTTACAATTAACTGGCTAAGGCCGCAACCACACTACGTAAAAATCACAGTACAAATTTGCATGCATATCTCAGTACAAGTCGGTACGCAACCACACTACACTTTTCGGTCTGCATAGATGACGTTTTCACGCGAACAGCACGTGACGTTGTCGTACCAAAGCGTGTGCCATGCGCTGGAAAAGACCGGGAAATTCAAAAAACAATGCTGATGCTGATGCTATGTACGACGACCAGGTACAAAACAAAGAACAAACGACGAAAACGACAAACGTGGCTTTCTACAGGGGTGCGCCAGTTGCTGAAAACCTACAAAGCGCGTTTTGCTTTTCGCACGCTTCCGCATGACGATTTCTACTGTAATGCAGTTTGTACGTGATTTTGTACCTAGTGTGGTTGCAGCCTAACAGCTCTAGCACATCTTGGATGCGCACACCAACAGCCTTCCAACTAATTACTTGGAAGGTTCTAAGTTATAGAAATAACATGAGGAGGGTTAGCCAGTTAGTTGTAGAACGTCAGTACCGTCGGCCAGTGTCATGCAATGTTATTGCATGAGCTGATTGTTTAGTAACTGGTGGTGTTAGTGGACATTATAGCGTAACTTGTAGTTCCTTGGTCTTTTTTCTTTTCTATAAATTTATCCTTGGCTTTCCATCCGAGTCCAATTAGAAATTTCAGCACAATTTTCACCTTCAGCCTGAGGTCATAACTTTGGCTTCCTTCACTCAATTTTCACAATCTTGGCCTCGTTGGAAAGCTCCAGGTGAGAGCCATGCGAGGATACCAGGTTCCACCAAGCAGCCTCCACATATCAGGCGCAGGAACACAGCGAAGTCGTCTCCAAACCCGATGTGCAAGCAAATTCGTCCAATCAGCGCCATTTCACTATCCTCCATCGCAGAACGCACAAAATATTATTTTTGACGGTTCACTTCTATGTTACTACGTCACTAGCTTGTGCTTAGTAGCTCCAAAGGCACGCAAAAAATGATTTTTCCGCAAAAATGGCGATGAGTATTGATCGAAAATTTGAATTTGCAGAGATCATAATTCGACATGCGATCTTTCTGGAGTCAAGACATCGCAGATCTTTGGCGACTGTTGCAGTGGAGAGCTAGAAGTTTCTGCTACCACGTAGACCCTTCGATTGTTGAATTTGAACAAGAAATGACGGAGTTATTAAGGATTCTTTTTTTCGCAAAATGTTCAAAAACATTCTGGCGCAACCGTCGATCAGCCGGTTATCCGTTTGTTCGGCCATAAGGCCGCACGTTTTTATTTCTATGTTTCTCGTCACCTGAAAATCTAAAAACGTATGCGAGAGGTGGAAAAAAATAAAAAATGACTGAAAAACAAAAAAAGCTTATTAGACCTTTGTTCACACTAAAATCCACCAATACACCATGCAAAATAGCATCCATAGTTAGCAACTAGTAATAGTACTAGTATGTGGTAGGAGCTTCTGTCACAATCTGTGCATTTGCAGCTAGATTGCGCACAAAAAATGCCGTCCTTGCATCATGTGTCGCGCAGGCCAGGCCAAATTATGTACATGTGCATGAGTGTGCTGGTCCCCAAATGCACAGTCACTGCAGCACAGTTTTTTTTCTTTTTTTCTTCCAGACTCCTGAATCGTATGCGCGCGGGTGACGAGAAACATAGAAATAAAAACGTGTGGCCTAACGGTTACATAACCGGTTATTCGTAACAACCGTTTCAGCCCTATGCAGCAGTTCTAATAGGGATGCATTGCACATTCACCATGCATGCTCTGCACACATTATCCACAAATCCAGAGTGTGCGACCTGGTGCCGGTGCCCCATACGGCAGCTAAAACTTACTTCACGCATGTCGTGTCCACCAAAGCCACTGCCATGGCCGCTGTGAATGCCAGATCCTACAGCCTGAGCAGCAGCAGTTTCCAGCCAGTCAGGCACTTCTTGCAAAGACTGCAATCAGGGGAACAACAACAACAATTATTGGCCACAGGCCATCGTGAGAATAAAGATTTGAAACAAAACAACAACAACAGCAACAGCACCATCGGAAGTAACAAACACAGAACAGTTAATAGACATTCTACACATTGTTGTTATGTGGTGTATCGCACACGCTCTGCATATCTCCGTATCGTGTTTGCTTGAGATTGATATGCACTTGGTGACCTACCCATAGTCCATAGGCACATTTTGTTTGATTACAATTCCTGAAACATCTACAGTTTGGGCATAGATCACACTCTACACTGTTCAACTGCCAGCAAGAACTGTCGTACCTCTGAAAGAATCTTCACCAAGCTTCTTGCAATACCCTCATCCTTGCCGATGGTGAAGAAGGAAGTGGCAAGACCAGAGTGACCGATACGACCAGTACGGCCCACACGGTGAACGTAATCTTCAATCTCGGAAGGCAGGTCAAAGTTGACAATGTGCTTGACGTCCTGAATGTCCAGGCCGCGCGAGGCTACGGATGTGGCCACCAGTACAGGTTTCTCGCCACGCTTGAAGTCACGCAGTGCCTCTTCTCGCTCACGCTGCTGACGATCACTGAACAACAAAGTGCAATGTACAAAAGCTCTTGATTAATATTAAACGAAAACAAGGAAAACGAAGGGCTTGCTTGGCTCGCCATCTGAGTACTCTTGATTAATAGTGAGCATAGAGGCAGTAGGCTTAGGTTCTGCGAAAGTGCTCAATACCTGATTCAGGCAGAGCGGCGTACACAATTGCCTGATGATTGGTCCAGCCATGAAACTCTGGGTCACAACGGGATTTGCCCAAGGGTTTCATTGTGTGTCTTTGTGTAATAGTTAGCATAAACATCATCCATGATTTACAAAGCATAAACATCATCCATGATTTACAAAGCACAGATGAGCAGCTATAAAAATTGGGCGGCTTGTGTATTTGTGATGGTGGCAGTGAGTTCCACCGAGAAAGCACAGAAATGTAGAATAACAGCATCTCATCCCATTCTTACAGGAACACACATACCGTATATTCTCTATTATAAGCACATTACTAGCACACTGTGAGCACCTTTCGAAACATTATAAGCACGGTCTCTATTATTAGCACGGTCTTGGTGGAAATCAATGCTGCATGCATGATATCTAGCATGTATTTCTTCTCACTCTGTATGGATGCATTGGTTGAAAAAATATAAGCACGGTCTCCAATATACGCACGGGGTAGAGGGTGTTGAAAAAATATAAGCACGGCGCATAATAGAGAATATACGGTATACAGTCGTGTACATGTACCACACTATCAGGAGCCGGGCACGGAAGCTAGAAATAAACACCTCGCTTGGTTTTCGAAAATGAGCATCACATGTCACCACTGAAATGAGAACCTCTGGCAATGATTCAGGTGAACATTTGAGTACTTTCTATCCACACTGCTGTACATGTAACGGACATAACAAGCAGTTCTAAAACACATACCCATGAATGCTAGTGCACGGGAAACGCTGCTGGCAGAGGTACGACGCGAGGAAATCGGCTGTTCGCTTTGTCTCCACAAAGACAATCGTTCTGTCCATCCCTGGTCACACAAGCAGTAGAAGATAGCACCAAGCATAGAAGACAGTAGGTAAAAGAGAATCAGCGGATGCAAATGATTATCAGCAGAGCACAGTCACTAAACAGAACATGCCCCTGCAGCTACGCACAAGTGGCCATAGCACAAGAAAACCCAGACCGCTATCCATGTACCCGTGATAGCTGTACCCATCTCAACTAGTCACACCAGCCACACCAGCCACACCAGTACATACCTTGCGAGCTCAAGATCTCAATGAGCTTCTTGCGCTTGCCAAACTCCTCCACTTGCACGACACTCTGCTTGACATCACTGGCTGCACAGCCCAGGATACCAACAGTCAAGAACAAGTAGTCATCCAGGAAGTTCTTTGCCAGCTGCTGCACTTCGTCTGGGAAGGTGGCTGAAAACATGAGCGTCTGACGACCGGAGGCCATGCCCAGCTGCTCAACAAGCTTCTGAATGCTGGGCAAGAAGCCCATATCGAGCATGCGATCAGCTTCATCAAGAATCAGATACTTAACTGCACCCAAATCAATCTGCAACACACATCACAAGTGGAAGTATCAAATATCAAGAAATACGACACACTTATTTTGTAGCACTAAATACAATTCGATGTCAACTACAACCCGTACCAAGAGTACATGAAACCCAGAGTGTGCAGCTTGGGGCTTTTTCTGCTATGGGTGTCTGTCACGGCGAAATTCCGTGATTACATCATTTATGGCGCAGATCTGAGGCGGGAAATGGCGTAGTGCGTACAACTGAGCTGCAGTTGTGCAGAAAGACACCTGCTTGTATCCTGCTTGTACCCACTACATCACTAACATGATGTAATCACGGAATTCCGCCGTGACAGTAACCCATCCGAGCTGCACACTCTACTTTTCATGTACTCTTGCCCGTACTGAGACAAGGGTCACTATCTTCTCAACTAGAATTCTTCACGATTGATCAGCAATACCGGTGGCTAACACAACACACAGCGTCATTACCACGGGGCACACATGACATTGCGCTGCACATAGTAGTACCTTTCTTCTGTTGATGACATCCATCAGGCGACCAGGGGTAGCTATGACCATGTGACATCCCTCCTCCACTTCACGGATCTGTCTCCCAAGACTGGTACCGCCATATAGAACTACAGGTCGGAGCATGGTTGTGTGGGAGAACTTTTTCGCCTCTAGCCAAATCTGCAAGGCGAAAGGAAAGCATAGGAAAGGAACAAAAAGGAAGAAACAAAAACAGTCTTTTGAGTGTGCCAGTCTACAGCTAGTGTAACCTGAAGTTGTACTTCCTCCGCGTCATCGAAATTGTCGCAGTTTGACAAGTGACTTGTCACTTGTTACTGACAACTCCATAAGCTAAACCATTCAAAACTTAATACGCAGTATTATAGTCCGAAGACTAGAGTAACGTTCCAGGACAGTTGGACTGAGAAATTTCACGCAGAGATGAAGGCCTCGTCCTCGTTGATGTCAATGGACGCAAAAATATCGTTCCAAAATAATTCAAGGAAGGTTGTAAGTTGGTCGCGCCTCATCTCAAACGCTTTGACTTTCTCAACAGGACAAGACCTGCTATGCTTGTCGTCTGCTAGCTCTGGATGATTTCTACTTCACCACCAACGAAGTAAGAATACACGATCGTTGCGAGGTCGGTTGATTACCATCGGCGGAATCACCTCGATCTTGAAATGAACTTTTTTTAGCCGTGGCATGCCCATTCATTTTAGTTGTGTGGTCACAGCTCATGCAGGTAAGTGTACTGTCACGTCCAGCGCGCCCTCTTTTTCTGCATCACTGGTACATGGTACGGCATCTGCGCGTGCATCACTAGCACTACGTGTAGAGTCTACACGGCTCTTGTAGGTACAATCATACTCGTACTGAGTGTCTCAGCCAGAGCGACAAATTTTATCGCTGTTGCATGCATTTAGTTTGCTGACCCCGCGATGTTTCTCCACGCGCCGCTACTTGTTCCACGAAGTCATTCTCACCCCAGCTAAGGTAAAATAGTGATGAGGCTTGAGTGAAAGGCCATAAGCACGAGAAATGTGCGGGCTGCAACGCCTGACTGATCTCAACGAGTCGAAATTACCATCGCAGCGACATCAGCGAAGAAATCGCGTCTAGTTCAAAGATTTCAGCTTCCAATAACAGAAAATAGAACTTTGCCGTCACCCTATATTGATGACTATCGCCTTTGTCCAATTCCTGGCCTCTGGTACGAGTGCTGGTGAGTAAATACCTCGTTTTATGTCAAAAGTCAAACTGCGACAATTTCGATGACGCGGAGGAAGTAACTGAATCACAAATGACAACGTACAGTCTTTGGTAGTACAGAACACACAGGCAGTAAACGGCCACGATACTGTGTATAGCGAGCGTGACATTCGTATTATTAGGATTATCAATTCGTCAATTTCGTTACGCAGCCCGAGCTAACCAAATTCAACTCCGAGCTAAAAGGCCATGCACATGCATACTACACTGTTACTGGGGAAGACAAGAGCTATACTCAGCCTAACAAGATATAATTCCAAGCAAGCAGTGCCAAATTGCTATGATAATTTCACTGATGACTATTTCTTTTTCTACAGTGCGAGTAAACTTGAGCAACCAGGCATGACATCGCAGGGACTAGATAATACAGAATGTGTGTGTGTGGGGGGGGGGGGTCCCACCAAAGCAGTATCACCATACAGAATAGTGCATATCGCATGTATTCTATGCCGTCCATACCTGAGTGACCAGTTCACGAGTAGGTGCTACAATAATGGCAGCAGGTGACTGCACTTCGGCAAACTTTGACGCGTCAATTCCGTCTTTCATCATACGAGACATGACGGGAAGGATAAATGCAGCCTGTACACAGCAACAGAAGCCAGGGACAATTAAGCCAGGGACAAGTGAGATAACAGACAACAACATCATTGCAAAACAAAATGAGAACTCGCACTGCGTAACACGCAACACCTACAGCAGGGTAGTATCATCCTGGCTGGGGCAGTCTGTTCGCAGCTGGAAAACCGTTGAACTGCATCAGATTTAGACTTTTAGAGCACACCAATGAAAGGAAATGCAAAATATTGCCATGCACCGGGATGGCGCATTGCCATAGCTACCCCCACCCTTGCCATATCATGCACACTGAATAAGAATGGAGGGTGGGAAAGCCTGGGCATTCGAATGGTGGGTGAATGTATGGGCCCGACACCGCGGCATAGGAATGGTAAGTGAATGTATGGGCCCGACACCGCGGCATAGGAATGGTAAGTGAATGTATGGGCCCGACACGGCGGCATAGGAATGGTGGGTGAATGTATGGGCCCGACACCGCGGCATAGGAATGGCAGAATAATATTATGACTGTACATGTACCCAGGGCCGAACTTACTGTTTTCCCTGAGCCAGTCTGTGCACAGGCCATGAGGTCTCTACCAGCCATGATGACAGGCATGGCATACTTCTGTACAGGTGTCGGCTTCTTGTAGCCACTCTTACTGACATTCTCCGTTATCGTGCCATTCAGGTTGGCGTCCTCGAAGCTGGAAACCGGGCTGACTGGCTCGCGGCCAGTAAGCCGTACGGGGATCTCGTCAAACTTGTTGAAGTTCAAACCGGTAGAGTTCTGCTTGAAGAGCTCGTCTTCAGTTTCGGGCGCAGGAGGTGGCACATATGGCGGAGGACGTGATTCATCGCGAGGTGGTCTATCACCATCGTCCATACCATCACCTATAGTGAAGCATGAAGCACATTCAGAAAAAATGGAGTCTAAAAAAGTATCCAAACAAGTTCTCATACAACACTCATCAGGAATCGTCGTTGAACTGAAGGACACTGAAACAAAATTTCTCTACACTAAAAAAAAAGTATCCATTCCCAATCATTCCCAATCATATGATTTTCGTGGCAGAAACAGCCAGCTGTCTACAGCATTGGGAACATACGATTTGCATTCGCTGAGCACTCTTTGTGCAGTGGTTCGCTACCTGTTTATGACTTCCAAAAATGTAAAACTGTAGTCATAAAATCACAGCAAAGGTGCACACTTTTCTGCACAGCCGGCCATATAAAATTACTGAAAATAACTGCACTGAATGCATTGCACCCATCAATGCAAACAGCCAACCAGAAGAAATGTTGTAATGCATGCTACTTTGCTGCAGACACTACTAGATCTAGATCAACATGCATGCCCATCAGTCTGCTAATGTGCACTAACAATGCATGCTTCTGTCCAGGGTGGGAGAAAAGCATCACAAACCATCGGTATTCACCTTTGCCTGTACAGCTGCCTACGCCAATATAAGCATTTTAATGCTCAGCAGGCATACGCCATGTCAATCATATTCGAGAGATTCTGCAAAACGAAAATTCGAACGAAGTTTCACGACGGTCCTTGCGAAAGTGTGCACGAATTTTCGCACGAACTTTGCGTTCTGCACATTTTCGTAGTTTGCACGCGTCAAGTGCAAGTACGCCATGACCCCATCTCACGAAACTTCCTACGAAAGTTCATTTCGCGTTCCCTGCAAGTTTCGCGTCCAAAGTTGCACAAGTTCGTGCGAAGTTTCGCACATCATGATGTAGAGCGAAGGTTTGTACGCATTTTTGTTTTGCAGAACCTCTCTAGTGCTTGTCAAATTACACCTCGCTAGTTTTTTTATAATTATTCGAGAAAAAACATGAACTAATTCCACCAGCTGCACTCTACACTCACGGCTGGCAGGTATGACGATGATTTGTCATACGTGCCAGTCCTGCATCCTACTATCAAAATAATATTTTGATTGCCAGATGCTTGTCGAGCTGAGATACGGAAGAACCAAATCAAAGTGACAATAAGCTACTTGATTCATAGATCACGGAAAGAAGACCACTAACCGTGCCGGCCACCACCAGAGCTACCGCCATTCTCCTCACGATCTCCAGAGCGGAAATCACTACCAAAGCGGCCGCCGCCACGTCCACCACGTCCACCACGTCCACCGCCTCGGCCACCTCTGCTGCTACTCTCGTCACCTTCGCCGTCTTGAGAATCATTGTCGTTCCGCCTAAAGCCACCCGATCGACCGGCAAATCCACCAGTACCTCCACCACCAAAGCTAGAGCCACCGCCACCGCCACCACGTCCGCCGAACATAGGCCTTCCGGAGCTGTCACCATCATCAGCTCCGCCAGAGTGGCCTCCACTAAATCCACCTCTTCCTCCGCTGAAGCGACTTGAACTACTTTCTGCTTTACTGCTAGTGTCAGTGTGTTGTTGCTGTTGCTCTTGCTGTTGATGGCCAGGAGAGGAAGCAGTTGGCGATGGAGACTGCTCTGACCGTGCGTCACTTGAGCGTGACGGACTGCTTACGCTCGATCTGCCTAAACCTCGGCCACGGAATGCGGCAAACCGTGGTGCCTGCAAAAATCACAGAAACCATGAGAAACAAAATGCACGTTAATAATATATTAACTGGTTTGAGGGAAAGAGACAAACGTTAATAATAGTAAATAATAAATTAATAATATCTTTATTAGGATGACCCAGAGGCCTGTCGCCTATCAAGGGGTTCACCGCTTTGAAGGATGATCATCAAGGGAAATGCGCGACGTGTCCCATGTACATAGAAAGGCATGCACACACGCTTCTACAATGCCCTTATAAGGCACATAAACAGCATTCAGCACTACATACATAAGCCGCGTCACACTAAGAAGTGGCTTAACGTTTTGCAACTTGGAACAAATCGAGAAAATCACCAAACATATAGACATCACTTTGGCATGAAAAAAGAATTTTCCAAAAAGTATGCCAAAGCCACCTTTTTGCTTGGCTCGGCTCACATGTAGAAATAAACTGTACAAAAAAAAACGTTTACTCCGGCAAGAAGACTTGAAGAAAAGAGCACCACACTGAACCAGCTCAGCTATAGCCACTCGTCTAATGAATTTCTCGAAATGCTCCCTTGTGTGACATACACACCGAAGTTCTCTTCAACTTTGGATACACCATAGCACTCTGCATGCACATAGAATTCGACTTCTGCCTATTACATTGACTAGTATTTCAAAAATATAGTATACTCCTCCTTTGAAGTACAATACACGAAGCTTGCGAAAAAAATGAACTATTTTCTCATTTTCAACTCGCGTTCTGGGCATGAAGACACGTCGGAAACACGAGTAGCCCTGTGGATAATGATAACAATACTGATATTTTCAAATACATGTACCACATGCACCAATGCAATGACAAACTTCAAGAATGTCAGAAGCACACAATATCAAAGTCTGTTGAATTTTCGGGGTGGCTGATTCTTACCGTCATACTCTCGCCCGCCGGACTTGCCATGGCTGCTATTAGAACCAGATTGCTTAGTACCTACACTCTGAGCAGAACAATTACTCGAGGCTTAGGAATTACTTAGCCTTCTCTCTCTAGCACTGTTTTTTTTAACACGCCATGAATCCCTTCACAAAAGCATTGATAAAACAGAAACAGAAAACTGATTTTTGCATTTTGTACGCAATCGATGTATGTCTGAAGTCGCACGTGCAACTCGCCACATGTCCCCAGCGAAAAGCTGAGCTGAACCAGGCCACCTGCAGGGAGCACTACGCATACCGTATGTATACCGTATATGTGTACCGTATGCGTAGGGCTCCCTGAGCTGAACGTACCCACCCGTACCATCCGTAGATATCTAGATCTACCGTTGTTTTTTTTTTTTTGTTTTTGTTTTTTTAGTCTGCAGATCTGTCACTGTACTGCTGTATAAATCATACGTAATGACTGATAGAATGCTACACCGTAGACCCAGGTGCTCGAAGTCCGTACACGTTTACAGTGTGTGTTTGCCGAGCTGAAACTCACACTAGCAATGATCACTTGCCAGAATTCTGCTCGTGGATGGAAGGTATCTTGTCCAAGTTTGTTCTGAGGCCAGGCTCGATTGAACCAGGCCATCTTTCGATCCGATCTGTTTCTCTGGAGTTCGCTGATTTTTCATATCAAATTTTGGTGTCGCAGAGGGTACTCTAAGTCCGTACTGATCAGAGGTGACTCGAAATACGCACATATTTCCGCTAATTGCTAACTTGCAAACCCTCGGTTACGACGAAAGCACCGAAGGGATATGTTTGGCATGTGCCTCCACCAGTATTTCTTGCAAAAGCGTAGTTTGTTGCCGAAATGCAAGCTGTTTTAGTCGGCTCAGAGAAGAAGCAGCTGCGCTGTGAAAACCGCGGGAAAACAGTGGTGAAGATGCCAGGAGTGTCAACCTTTCTGCAAGGATTGGTGGTTCTCTGTAAATTCTTCTCCTCTGGCCATTGTCAGCTCTAAGCTGGCTCTTGATGATTGAGTGAAGGTCCGTTTGACGCTTTGTCCGTTCGAAATCGGTCTTGGCAAAGTTGATTTTTGCATGAAATGTAACCCAATTTGTATTTCGTATGGACACTCGAAAACCCACTCGCGTGGTATGGGACTTCTGCTTATCGTAGATTCCTGAAAATTGGTACGCGAGGAGAACATACCACACTGTCCCCTCCATAAAATATTTGAGTCGAATACAATAACAGAACATGAAATTATGGGCGTACGAACTTAGGATACCATGTACGGACTTCGAGCACCTGGGTCTACCTGTGAAGTAAAAGAAAAAAAAGGCCCAACCCTGCCCTACAATGTAGCCCTGCCAGCTATTTGGGCTTACGGGTACCGGGTGTCGCCATGGCAAATAATAATATTAAAGAACTAAAGACTATAAAATTAATGACGGGAAGAGGCAGAAGAAGAGACAGGTGCATGTACAGCGAAAACAGAGCGGCTACCACGCAGGCACATGACACTCGCTCTGAGCAACGCAAAGCTAAGGCGGCAGCGGATGAATGACATAACAACCGAATACGGTTCGCCGCTTTTCTCAGCAATGAGAGATGCAATTATTATTATTATTATTATTATTATCAAATTTTTGATAGGGCAATCCCCACAGGCCTAAGGCCTTCTTACAGGGTACCCTAGAAATGAAAGTACTGAATTCGCTTGTAAAGCGAGGCAGATTGCTTGCCCATGCCACCGGTTGTCGAGAAGACCAACGGGACAAATGAAGCATGCTCGATCTCCCGCAGCCTCTCTTCATACGATCTCTTCTTCGCTTTCTCATGGCGAACGTAGGTGGCAGAAATGGAGGAGGACTGGTTCGAAGACGCAAAAGGGTTGAACACCCGGACGTCGAAGAAGGTGCGTTCGAACCGCCCTCCCCACAATCCATTTGCTGCTACGTCCAAGCGAGCCTGGTCGTCGCGGATGGCGGTGCGATAGCGCAGCTGCTCCCCACTCAGGGGCTCCAGATGAGGCTCTACAGATACGTTGGTGGCAACACGCTTCAAGAAACCAGCGGTCACATCGCGGATCTCGTTATGCCCTGATGGTAGGGTAACCGCCGGTGGGGCACGAGAGGGCATGGGCCACAGGCACAGTAAACTGGCTTCCACAAACGCACCCTGATGGCATGCGCTGTGGTTGCCAGTTGTCGTGGTTGTACCTTAGGTGCACTCCATCGCGAAACTCCGCTTTGGAGAGGGCAAATCCATGGCGCTTCAAGGGCCTGCAGGTCAGCCAACTGGATCAAGAAGAGCCCTTCTCCGCAGCCAGGTCGATTACACGCTGCTTGGCATCCGGCACACTGGAGCGGAGCAGCAGGGCTTGGGCTTTGACAGCATTCCGTGCTGTTATCCTCACCTCCGCTTGCGCCTTGGCAGTACGAACACGAGACTGGTTGCAGAGCCGAGCGCCATAGTCTGCAGCTTGATGTTGGTCTGCAAGGACTCAGTCACCCTTCGCGGATCTACCGTTGTCGTCACTTTTTCGAGATTTTCAAGATTCAAAACTAATAATTATTACACTGTACTTACAAAAAGGTCACTGCACTCCCACGTTCGCTAGCATGCACATAATTATTATATACATGGGTGACATGGCGCGCTTCGATGGATCAACGCGCAACTACATGATCAAGAAGATCAGTGCGCGCATAAACAAAATTGAGGTTTTGCGTTTATTTCAATTAATATTTTGCTTGTTGTTTTTCGACTGTCTGCTATGGCCAAGTCAAAGTACGAATACGTCAAGCAGTTCGAGACATGCGAGAAGTGCTTGAGGAACACCTGGGTTGCGATACGCCTGGATGGCAGAAGTTTTCACCGGTATGTTGCTTTCAAATTGAATGCCTCAGCTTCTGATACTAGTAGGTCATAGCAGGGAGCTGTATAGTTCATACAACTCCCTGGTTCTTAGACTCACAGTCACACTATGCTGGTACTATTAAATCACTGCACGTGTATACAATTGACTGGCTGTTTGTGCCTGGGCGATATGTTTGGAAAACAAAGTACGATTATAAATTGTTAACGTAGTACAGCCACGCGTCACTTATCCGGCGTTCAGTCATCCGGCATGTGGGTTATCCGACAGCGTGCTGGCAGCTAAAGTAACTTAGTTTTCCGGTGTGTTCCATGCAAACCATTTGAATACCCTGAACATTGCCTTATTGGTATGGAGTGGGTTCATAGTGATGTGACACGAGTTTCCAGTATGAAAAAAGTGCCCACATTACAGCACATGGACCTGGACATGTGCAACCATGCATACCAGTAATCATCTTGTTAATGTGTGGATTGATTGGTGATAATTTACCTTCAGTTATCTGGAGTATTCACTTAACTAGCAGGGCCCGGTCCCGAGGGCGTTGGATGTCGCCGCTACAAGTTTCAACAGCTCGTGTCCCGAGTACACAAGAGCATAAACATCTTGGTGTATTGCTCCTGCCTACTCTGACATTTTCTCCCCATAATATGAGGTATACGACGTTCCTAATATTATTACGAACGTCGTATATTCCTTCCGGCGACGGGTTTGTCTGCTGGGATTTACGTCCCACCGTCTGCCAGAAAAAAGTCATTTTCAGCCTGTACTGTGGATGTGCCAGACCTCTACTGGAATATACTTGCCCAGTCTAGACCTTCTCTCTGACGCAAGCTGAGAGAACTTGCATGGACAGACTGCAGGCACGCATTAGCAGATGCATCCTCCACAGTCGAAACCCTGATTGGCACATCCCAAGAGAACTTATTTCAATTATCTCGCCGGCAGTCCCTTGTTGGCGGCGCCACGTCCAGTGTCTCTGTACAGTCCATCATATCCTTCACGTCTGGCCTGATACCCTTGATGAATTTCATTACACCCTCAGTTCCAGTCCACGCAGACCATACCATATCAACACATACTAGTACTCTCGTCAACATTATACTTATGTTATTCCATTGTGTGTATGTTATTCCATTGTCTATCAGTTTGGAATTCATTACCCACGCGTATTCGGGAGATTGAACACCCCCGGCAATTCCGTACATCCCTCATGCAAGAATTTTCTACTTGTATGTATTCTGTTTCTGGTATACCCGCTTTCTCCCGACAGTATTGATTAACCAAGCCATAACATACATTGCACTCATCTCCCTTCCTCCCTCTCTTCCTCCTCTTTCCTCACACAGTAGAGCACCTCGATAGGCTTCCGCAGCCTTTGGACAATCTAAAATCAATAACTTGACACGCTACTGTGCATGCATATTAGGAGAGCGACCGTATCCGAGCTCTTCCGGGGGGGGGGTCTCTGGTTGCGGTCAGGAACACTGTTTCCATACAGTCAGTGTCCTCGGCCTTGTGCTATTCTGCCATCATCATACCTGTGGTAGATTACTAGTATCAAGCAGAGCTTACATATCCCAAAGAATTCTCAAACATCTACTAAGGCAAGAGTGCAGCATGATACTACAGGCGCGTAGCACCGCCGTTGACAGTGGTCCGGGGGGATGTCCCCCTGATTTTTTTTGAAATTAGGGTGCAAAATCCTGCATTCTGGGCAAGTTTTGGCATTGTTTTACTATGGTGATCGTGGTCGGGCGAAAAACTGGTCCGGCCAAAGCCGGAGCGGCTGCTACGCCCCTGTACTACCGGTAGTTGTCGTCTCTGACAATATTTCCTCATTCGCTGCAACACCCAGATGAGAAGGGAACGAATACACTCGGTATACATCCTTATAAGCTGTAGACAGTAGAACTTTGTCTCTATCGGCATTATAACTCATAACCATGAACCTTCCATGTTGTAAAGTCATTAGTTAGTGCTATCGAACTGTGCTCAAGCCCAGTATCATGTATTGCAATGTCTAAGTGTCAGTATTGTGCTACATTTTGCATATCTGACTGTTCGAGAGCTGGCTTAGGTGAACTGTAAGGCATAATTTGTTCCCCACTATTCATTTTTATCCCAGTAATCAAAATTGATTTCTGTTTGTATCTATCACCCTATCACTGTCCAGGTTCTCCGACTCGCATGGCTTTGAGAAGCCCAATGACTACCGCTGTATAGCATTGATGGCGCGTTGTGCCCGGGAAGTGATGCAAGAGTTCACGGAGATTGTACTAGCGTATGGGCAAAGTGATGAGTTCAGGTAGGTGCTGTGGTACAATCACGCATTGGTGTATTTCCACTCTCTAAAATAATACTGACTTCCATTCATGATTATTGTCATATCAGAACTGAATGGCACAGCTTGTCATTCAGTACCAGTGAAGACAGTGATCTATCGTTTTCCTGATTGAGTGCCCTAACGCAGTGTTCTCCATCATATTTCACCATTTAGGCATCTAATCTATCATCTCGTTCACATCTGTCAATAAACTGTGTTTAATAATACTTACTTATTCATCTGCTGCCATGGCAACGTGTTCATACATGACATTGTATACACCAGTAGATGATGAATAGTGCTATCTTGTCTCGTGTGTTCATCTCTCATTCAGCTTCGTTTTGCGTCCGTCTTGCAATCTGTTTGGCCGAAGGGCAACGTAAGAGCCACGTCTGTATTGACGTCCTATTGAGGAAGTTTGCGACGCTTTGCGCATACTTGAATTGTTCAAAATTGGGTGTTTATTATCCTAACGCTTAGGAATTTACGAATAGGCGGCGCGGAGACAATACAGTGCGTATCGGTTATAGTGTAGTCGTGTAAAAGAATATACACGGTTGTACTACCTACAAGAATGAACTCTCATATTTTCATAATCATAACATAGGTTTCAACTTTCAAGTTTTACAAGTAATGTTATCACGTAGTAGAATATATCGGTCCTATTTGAACCTAAGAATGGACTTTGTGTAGCAAAACATGCCAGATTACCGTACTGGCAATATATGTTGCCGCGTAACGCAGGGGGGTGCGGCGTAACGCGCGACCAGGCTAGTGCGACAAATTTTCGTTGCGTTCGTAACGCGCGTCCGGCAGGGTGCGGCGATCTTTTCATTGCAGTTTCCAAAAAATGATGCGGCAATAGCAAAAAAGTGATGCGGCAATAGCAAAAAAAGGACTGCGGCAATATAGAAACCTGTGTAACGGCTTCTGTGCGACTTTGCATGTAACGCCCTGCGTGCGGTAAACATGTGCCAATGTAACGCTTCATGGCCTCACTGCGACCATATATATTGCCAGTACGGTAGTACAAAGTGGGTCGCCTGTAGTAATAACACCTGTCCAATGCAGTTCTGAGACTCGCATTGCATCGTAGTGCTGCAGGTTCAACTGTTGTTGTCATGTACGTGCAACTCATAAATCGAGTCATTATGCATAGCCACATGGTAAGAAATATATCCCTGAAGATGCCCTCTTGGGCCAAAAAATTGGAAGGAATATGAAGTTAGTTTTTTGGAGAGATTTGGAGAGGTTTTCATTTGTGTAGCCAAGGACTGTGCGGACGTGGGCAGTAGAAATTTAAAAAATACTGGAGAAAGCCTGAATATCGGCACTTTTGAAATGCACTGTAGTAGGCTATTAGTTGATTGACTATCATTCCTGTGCAGCATTCGATGGTTACTAAGCAGAGGTGTGACTGCACATCTCTCACTCAGCCAATGTTGGGTTTCTCATGGCAGACTGAGAGAAGGTCTCAGGTTGATCACAATTAGGGCTGAAACAATTATACCGATAACTCGCATATCGATCGTTAAGAGTGCAATCGATAATCGTTAGTGTTCACAACGAGTGCTAACGATTTTTTTATGCATGCATATCAGTGAGAGTATTCTATCCCTTGCACTCCATCCGATAGTGAATACGAGTGCAATCATGTACATTTGTACTTTCAAGCACAGTAATATTGATTTGTGGCTTTGAACGAGATCGGGGAGGAGAATTTGTCTTTTCGGTTCATTTGTGGGGGAGGTCGAAGATAAGAGCAGTTGCCAGAGGATGATGACAAGATTCTTCGCTCTAGAAACAACGTGAAATTTTCTAGTTCATGTTGATAAACCAGCCAGATGTTATCAGTGCTGACTCTGCTGAGCCATACATTTCTAACGTAGCAAAGGTAGAGCCGACAAGAATCGATAAAACCAATATATCAACCGTTAATGATATCGGTTGATCGTTAGGAGTTATTGAATGATCGATTCAGCCCTAATCACAATGTTCATCAACTTCATGTATGTTTGGCATGCGTGTGTGTGTGTTTTGTGTGTGGTTTCCAGTAAACTGGCAACGTGTATGGCATCATACTTTGCATCTTCATTTGTCTTCCACTGGGCTGCACACTTTGAGGATGTACGCATGCAGTACCCGGTAACGTTTGATGGCCGTGCAGTGTGCTATCCGACGGTGGAGAACTTGCGTGATTACTTGTGCTGGCGGCAAGCTGATTGTGAGTGGTGCAAGCTGATTGCTTTGGCTTGAATGGGTGCAGTAGTGTCCCGGATACATGATCAGACATAGCCCTCAGCTATGACATGCTGTGTCATCATGACGTCATGAGTATGCTTTCCATACCCATGTTACTATTGTACATGACTGTCAGAGTGCAGAGTGGTACATTTGTGTACATGACTGTCAGAGTGCAGAGTCTGAGTGGTACATTTGTGTACATGACTGTCTGAGTGCAGAGGGGTACATTTGTGTACATGACTGTCTGAGTGCACAGGGGTACATTTGTATACATGACTGTCAGAGTGCAGAGGGGTACATTTGTGTACATGACTGGCATTATGTCCTCCTGACTGCTCTACATATACCACGGCACAACTTGCAACTACTTTACTTGTAGATTGGAAACACACAAGTGCCAGGTGTACCAAACATTCAGTCTTGTTCTGAATACCCAGGGGTAGAGCTGTGTAAAACGAAGATTAGCGAGTATCTATTGGAACACTACGTTCTGCGTACTGGGTGAACACCAGACACAAAGCCTTGATATCTGGTAGTGGTAGTAGCCATCATCATCTGTGTGGAACTGGGAGAAACAAGGATCAATCCCTGATAGTGTTCGTAGAGTACATTTACTTCAAAGTACTTACAGTCATGCAGTCACATAGATAATTCCACCTGTCATTACTGTCTATGGTGTCTAATTCCTACAGGTCATATCAACAACTTGTATAACACTGTGTTTTGGTCGCTGGTCAAGAAGGGTTTAACTGGAAAGGAAGCAGAGACTAAGCTTTGTGTAAGCCTCCGTTTCCTCTGCCTCTGTCTGCTGTGCATGTAGCTAGCTGAATGTTGTACATGAATGTGGAGCTCTACTGCCTTAGCTCTCTGGTGAGTGGTGGGTGTTGTTTTACCGGAAATCCTCTTTACACCTACCTCAAACTATTTTTATTGTTTTCTTTTCCTTCTTCTCCCATTTGTAGTTAGTACATGTGTGAATCGCAACACAGTACATGCAACAGCCAGAAACTCAGCATCATGTCCTTCTTCTCCTTTCTACAGGGCACGGTCAGCAGTGACAAGAATGAAATTCTCTTCACTGAGTGCAACATTAACTACAGCAAGGAGCCCGATGTTGCAAGGAAAGGAACAACATTCGTATGGGAGGAGGTGAGTGTCATCATATGTAGGAATTGTGGAATGGCCTGGACCGTGCCATAGTATGGAGGACGCTATGCCGAACACATCAACGTGTTGTCCTAGTTTCCTAAGATTAGCGTAATCAAAGTACAGTAATTTACCCTCAATTATATCCGACCCGAAGTGCTAAATTGGCGCCCTCAACCAGTTCCAATGGCATCACTGTACTGGTACATGTGTACATCCAGCTGCATTCGTACCACTTCCAGGGCGTCAAGGGCCGTGGACGTTGAGGGCGCCAAATATGCACTTTTGGTCGGATTTCACTGCAGGAAAGACCATTCTGAAATGCACTCTATTTCTTTGCTTGCGATTAGAATGTGCAACGTCTGCAATGTCCTTACAGTGGACTGGTAAAGCAGAGGTCAACACCTGACCCGTGTGCCTGCTTCTTTCCTTCTTTTTCTCCTTTGTCCAGGTGGTAGAGGAAGTACCGCTTCACGGCCCATCTGCATCGACCTCAGGGAGCAGTGAAGTTACCTGCCTGGATGCCGAGGTGTCCACAAAGCACAAGGAAGAAGGCAAGCCGGCAGTCACACAAAGAAAGCGGAAAAGAATTGCAGAGCTGCACTGCGATATTATCGGTGACCAGTTTTGGGCTGAACGACCGGCACTGTTGGCTCGTTAGGCTCCAACGAAATGCGCCATTAACGAGACAATGGCTATCCACATCCAGGCAAGTCCTGTTCCTACTGACACACTGGCACTGGTTCCTGTGAGGAGAGATGGATGTGATAGAATACAGCCTTGGTTGGGCCTTGTGTACACACCTCAGACCAAGTCACTAAGTCGGCTCATTCTGTCGCTGGAAGCTGACTGCCTGAATGGAGTCCAAAGCGAACCCACAGCGCTTCAAGGCATGGTAGCGGGAGTGCTTGTGAACGTGCAAGTCACTACATTTTAGACCCGAACTCACAGTGAGTATTGCACCTGGACGTAATGCTTTCGCTCTGCTTTCACCCAGAGTTGTCCGTTCTTCTTGCTTGAAGTAATTCTTGCTGGGAAGTGTGCCATGGTCAGACGTACATGGGCAATACAAACGTGCACATCGGCAACTACAAAAAGAGATCCCGCTCTCAGAGCGACTTACTCCTGCATTCTGTGTTCACATAACACAATGACCTGAAGAACACGCAGTCAAGCGTGGCGTATTCTTACTTTTGTTTGTGCAGTACATGTATTTGCGGGTGCAATGAGGCACTAACACGTACCAGTACATGTACCAGCATGTCAGATATTCGTAGCACCAAAGGGCAAATATCACACATTATCAAGAATATGATTGGAACTCGAGTTACTCGACCCACACGTTATTTTCTCTTGTCCAATATTTTTTATGTAGGGATAGCTGCTAGGACAGTCCTCAATGGCCTTGGTGCAATGCCTTCACACACAGAAAGTGAAAGGTCACCCTGGATAATACCGAGTTGTAACTACCAGGGACTTATACTCAGCCGTGTAGTACTAGTATGGCAATTTTCACTTTTCAGGCAACTTTTTACTCTACTGCTTTCCTGTGTTCTCTCAGCGTCGATGGTAATGACAATGTGTTACTGCTGTGCATGTATTTTTAGACAGCAGTATTATTCAAAGTTCGAATTGGCATTGCTGTAGTTCCTTTTATTGTTGAGACGCCTAATCCTGGCTGTTGCTTACGGAAGTCGAGAGGCAGAAATTTAGCATAGAATCAAGACACTTGATAGAATGAATCTGTTCGTTTTTCACAAAAAGCTGTGTTTGTCAGCCTTCTGACTCTGATGCTCTGTCGTTCATTGTTGATTGCGATCGGTTCAGCCAGTGACTCTGAGCTCTCCCCTGACAAGATCTAATAAGATCCAAACAGCTAGCCGTCCCGAGGGAGCTGTATACGAAATCTTACGAGTGTTGTGCCATGCAGCCAGACTGCACTACTTGTCTTTGTTTGACGGGACAACCACCACTCACCCACCGGGTTCATTGGATTGAGAAACAGAACGTTGGTTAGGTATGAAAGAAACCATCATAACTATTAATTTACTTGATCACCACCTAGGCATTGAGATGCTCAACACTACACATAGCCAAACCAACCGTATGTCGAGGCAGTAAATGACAAGGCTGATGAAACTACGACAGTACAGAAGTTCTCAAAATGGTTGCATGGCCTAAGGGCATGGTCGATTGGTTGGGTTCGGATCCAGATCAATCGGATCCATTCGATATGCGCACGGTCGTTTCAACGAATCCGGATCCAGATCCAACGGATTCGGATCAATCAACCGGTTAACCGGATCCACCAGATTCATTTTTTTGCCAAAAATCGTACTGTGTACTGTGTACATGATAATGGCGGGAGCAGAAGTGATGATGCGGAAATCGTTGCTTTCTCTCATGGAAAACCTCAAAAATCACAAAAATTCCAGGTTTGATCAAGGGCAGCGTTTTATTGGACTTTGGTGGCTCCAAAGGATCCACTTGATCCGGATCCAACCAATCGAACATGCCCTTAGGTTCACCAAAAAAATTAAAAATATTTAACAACCATACACAAAACAGTTCACTGTGAAGAAGTTCTCATCCAATCGTGAGACCCACACCAACACGGGCAGCATTCTGTTCATGGCTAAGCATAGCGCTGAGACTGAAGAGGAACGGGTAAGGAGCCAGGCGCTTCTCAAACACTGAACCGACCGTCCAGTTCGTGTCAACCATGCCGCGGAACGTCATGTTAGCAACGGGCACATCAAGCTTGTAGCCGACCATCAGAGCAGTGTGCTTCATAGTGTCGCCAAAGTTAGCGTTCAACTCGGCGCCCAACTAAGCCAAGAACACCAAGAAGCAAACACAAGAGGAAGGGACAAGGCTAGAAGACGTACCATGATCAGTTCTACGTCTCAAGTACGAGTACGCCTGTGCCAAGTGAAATGTGAATAGCCACGCCCGGCCCTGCATACATGACTGTAGCACTAGCGTGGACACCACACAAGGTGTACTCTGATCAGGGATCGGGTGGGGTCAGATTTCGCTTGCCACACCAGCTAGGAAGGGATGAAGGCAGAATACACTCAGTACCGTGTTTTCCGGAGTACAAGCCGCACTGGTGTATAAGCAGCACTCCTCATATATTTTGCCACGAAATACAGACATCTATCCTATTTATTGTGGTATGATATGGTATGATACAGTATTTAGTACACTAAAAGTCGGGCGCTGGTCGTGCAACGCACGTGGTTACTGTTTCCGGTGCAGTTTCTATGCAGAACTGACGGTGCATGGAAAACGGTCGCTCAAAATCAGGAGGCCGTTAATACCAGAGGACATTTAACCCAGGTTTTACTGTATGTGAATATGTCACCAAAATCGGCGCCACAAACGGGAATGAATAGGGAGTTAACTGCATGCACAGCTCAATAAAAATAGTCCGCAGAGTATGAACAAAGTGTAAGAAGAGGGAGAGGAGAGTCAGGATACTAACCTGTACGGTATCACTGTGCTTCAAGTAGTACGATGCGGTAAGCGATGAAGGATTAGCAGATGCAGCCAGCTGCCACCGAGGACCACGGAAAAGTCCTGCTAACGAGAGGCGAGCCTTTTCGCCCTGCGCCGATTTAGAGTAGAGCAGCTCAGTGCCAAGACCGACATTCGGCGTGATTCCCTGCATGAACTGGCCAACAAATGTGCCTGCTGCAGACAACGGATCGGGATTTGCAGCGACAGCTGTCAGCGAAAAATCGCGCCCAGAGTATGTAGCATCCATTTGTAGGTTCTCCCATGATGTACCTTCCGTCTGTACGCAAAGAGACAATTCGACAAGATAAAGGTAGGAAAAGTCACAGGAAAGCCAAGCCCAGAACAACGCAGGTACAATCGCAGTCAAGACGGGTGAGTCTGATTACTCGAGCAGAAACGACCATGCCTTTGTAAGGAGTGAGTGAGTAAAGATAGTAAATAGTAAATAGTGAGGTTTTGCATTCCGAATTTCGGTTCAGCGTTCTTCGGTCATTTGTCGAACATGAAAATGTCGAATTTTCGCACCAACGTTTGTTTTGCAAGTCGAAAATGATGTGTTTTCATTTCGTGAGCCCCAGCATCAGCAACGTCCTGCCCCGTGCTCCTTTTCTTGCTGATTCCTACGAACTTTGATCGCCCAAAGAGTCGAGGGCCAAACCTGCCTCCTCAGTCGCCTCAGAAAAACCAACTCCATGGCCAAGTCAAATTTTATGCGTGTCGGCATAGTCTTTTCAGCCACACAGATGACGGTGAGGACACTCCAGGCGAAAGAGAGTAGACAGGCAGTGGAGAGGAGCAATCAGAGGTAGCTGACGATGCTATGTCGCCAAAGACGCCTGCCAAGCGATGCCGAGATAAGAAACCTCTTTGAATAAATCACGCGCTAGCGCTCTTCTACAAGAAAATGCATCCGAAAAATATTTTCGGCAAAATGAGCTTTTTCCGAACAAACACGCCGAATCTTCGTGTGCATTTTCGACCTCGCTCCCGCGTGCCGAATCTTTTTGCCGAATTTCGGAATGCGAAACCTCGCTAATAGATCAGCAACATTCTTGATAGGAAAAAAAAGGTTTCAGAGCAGACTCGCTCTCTTCCCAGTCACTCTGCAAACTTGAACTCATTTCTCACCACTGCTACTAACATTCTTGATGTTTGCCAAACATGACAACAATTGTGACACCATAAAACATGTGTATTTCCTTGGCTCACCATGCAAGTTCATAATACAAGTACAGTCTGTATCGGCTATAGCGTACCCTTTTGATTTCCGTGATTTTATCACTATAACCGATGCATCACTATATGCGATACGATCGATTTTTCTTTTTCGATCAACACATGAAAGGCGAGGAAATACTTCCAGCATGGCGTTTGGACAAATGAGCATTCTGCATAGTTGACAGTGCCCACATTTCCATAAAAAAATTGTGTACATGTACCTGTATCACTATAAAAATAAGCAACGTGAAGAAAGTAAAAAAAAATAGGGCCTTTGATATTATTGCTACATGATTGTATTCTAAAGTTATCACTATAGCCGATAATAATAATTATAGTGTGTTATGCATGTTTTGATTCTTTGTTGCCACCATAATATCCGATATATCATTACATCCGATAATATTGGTTATACAGTAGTGATATTTTGACTGGATAAAATACGTTTTGCTTTTGATATTTCGTACCAATATCACTGTAGCCGATGTATTCTTATATCCGGTCACTCTATAGCCAATACAGACTGTACTCATATTTTTACACATGGTCAGAAATGTTGACATGAAGGTTCATGTTCAAGTATACAAAAAAAGACCACAATATATTGTCGAGTGATCAGTAGTGGAAGTTGAGACACCACCGCCGACGCCGCTGCTCATAGTGTATGACCAATCTGCTATAAAGGCATTACCTGTAGGATAAATCTGCCCCGCATCCTTTCTGTGAGTTGATGTATGACTTGCGCATTCAATGAGCCGGATGTGTCCATCTCACTGACTAAAACAGGAAATTGCTGGGAAAGAAGAACAAGAATAAAGCGAGAGAAAGGGAAAGGAAGAGAGAGAGAGAGAGAGAGAGAGAGAGAGAGAGAGAGAGAGAGAGAGAGGAGAGAGAGAGAGAGAGAGAGAGAGAGAGAGAGAGAGAGAGAGAGAGAGAGAGAGAGAGAGAGAGAGAGAGAGAGAGGGAGGGAGGGAGAGAGAGAGAGAGAAGTTCAAGCAATCAAAAACGGTATCTATGCAGTCAAACACCTCGAGGACAAACACTTCGAGGTTCCACCATAATTGCAAGCGCACAACATAAACCAGGGTGACACTGGTTCAAAAATTAGACTTCTACTGATGTTGTACATGTATTAGTATGAAAAGTCAGATGTTGTGAGTAACGAGTACAGTTCAGTCCAGTGGTACACATACAAAGAACAGCAGAAGACCAGTGTATACGTAGGTGCAGCTTACATCTCCAGGCTCAGGGCCTTGATTGTCGCCAACGTAGGTGGCACCAAATTTGTAAGAGGACGGCTGAGAGCCGGTAAGTGCTAGTGTATGTGACGCTTGGAAGTGTGGCGTTGATGCGGCGTTTGACGACAATTTAATTCCTTCAAAAGGCATCGGCATGATTTCTACAAAGAAAAACAAAGATACACACATGGCATGTCAGCCGCTAGCAACCATGGGTAATTACCGTATTACACATGCACGTGGAGCTGTGCATGCACTGCACTGTGTACTGGGCCTGTGCTTTCGCCCAAGGGCATTCACACGGAGGTGGGCTGGAAAACAGAACAAGAGCATTGCAACGTGGCAGCTGGGCGCGCACACTGGTAGTGGGTGTTATACTGGGTGGGCACACGCCTTTACGGCATGCAGTAGTTCTCAATTGATCAATGGATGACCAAAGCCTTCCAAGAGTCTGGCTATTCAGGAGCTGCGAAAGATTTCCAGCAAGTCGCTCTTATAGACAGTGCTGGTATATGCACGGTTGAAAGCAGCACTCTAGTAGTCCGGAATTTACGCCCTTATATTCGCAGGATCAGGAAATGCATAAGCCTTGTGATCGTCGCAGCGGTGGCATCCAGCTCTTATCACCCCCCTCGTAGGTCAGTACAAGCCCTCCCGCAATAGGAACAGCCAACGGACTCAGTCCATGTGCAATGCACATCACATAGCCTTCAGTGCACTTGTCACTGTGACTGTCTAGATAGAGTAAGCCCCTAGCAGCGGCAATCCAGACAGCTATCTTCTACTGAACAAAGCAATGGAACTTGGATATGTGTTTTGAACTGTGTTCACCGCACAGCATCATCATTGTTACTGTAGGCACTTTGACAGCAGTGGAGCTCACAAGTGTGTGTGTGGTGGTTCACGGCTGCTGGATACGGCTATGCCCACAGATAGCAACACACACGCTCTAGCTCTTTGTGAGATAACTGTTATGTCCAGACTGCATACTAATAACACCACCCACACCCACCCACGCGATTGAGTGAACAGTTTACTCAGATCGCTGTCGAAGTACTGTAACACCACATATTTCAACGCCATTTAAAATTAACGGTCTCCGGTTTTGGTAGCGACGTGAAATGGTAACAAATTCTGGCTGTATTACCCAGCAAATGACCGCACATACTAAAGATATGTATATCGCATTTTGCAGAAAATCAATTCAAATTAAATCTATAGAAAAGAAAAAGGACCAAGGAACTACAAGAACTACAAGTTACGCTATAATGTCTACTAACAACACCAGTTACTAAACAATCGGCTCATGCGATAACATTGCACGACATTGACCGATGGTACTGAAGTTCTACAACTAACTGGCTATCAGCTCTAGCACGCCTTGGATGGGGATGTGGTGCTAGTGGATATTATAGCGTAACTTGTAGTTCCTTGGTCTTTTTTCTTTTCTATATTATTTATTCTTCGCTCTCCATCCGAGTCCATTCAAATACTTAATTAAATCGTTAGATTTAAATGTTCATCAACAAAAATGGTCTTACAGTAAGCATTTCAAATTTTTGAATAAAAGTATAAGGGATACTGAACGCGACTGATGGGGTACCGGTAGATATCCAGCATGGTCCCACCTGTGCGCGAGTGCAATATTTTATTTTCCATTTATCGAATGTTACCCTTTGACTTCCTTGTTTGCTACTCCACGTATTGCCTTTTGAACTTGCAGGGTATGCCAATACTCAGCACGCTCACTCACATACACTATTTGGCAAACTGCACTCTTGCTAAGGCTGTTGTGCAATATTGTATTGGGAAACACTGCACACGTGCTAAGGCTGTTGACTGGCTTTCTTACTCTACGTGGTTGCAGTCACAAACATGCGCTGTCTTAAGCCTAGTTCACATTCGACGCAACGCCGACGGTACGGGACGTAAGGGCTTGCCGGAGGGCTGGGGTGAGCTGTAAAATCCTGTACGATAGTACGACACGACATGCAGCAGTCGTTGCGACGTTCAACGTCGAACGGCGCGAGTCATAAGGCACGGTCCATGACGGGGTGACTTTCGGACCTAATTTCTCGTTTTTCGGGACTTCTCTTCAATTATTTCTCCTTGAAAGAAGCGGAATCAAGTTCACAATACCAGTTTTTCATGAAGACCAAAAAATTAGCCCTGAAAGTTGTGGCATTCAAATAATAGCCCCAGGAAATGATAGAATAGTTCGTCTGTCACGCTTCTGAACTATCCCTAAATACAATAAGTGACATGAGATCTTATGTTGCTAAAATTCAACTCAAGTCGTGCTAGCCATTCTGTGAGTTATCATGGGAAGCACAGTGTTCGAAATGCTAAAAATTTCCAAGTACGAATCGGGAGTAGTCGACGCACGACGCCGTCTCCTGTTCACACTCGAATTGCAGCCGTTTTGTACGCTTGCGTCCCCGTCTACGCCCGTCTACGGTATGAAAAGTTGGATCGATCCAACTCTTCCTGTCGCTTCCCGATCTGTACGGTAGTACGGTTGCGTTCCCGTTCCTGGTGTTCACATTGGACGCCGTCAGTCCGTCCCGTCGCTTCCCGTCGATCCTTACGTCGCGTCCTGTCGAATGTGAACTAGGCTTAATGGCACGCCAAACTCCAATGCGGCAAGAGTACATACTTAGTAGGGCTGAGTTGGATAGCATTTTCTTCGGGTATCGGGTTCGGGTAGTTTTCCACGGGTAGCACGGGTACCCGATCGGGTAATGTTTCCATGGTAAAACCTCAATGCACCCCTTCCCTTACACACTCGGTAGGCATGCGGAGTATTACATGAATTTTTACATGTGCACTGTACATGATGTCATCTGCGACTTCAGGTTTTCAGGTACTATTCTGCACCCGTCTACCCGAGGTCCTCATGGGTAGCACGGGTACCCGACTACCCGTGCACACCACTAATAATTAGTAACATAAACCAACCAAAACCGATCCCACGGCGAAGTTTTTTTGTTTAGGTGATCACGAATCATAGAAAACCTGTGATACCGTAGGTTCAGTGCAAAAGCACCGTATCACTAAGGTGATAGCAGGAGACTCGTGTGTGTTTTCACCTTTGGTACGCCGAGCAGCAATGCGCAACAGAAATTACCTTGGTGGCACGGTAAAGTAATCATGTGAACCAGTGTGAGATGCAGCAAAGGTGAGTCACTACAAGCAAGAGTACATAACCCCAAGAGTATGCAACTCCAGCTATGGGGTCTGCGACGGCAGAACTTCACATCACGTGATGAACCCGTACACATTATTTGCACTCTGTGCATGATACATTGTAGATACAGGGTTGTACGCAGCCCAGCTTTGGGTACAACTCTCTTGTGGTCACTTTGCACTGTTTGCCAGCATAACCTTTTGAACCATGTCACGTGATGTGAAGTTCTGCCGTCGCAGCACAGCATAGAGGTTGTGCAGGCAGTTGCACACTCTTGGGGTTATGTACTCTTGCTACAAGCTAAAGGTGAGTCACTACAAGCTACAGATACCATGACCGGACTTGCACACTGTGACGAGTTGTGGATGCATGCATACTAGTACTGTGTGTGCCAGAGCATACATCCACTGTAGTCCCATTGCTCCATGTCTTTGTCCTCTCAGGTACATGTAACAATGGATATTGCTGCTCTGGCATCAGTACGCACACATGCAATCGATGGCTGCGTATGTCTACATGACTTGTGGATACTACACTAGTAGCTCCAGCTGCATCAACTCTCGTACAACACGTACCGACTGCTGTCTGCTATGAAGCTTGTAGCTTCACTCTGCATGTGAAAACTGACCCCATCCTTATGATCACATGCACGCCAGTGTCCAACAATTCTCCTAAAATCTAGCTGATAATAAAATTTAAAAATACAGAAACCAGAACTATTCCATTATGTCCTTTTAAATAGTAGGCAGGAAAATAAAATAAAAGTCAAACATTTCCCCTGAATGTGCATGAAATACCGTGAGTGAAATTCAATTTCGGAAACTTTGAATGACTAGGATTTTTAGCAATAACGAAAATATCAAGAAAATATGAAATTTAGAAATTGCCTCTTACCTCTAGCTGCCTTATGCAGTTCCTCGTAGGTGCCTGGAAAAATCCCATGCTCCTTCGGGGGAGGTGGAGATCCTGATGCCATCTTTTATTTCAGGTCAAAGCCTTGAGAACCTAGTTCTTCATCAAATCTCAAGGTCATTAACTTGCTCCACAACCCAAAGTCCTTAGCTCGGCCTTCGAGCTTCGCAAGGCTTGACGAAAAAATCCGTGAGTTCAGCTTGATCTTGAGCTGAGAAGCAGCGTGTGTCGCAATCGGAGCCGCTGAAGCTGATCGGCCGATCGGTCACTTTTCTCCAGCACAAGCGCTAGGCCGCACATGCAGTGCACGCAAAGTCGAGGTTGCCATCGAGGCCATTTTGTTACCCTAGACAACACGTGCACGTGCATGGAGCATGCATGCATGCAGTACATGCAGGCGAATTAATTATTTTTTCGATTATTATAATTTCAAAAAGTCACAACACAAAACTTCTCAAAAGCTCAGTAAGTCGTTTGACCAAAAAGTTGATGAGCCTCCTCTTTTTTTTCCTTCCTGTCTTGATTCCTCTGTACGATCTGTGTTGACTGTTGTCGAGTAGCTAGCAGTCAGTGGGCACAGAACGTTACGTTGACCGAATGGACCCCTTGGCCTAAACGTCCTGGATGGTTGTGAAACAAAATAGCAGGATGCTAAAGTCTTTTTTTAAATTTATGAGAAGAAATGGTCAGCCAGGTCTGGCAGCTTTGCCATCTCCTCCACCACAAGCTGGTCTCAGATTTAGAGATACACTGCCTGTTTTCCCGTCATCCAAAGGCAAATTATGGCACGCGACGTCTAATGTGACATTGTCCTTGGGCGGAGTGATTGGCCAGTTGCTTGTATGGAAATTGTCCGAAACGAAAGTGTACAATCAAGAATATTTTCAAGAATCAGTTCTGGACCGCGTTCCCGGCACGCCGATCATCTCGGCGAGCAATCACAAGGCCGTTACAGATGATTGGTTACTCTGCTCTATCCTGGGAACTCACAAGCAAGCCTTGACAGGTGATATGAGATATGTCATGGGTGCAGAGGAGGTCATGTTCTGGTCTTATAAGTTGGCACACATATGCGCCATTGCACACATCCTGCCCATAAGGCGTGGATTTGGTGTGTACCAGCCAGTTATGGATGAAGCAATTAATTTGTTGGGTCAAGGCCGCTGGCTACATATCTACCCTCAGGGCCGTATCCTTCACAAGCGAGAAGAAGATGCTACACAACGACTGAAATGGGGCATCGGACGCTTAGTTGCAGACTGCCCAACGTTCCCTGCTCCTAAAATCTTACCCATGTGGCATGTTGGCATGGATGATTTCATGCCCAACGTAAGGCCCTATCGCATGCACCTTGGCCAGAGGATCACACTAGTCCTAGGCAAAGCGATGGACTTCACAGATCAGCTGAAGGAGATGCGTGAGAGAAATTGTAGTCAAATGAGAATCCGAAAGCAGATTACTGATCAAGTTCAAGACCGCCTGTCAGAAATCCGTGAGGAAGCCTGGGCTTTGCATGATGCTCGTTCCTGAGCAAAGGTTGTATAGTACAAGAAGTACTCGAAAGTGTGTGTGTATATACAAACACTCGGGTAGTACGAACAATATATACAGTGTCACTGTTGTACAGATGGTACAGTGTAATGCAACGGTGGAACACGTCTCAATATGTACAGGGAGCTTGTCAGGAATGCATGCACTAGTGACTATGGCATGGATGATGTGTCATGCGGAGGCAGCTTGTGCAGTAGCTGGCGCTGATGCAGCAGCACTGCAATGATTCGTAACGAAGTCCACGAACGGCACGAGTCCTTGCGGCGTGTATTCCTTCATGGCAACTGACAGCAGCAGCGGCTTTGCCAGGCCCGTCTTGGACAGCGACTCGACAAGACTACGTGCATACACCAGCATACCCTGTGCAGGTAGTGCATGAGAGCAAGAAACCGAGCGGTGATGAGAACTCATACTAACATCACCCTTGAGGGATTTTTAAGATAGGAACAAACAGCTGGATAGTATAGCTGCAGTGACTTTTAGGCTACAGTCTGTGTGCGGTGTGTTCATCATGAAATTAGCAAACTTGCATTGCATAGCACTTGTCATAGTTATATTCTTTCCTGCTGCCAATGTTGATGCTGTAGCTGTGATTATGTCTGCTGCTGGACCTTAATTTTTATCATGGCTAAAATGCCATGTTTTATGATTTAACCAGACATGTCCTGTTATAGGGACTTGGTGTTCTATCTTTTCAAACTTTACTCTGTTTCTATGTACAATAGATTATATCCCTACTCAGTCCAGCACTTGTTCGGTAGGGAAAGTATTCCTTACAGTCTATGCACACTAGATTATATCCCTACTCAGTCCAGCACTTGTTCGGTAGGGAAAGTATTCCTTACAGTCATTTAAAAACTAGCCTCTTTTTACGGGCAAAATAAACACAATGGATTCTTGTGGCGAAGGAAATTATTATGAGTCATGCTCACCTGAAGATAACGTGAAGAATGTATTTCTTACGCAGAACTACGACCGATCAGTACACTACATGTACACATTCTATTCTGCTGGTTCTTATTCCTATGTTTTACACACTCACCTCGTTTTCTTCACCAAGAAGTGGCCGAACTGTGTATGTTTCAAGCTGATCTTGGTTTGTGGAGTCGGCTGCACCGTCGCGATAGCACAGAATCTAGTCATCAATGCACCAAAGAAGTAGAAAAAATCCATCCTGTAGTAAGATGACTCTGCAGACTGCACTACAAACAAACCTTTTTCTACTTCGACAAAGTTCTTTCAGTTATTTTTTGGACAGTATAGAAAGTCCATAATTATCAGCATTTAGTCAACACAAACAAGCCGAGAATTGATGGATAACTACAGAGAGATCTACCATGAGGCCTGACAACAGGCGGACGCAAAGGAGCCCATGCATTGGCACTGGGTTGTGCATTGGAGATCGAGATTAATAATATGCTGTGTACTGGTGTAGGTACTACAAGATAGGGGTGGTTGCTAGATGGAAGGAACCAGTAAATTGGTTTAATGACATGTATACTACTTCGAGTACAGTATAGACGATGCATCTAGCAGCAGTATACCAGTACAGTCAACTTCGCTAATAACGACTGCGGATATAACGACAATTCGCTAATAAGAACAGAATTTCCATGCCCGGAGCAAAGTCTCATCTCACTGTAATACACAAAATGAGACTTCGGGTATAAGGACATTTCGTGAATAAGGACACCTTTTTGATGCCCCGCCGAGTGTCGTTATAAGTGAAGTTGACTGTACATCATTATGCGCAAACGCTTCTCTGTCTTCGGCCAGTGGTGTGCGCACATGCCGTACATGTATTAGATGAACTCGTGCATTCTTTACACTCCAGCCATTTCCTTCATTGGTTGTCCACACATGACAGAAACAAGCTTCTGCTTACCATTGTTCCAAACTTCTCATACTGCGTAATGCCAATCATAACTTTGTTTGAGTAGTCACAGACATACAGATCAGTGTCAATACCATTCAGGGCACCACGGCTCTGCGCAAAACAGGAAATACAACGGAATAACACTTGTACTACACACACAGTACAGCGTAACAAGCAATCAATATAAATAATTATTCAATACACATCTCCATACAGACCCCTCTCCCCCCCCCCCCCCACACACACGCAGTGTAGACTTTCTCCTGCCTTGTTCCCCATGCATTATGTGCATTCATGGCTGCAGGTGGCTATTTGATAGTCCTCGTGCATCTTCCGAGCTTTGCTTAGATGTAACTGCGGCAGAGACCTGTTTCCTGTCTTCTACGCTTCAATTCACAGGCTACGTCACGTCACAGTCTTATTCAGTTTCTTGCCAACACACCACCAGTGCGGTTTCTGGTCGCAGCTGGCTAGCCCCCCCCCCCCCACACACACACACATAGCTTGCATCTGCCTGTTATACTTCATCCACGGACCGTTGTTACTTTGGACACTAACGAAGAAAAAGACCTATAACTAGTATGAGTTACGAGTTATGACTAACAGCCCACCAAGGTATACTTATACTTATATGTCCTTTTTCTTTCATCATCATCATCATCATCATCATCATCTGAACAGCCTCTTGTACGGGCAAGCAAAAACGCAATACATCAAAATTCAAATAGAATGAAAAAAGAGAGGAAAATGAACACAAAGTGCACTGGAACTCAATATAAAAAGGAACGCAAAGTGCAGTTGAACACAATGAGCATGGGGCATGGGGCCACCAATCGGAGAAGACCGGCTCATAATGGAAAATAAAAGAACAAACATAAGACACCCGTACACATCAACGTGCTCTAAGGGTATGGCAGCTTGTAAAAAGCTGTGGCGCTGGCGCTTGTATGATGCCCGCGAACCACGTATGCAGGTAATACACCAGCGGAGCAAACACAGCGACAATACAGATCGAAGTTGTCCCATGACTACAGAATAATGTAACTCAGGATTTTTCTCAACAAGCGATACCAAATTTTTCAAAAAACGAGACCCCTCTGGCCCACACATGCCTGAAGTTGAAAAAACTAACGGTGTAAATGATGCTCTCTCTACAATATTTACACGGGCACAATATTCTCTCTTTTTGGCCTGTTCATGGGTCTTCAGCTGACGCAGGACGTCTGTACGCGACAGCAGGCTTGCCTTCGGGTGTGTTACCCGTACATCAAAAAAGGCATCCTGCTGCCGGGTCCAGAAGCCCCGCGCCCTGATATCCAGACGCGCCTCCAAAGACCGGTTCGCAGTTCGATGTGGTAGTGTTTCTCCTTCGAACGGCATCATCATCATCATCATCATCATCATCATCTGCGCTGCCGAAAAAATAATAATACTAAAATAAAATAAAAAAAATAAAAAACGGCATTATGCAGCTGTGTAAGCAGTAGATGCACAGTGTGACTGCCAGGCATCTCTGTCAGATGCCTTTTTCTTTACATAATAATTATAATTATTACTATTGGCTCAACATCTGAGTTTTACTAATCCATTTCAAAACTATAGACGCGTACCTAGGCAAAAACCGTTATGCCAGCATCTATACCACATAAAATCTGTGATCACTTTGTGCATAATTTTTTCCAAATTGGGCGTCTGTTATCCAATCGTTTAGAAACTATATGACAGTAATTGTGGAGCGATCCTGAGCACATTCCGAAAACTATTCTCAAAAAGGTCCAGCCAAATTTGAAATATTTCAAAAACCCTACGCGTCTATAGTTTTGAAATGCACTGTAATGAAGAAGCTCGAAGATAGCCTGGATGACTGCATGGTATCATCGCAAGCTTCGATATCTGGTGAACATAGTCCACCCTCACCACATCTCCAATGAGAATATTTACGAAAAGACCAATCAAGCCCTGTAAAGAGCGCTGCCTCCTGTGGGCCACAGTGGTTGGGGCACGTTGCCCGGAAGGGACCAGACGCGGCCTCTTACAAGGCGCTGTATTTAGCTCTCAATACCTTAGAAATCAAGCGCCACCTGCACCGTGGACGACCCCACAAGCGATGGGTTGACAATAGCAAGGAAGACCCCAAGCCTCTGTATGCGCCGATTCAGGAATGCTTCAACCTCTCCACCAACAAGCAACTCCGGGTAATGAACATTGACAGATACATAACCCCATGATACATGACCCGATGATACAGAACCCCTGTATGATTTGTTTTACGTCGGCAATATGCCAGCAATACGCCAACTAAAAAAAAGGTGTTCGCTTCCCACACCGGAGCCCGTGCTTTCTTATAAAACCATTGCCTAAGTCGCTACCACTGCCGGTATCTAATACGCCACCTGTTTATTTTATTATAATTAATAGCAATTTGGGTATAGCAATAAGACTGGAATTCACCCAACAACTTTGACTTGATGTGAATAAGTGCCGTTTTATTTCTATAATTAAATATGGACTATTGTGCTTGAGTCTAGTATATCAAGGCCAAGGTACTAAGCATCAAAACTCTTTTAAAAGTACATTGTATGTTTAAAAAATTACTTGAATTTACTTTGAAGTAAAACTTTGAAGTTTAAAAAAAAACATCCAGTCGCGCGCTGATATGATGATATGAATGATGCATCAAAGGAAATTTACTTGATACTTTTGACTTGTATAAACAACTAGCAGCACCCCCGGCCAGCGTTGCCTGGCCGAATGTGGCATGCGGGTGAAGCAAGTACATGAACAGCACACGTCCTCAGCACGTGGTGGTGGTCAGACCGCTGAAGTCCTGGTGAGGGAGGTTCTTCATCGTTGGAAGGAGAAGGAGGGACGTCTGTTACGCCTTCGGGAGGCTGGTCAGGGTTGTCCATCACCTGGTGGCGGATGAAGCGGCTCAAAAAATTCATAAACTTTAATACGAACAAAAGTGCGATGCGCTCTTCACCGAGATCAGATGCAGAGTGCAGTCAGTGCAGATCTTTTGTATCCTTTTGTTGCAGATGTTTTTATTTGCAGAGAACGGTTCACGTGGTCCGCAGCGCTTGTGCGGCTGCTAGTAGTGCTACCTATGGCCTAGGCTAGGTGGCTACATGATTCGCACGCTTCGCGTGCTCAGTGCTTCTGCGCGCGGCTGCTACTCGTACTGATCGTGTCTGCTATGTATAAGTTACAGTATAAGCGCTACCACCGTACCTACACTGTTCGCACGCTTCGCGTGCTCAGCACGTGGTGGTGGCTACACGATTCGAACGCTTCGCGTGCTCAGTGCTTCTGTGGCTGCTTCCGCTAGCTATAGCTACACGATTCGCACACTTCGCGTGCTCAGTGCTTCTGCGGCCGCTAGCTAGCTACACTAGGGAGGTTCTGCTATACGTGAAACGTAGAGAAATCACGTAGAGAGCAGGTGTCTGGGTTAGAGTCTACGGCTTCGCGTGTTTTGGCTCCAGATTTCTACGCGGAGATGGGGTTCTCTACGTTGTGGAACACGCAGAGAAAATGCGTACGGATTTGCTGGGTATCGATCAGCTGCATGAAGAAAACTGCCAAATATGGAAGGGGAAATTCCCAGTACACGTTCCACGTGACTTCTCTAGGTGAAACGTAGAGCAGAACAGCATTTCTTTACGTTACGGGAACGCGAAGAAAGTTCGCGTGATTCTTTGCGTCGCGTTCCCAAAACGTAGAGCAGAACATCCCTACTGTGCTACACTGTTCGCACGCTTCGCGTGCTCAGGGCAGCGCTGCTCCGCAGCGCTTCAGCGTGACACAAAAACACACGTCACAGGTGCCTCTTCTTTATAAGGAGCGTGACACACACACACACACAGACACACGTCACAGGTGCCTCTCTTTTATAAGTAAAGATAACAGCAAAAAAGGCTTACTGTCGATGATGTGAGAGGAAATTTTTCGTCGCCCATGACTTCCTGACGTTTGAACAAAGGCTGACTCTTTTGTTCAGCACGCCTCTATTTCTGGTTGGCAATGAAGTTCCAAAGCGGCAAAGGTGTCGCAGTCGACGAGTGAGGAGGTGCACTGTATAGTATTTGTGACACACTCTTGGCCATTAAAATTTTAGATTCCTTACTCTGAACCACTCTGCTTCACTTCTTCGAGCTAGTTCTTGGTGAACACAAACCATGCAGTGCCAGTGGTCGTTACTACAACTGCAAGTACTTGACTCGAAGCACTCTCCATGTAACACCAAGACGGCAAGAGTACAATCATAAACACTGCTTTTCGCCTGAGGCAGATCTGTTTTGAAAATGTTTTTCAGTGTGGCTCTGGCTAGCTCGGAGAACGCATCCTCGGCCGCAATAAGCTCACTTCTGAACTGATGAATCATGGTAGAAAAATTACGTCATGACTGAATTTCACTTTCGAATGTACAAGATGAACTGCACATGAAAACACTTCTTTTACTTTGTTCTTGAGGGTTGTGTTCGCCGTTCACTGATTACTTCTTTCATCTTCCTATGATGGCGCTGTGATTTATCGCTGTGGCGTTTGTCGGATCTCCCGTATTCATTTAGTGGTATTGACTGAATGCCTCATTGGCAAGTCGGCATATCGATATCCAGCAGTACACTTCACTTCTTCCACCACGTTCGTATTTATTCTTCCAAAGAAAATCTTTAAGAAAATCTATTCTCATCCTCACTGCACCTCTCTCATTCGCATTCGCTCAGCTACAATGGTGAGTTTTGGTATGCTTCTTGAACATTTACGTGAAAGAGTCCTGAATTTGTGGTGCTGTGACATCTTTCTTTTGTCTACTTTGTACATGTAGGTAGTTGCTTGATTTGAACTCTAGCTTCTGCCTTGTCCTTCTTGATTTCTTGCCACACAGATCGTACGAGTGCAGTCAAGCGAGGGCACGAAGCGTGTGGAAGTTGACAACAGCTGTAATGTCACCGAACTTCTGTCAAAGGTGCGAATCAGCACAATTCTGTGTAGAATTATTTGTGAGCTTGTCTGTGTGTTTGTTTTTAGTTACAGTGAAATCCTGATGTAGGGAACATCATTGGGAAAAGGAAAGGTTCTTTGTATCCGGGGTACTTTATAGGCAGAGTCGGCCTCCCATTGACTCTCAAGCCTCGAATTTGGCTGATTTCTATATCTGTGAATGACATTATCGCATATACCGTAATGTCCCGTTGATCCGCCCCCTCTCTAATTCCCGCCCCCTGTCGATTTTCCACCTGTGAAGCGACTTCGGCGTATACAACGAAAATACGATGTTGAACCGACGCATGAACTGCTGTACACAATATTTGCCAATCCAGGATGAAAATGTGCACAATCCAGCACATCGAGTCTGAACTTCTACGTTGTTGTACATCGTACTGCACTTGACAGCCTTGATCTAATTCCCACCCCCTGCCGAAAACCCAGCTGGGAAGCGACATGGCGTGGGGGGCAGATCAACGGTACTTTACGGTACTTTGTATTGAGTGGCAATCCAGGTTGGGTCAATGGCGTGCCACAGTTTTGCCACTCTATCTTAGCCCTTCACGGTTCGACCATACAGCTATCGGACACGGGTGTTCGATTGATGCAACATTTTCAAACTATCATACGAGTGTAACTTGGTCGTAACTTGGTCAATTCTCAGTCTTTTGGAGAAAACGAAATAATTATATAGGTCAATGTAAAAAAAGACTCTCACATATTGTCTCGAACAATCACCGAAGCGATGCAATAAGTGATTTGTGAGTTACTGCGCTCGTAACTCTGGCCACGGTCGATTTGTGCTCAGGGCGTGATGTGTGACTCAACGGTGGGGATTTCCCCTGATCACGTGACTTCACGTCAGCTGTTGGCAAGGATACAGTCATTCAATTTCTAATTCAAACGAAGACTCTCACGAGCGAGTGCAAAACATTTGAGCTTCATACGAGGAAGGAGAGTGAAATGGTGGATGGAGATCGACCGAGAGTGCAAGTCCCGTGCTGCAACGCATTCACTTCATGCCAGCCGTAGCTGCAACCTCGCGCAGGTTGTCATGTACACATATACAGGGATGAATTTATTGTCATATTTTTGCATAGCAGTTTCTGCTATACAAAATCACAATAAATGTGTAGCAGTCTTTGATTTTGATTAGCATTTTTCTTTGAAGGTTGGGTGTTTACCACATTGTCCTTCTTGAGAGTGATGCCTGAAAGCCCATTTGCAAAAAAACCCACTGAATCATACATGTGCACGCAGATTGAGAGTGCCTGCAAGTCATACACCGCACTGTATGCATGTTTCTTGACTGCACCGGCTAGGTATGGATAGACTGTATGTATCGTAGTTTTCTGCGAGTCATGGTGACTTTTGAGTAGCAGTAGATCGATTTTGCATCGCAAACTGCGATGCGATACAGGATAAATTCATCCCTGCATATATCACACTGGTCCCTCCTTATTCGCCCCATTGGCTATATTTTTCAGGTTTGGTCAGCGAATCAAAATATAGTCAACATCCCATACATCACACTGCTGCACTTGCAACCGGAGAAAACCGCTGCCCGTATACATGTGCATTCTACATACAGTCAACTTCGCTAATAACGACTGTGGATATAACGACAATACGCGAATAACGACTCGATTTCCATGCCCAGAGCAAAGTCCCATCCAACTGTAACACATATAATGAGACTTCGGATATAACGATACTTCGCGAATAAGGACACTTTTCTGATGCCCCACCGAGTGTCGTTATAAGCGAAGTTGACTGTATCTATATTCTGTATTATGCTGTCTGATGAGGACTTGGGTGTGTGATTGCTGTGTGAGTAGTGTATTTATATTCTGAATTCCATAGAATTCCATAGAGCGTTGACCTACTGTTCACAGTTGTTGGTCACGTGAACACAGCCATTTTGCACTATAATAACTAGTGGTGTGCACGGTTAGTCGGGTACCCGTGCTACCCGTGAGGACCTCGGGTAGACGGGTGCAGAATAGTACCTGAAAACCCGAAGTCGCAGATGACATCATGTACAGTGCACGTGTGTAAATTCATGTGATACTCCGCATGTCTACCCAGTGTGTAAGGGAAGGGGTGCACTGTGGTGCTACCATGGAAACATTACCCAATCGGGTACCCGTGCTACCCGTGGAAAACTACTCGATACCCGAAGAAAATACTACCCGACTCAGCCATAATAATAACATCTGGTGAAGCATTCATGTTGCTGATCGCACTGTGCTTGATTGTGTTGTTTTGCGAATGGTGCAGGTTGCACTTGTGTTTGAGGTGCCCTCGACAGTCAGCTGGAGTTTATGTCGCTCACGCAATGGCGGTGATCCGTTGTACCATAGCGACGCCAGCATTGCCAGCCTGGGATTCAAGTAAGTGCTCCTGTGTCTAAAGCGGCGGCTGGTTCATACTTCATTCCGCGCACGGGAAATGTTTTGCTATGCGTACGGTGGCGGTCTTGTTGCGATGGGCCAGGCAAGTTGAGCCCAAGTCAACCTTTATGCCGGGAAAGTCGCTGTGACCCGTTTGCCCTGAAGTATGAATCAACCTTAATTTCTGATCGTTACTATGCTTGCGTTTTACTGCTGTATGGCTGTGCTAGGCTCACTGTGGGACAGAATCACATCGAGATCCATGTTGCAACACATGGACTACTGCGGTATTGCTATGGGCACACTATTGGACAGAATCACGTGCATCCATGTTGCAACCCATAGAGATGTGAAGTCTTTGTCACATGACCAGGCTGCAGTACTCCTATGGCAAGTGCATGCAGCTCTTATCTAGAACTCCCTCAAGCTTGTGACCATGACAACTAGTGCTCATGCTCATCACATTTGCTTGATAGTGCAAGGTAGAGGTGCATACAAGGTAATACGGTTGTGTTTGTTTGGTTTGCTTTGATGTTTGTGTGTCCGTTTGGCTGTTGATAATTCTGGTTGTTGTGCAGGAATGGTGAGATGATTTACTTGTCGGTATTCCCAAGTCATCCCGCCGCTAATGGCAATCGTGATGCCGCTGCCACCTCCGTGCAGCAAGGAACTAGTGCAACGGCTTCTGCAGCAGCAACGGCTGGAACATCTGTCAACGGTGCAACAGCAGCAGCATCATCCACAGGGGCCACAGCAGCCACATCGTCCAACGTGGTAGAAGAGGATGAGATCGACAAGACCCTGGCCAAAAGCAAGGGCACTATAGAGAGAGGTCGAGATGCACAGTTGTAAGTTGCTGTTGTTGCTGTTCATATCTTTATTCTCACGATAGCCAGTGGCCAATAAGAGATAATAGTGTAAGAGAGGAGAAAGAGTGAGGAAGAATTGAGTGGGCAGAGCCTAGGGTTGTTGTTGTTGTTGTTGTTGTTGTTGTTGTTGTTGTTGTTGTTGTTGTTGTTGTTGTTGTTTCAAATCTTTATTCTCACGATAGCCAGTGGCCAATAAGAGATAATAGTGAAAGAAAGGAGCAGGAGTGAGGAAGAATTGAGTGGGCAGAGCCAAGGGGTTAATGACTACTTACGTGTACGGGCAGGGGTGGTCGCTACACGAGCATACAGAGTTGTGCAACAGCAGGGATATCTGGGATTTGAAGAGAGTACGAGAAGGGATTTCGCGAAGCTGGGTGGGCAAGCAATTTGTTGTTGTTGTTTCAAATCTTTATTCTCACGATTGATTTTTGTTGTTGTTGTTGTTGTTGTTGTTGTTGTTGTTGTTGTTGTTGTTGTTGTTGTTTCAAATCTTTATTCTCACGTTGTTGTTGTTGTTGTTGTTGTTGTTTCAAATCTTTATTCTCACGTTGTTGTTGTTGTTGTTGTTGTTGTTTCAAATCTTTATTCTCACGTTGTTGTTGTTGTTGTTGTTGTTGTTGTTGTTGTTGTTGTTGTTGTTGTTGTTGTTGTTGTTGTTGTTGTTGTTGTTGTTGTTGTTGTTGTTGTTACATGTACATCTACATTGTATGTGTGGGTTTGTTACCACAGTTTCAAGGAAGGCTTGCTCAAACAAGTCTTGATTACTGTTTTTCGTGTTTTTGTTCGTAGAGCATGCATGCAAGCACTTCCTGCCATAATGTCATAACTGGTGGTTTTCATTTCATGCATCTCCTGTAATTTACATTATGACCTCCTGGTGCTAGTCTTACGTGCCTTCCTTGCTACTGTTTTACTTGGGAAGAAATCACGTAAACGCACACTCATCTAATCTTATGTGTACCATCTACTACTGATGCCCAGCTGTCGTCATGGTGATCAAGGGCGCTGCATTCACTGTACTCCTATACAGGTTAGTAATAAAATACTGTTTCTTTTCTTTTCCATGCTTTGGACTCTGCGTATGTGTGGTGTGTGTGTGGGGGGGGGGGGGGGGGGTGGTGCTTGTGTATGGGGGTGGGTGGGGGAGGGGGTTGTTGTGTGTGGGGGGGGGGGGGGGGAGAGGGGATGTTGGGTGGTTGTGGGGGGAGGGGGGGGGGGGGGGTATTTTAGATAGATAGTGTGTCTGTGCTAGGCAGGAGTCGGGGCTGAATTGAATCTCACTGTTCTTGTTCTTCACTTTGCCCATGTTTCTGCAGCCGTACGACCCACAATACTTAGCTAAACAAGAGATAAAGCATATGTCATTTCACTCATATGTTCGCAAACTTCACAGTGGCGTTGACAAGTAAGTCCAGTCTTTCTCCCTCTCAGATGGAATATTGCTGCCATTTTGTTCTGACACTACTCCTTGCACTGTCTCTGGCACTATCAGCATTAACAAGAGGAGAGTTATTGGACCATTCCACAAAGACACAGAACTGATCATGTATGACTTTCCCAACTGGGTGTGATCATGTATTGATACTGTGTTATGCTTAGAAACAGGGTTTAGTGGCTGGCCTAAGTGTTTCGTTTTTTGTTTGTCTGCTTCTGGCCATGTTGTTGCCAGGGGAAAATTTGTGTTTCTGGAAAACCTGAGCTGCAAGATTAAGCCAGGCTGCACAGAGCATTCGCCTTGGCCAAACGGTATTTGTACCAAATGTCAGCCGAATGCTGTCACACTAAAGCGACAAGTGAGTTCAAATCACTTTTTGTTCTATGTGATATTTTGCTGTGTTCCTGGAAGCATGCCAGTATTAGCTGTTCCATGTCACATATTTCCCTCGCTGGTATCACTGGTATCACTGGTATCACTGGTATCGCTGGTATCACTGGTATCACTGGTATCACTCATGGTATCACTCATGGTATCGCTGGTATCGCTAGTATCGCTGGTATCGCTGGTATCGCTGGTATCGCTGGTATCACTGGTATCACTGGTATGGTGTGTTACTGTTTGTGCAAGTGCTAACAGCTTGGCCACATATTGCCATTGCCTTGTTGATGGGGGGATTCCTGACCACCCTGTTGATCATTGACTTTGTGTTCCTCTAGAGTCGAGCCCGGTGGCCTGCATTGTACAATGTTACTCCAAAGGACGTGATGCTTGGCTTTTGTTCTTGGCCTCTTCTTCACCAGTATCGTCATGTTGTTTTGGTTGATTTTGTGTGTGACCTCTTGTTCAGGAGTACCGTCATGTTGATAACATTATGTTTGAGGATCCGTCCATCATGGACCGTTTCCTTCAGTTCTGGCGTACGAGTGGTCAGCAGGTGAGTCTACACACTACTTCACTTAGTCTGGTAGTCTGCTCTTGCATGGTCTGGTCTGCTCTTGCATGGTTAGTCTGGTCTGCTCTTGCATGGTGTTCACTTTCAGTGCGTGGAAATGCAGCTCCGATAAAGAAAACGACCGATTATGGGTAGTTGCTGAGCCTTCTTTCTTTTTCTTCTCTTTTCTTTGCTAGTGAAATGATGTGTTGTTGTCGTGTGTGTGGGTGTGGGCCTGGGTGTGAATGTGTGTGTGTGCACGTGTGTGTGCGTGTGTGTGTATGTGCATGGGTGTGTAACTCTTTGCAGCGCATGGGTATTCTCTATGGGAAGTACACTGAACATAAGGATGTACCACTTGGTATCAAGGCCGTCGTTTCCGCAATCTACGAGCCACCGCAGGTCAGTAGAATGGCTGGTGCTTGTTGGTATTGTAACAAATTACAGCATCTATTGTATTCCCTGATATCGTTTGGCCGTTTCATGGGGGAAATAAGCCTTGGTATTTGTGTGTGGTGGTGGGGGGGGGGGGGGGGGAGGGTTGAAGAGGGAATGCTCTGGATAGGCCCATCCCCTAACACCTTACTTGCTTGATATGCATCAGTGCTCGTTGGTTTGTGGCCAGCCTTCTGGAAATGAACCACACTGCATGTGTGTATTCTATGTTTTGGGACCCAACAGCGGGTAGATATCAGAATTAGTCTCTCTGGTTGTTGGTGTACTTGACTGTGTGCCCATTGTCGCCTCTCTACAGGTGGGGACAGCCAACGGAGTGCGTCTTCTTCCTGATGAAAACGATGAACGTATTCAACGCCTTGGCCAGCAGCTAGGCCTTAGACCGGTAAGTTCTCAGGCAATTGTTTCTCTTTATGATTTCGCTGTGTACTCTTTATGTACCTCACTTGCACTTAGGAAAGGTGCATGCATGGACATGGACAAACAACCACGGCATTGTACTAGTACTTTCGTTCCAATGCATGCCTTTCCTGGAGCTGGTGCAGCACGGCTTGTCTTCGCTGTTCGTTTCTCAGATTTTTGTACTCTATGTATGTCATGTTTTTTGCGGCTGTGATTGGTATGCGCATGTGTTTGTAGGTCGGCTGGGTATTCAGTGATTTGGAGAGTGAGGATCGCAGCCAGGGTACAGTCAAGTATTTCCGGCACATGGTTAGTTAGAGGTCATGGGCTGGCTGGTAGCCATGAAGTCTCTGTGCACATGGCCTATGCCTCACTCTATGCGCTGCTGGCTGGTAGCCATGAAGTCTCTGTGCACATGGCCTATGCCTCACTCTATGAGTGTAACTTACTGCACCTGTGTTCTGTGCGTGCATGTCTTTGGCACTCTGGTGCACTAGTAGCTTGATACTGGTGCAGTTGTGTTCTGGCATGTCTCTCCATGCTCCTTGTTTTCTAGCAAAGTCCAGCCAGGTATAGCTAAGTATAGCTAGCTCCTGGGGGTATTAGTGTAACCTGAAGCTTCTATCTTCTACATTTAAGGTTCTCGGAGTAGCTCTGTGTGTGTGTGTGTCTCTCTCTCTCTCTCTCTCTCTCTCTCTCTCTCTCTCTCTCTCTCTCTCTCTCTCTCTCTCTCTCTCTCTCTCTCTGTCTGTCTGTCTGTCTGTCTCTATCTCTCTCTCGCTCTTTCTCTCTCTCTCCCTCTCTCTCTCTCTCTCTCCCTCTATTTCTGTCTCTCTCTCTCTCTCTCTCGCTCTCTCTCTCTCTCGCTCTCTCTCTCTCGCTCTCTCTCGCTCTCTCTCTCTCTCTCGCTCGCTCTCTCTCTCTCTCTCTCTCTCTCTCTCTCTCTCTCTCTCTCTCTCTCTCTCTCTCTCTCTCTCTCTCTCTCTCTCTCTCTGATGAAAATAATTTCAAGTCTTGCTCCTTCTGATGGGTTTGGCTAGTTATCCACAGTTCTATTTTAGTGAAGAGTGTACTGCTGTGGAACTTGGACTCTGTTGTCAACTTATCACTGTTCTGGTTGATGTCTGTGATTTCTGCTGCTGCTGCTGCTGCTGACATCTACAGGACTCCTATTTTATCAGTGCTGAGGAGTGTATCATGGCTGCCGACTACCAGGCCCGGCATCCATCCCCATGCAAGTATTCCACGTCTGGCTACTTTGGATCGAAGTTCTCCACAGTTGTTGTGTCAGGTAAGCGACCAGAGTGGTATTGTTACAGTTTTGCTGCTATGGATTTTAGGAATATCACTGCTCTTCCTGCCATCAGTATTGGCGATGTTGTTGCTGCTGCTGATGCTGATGCTGATGCTGCCATCATACATCCTTTCATTAACTCTCTGGCTTGTTTTTTGTCCTGCTTTGAATTCTTCACTCACCTAGGTGGTGTTGATAATCAGATCTGCATGGAAGGTTATCAGGTATGGTGCCAGGATTTTACATAGTGTGTACTGCTTCTGCTTTAAATCACTACCAGTGCATTGTAGTTGCTGGCATGTAGTTTAAAAAGATATGGACTGCTGCTTGTAGCTAGTTGCTCGTAAAATTCAGGTTTGGCGCATCTTGCTCTACACCTTTTCCCAGAATGGCTGCTTTTCTTGCAAGTGAGGTTGACTGACTGAATGTCACATGCATGGTGAACTCTGTGCTAGAAATCGTTCGCTTTCTCTCTTGTTCACATCTGCATTGCTTAGGTTACTGACCAATGCATGGCATTGGTCAATGATGAATGCTTTGTACCGACTGTGGATGCTCCTGAGCTGGGATACATCAAGGAGTCTACAATTGAGCAGTATGTCCCTGATGTCTTTTATAAGGTAGGTAGCAGCATGCACTGTGCTCTGTGTTGCAGCAGATGGATGATAGATGGATTGCTGCGCTGCGGGAATACTTCCATGTCCTATTATTCCCAAGAAAAGTGAACTTCTCCCAATGCTAGGACAGTACAGTGTGCAATGCTGGTGCATATGACTGTTGATCAAGGACGCCTACGTTTCTAATGGTCAATTTTGCCAGAAAAAACCATGTCTCCGATAGTAGTACATGTACATGTGTGACCCGCTTTGACCAATTAACGAAACTGTTCATTTATTGGGGATTGTTGAATCGGGAAAAGGACGACTGACGACACATTATCCAGACATTACAACGGGAACAGGTAGGTTGGGGGAACGACATTTATTATAGACGACGAGACAAGAGATCAAGACGAACGAAACGACTACATTGAAGAGTGAGAAAAGAGAGGAAGAGATCAAGTCTGAACGGCAAGATAAAGGGCCTGGGTAGCTATGGCAAATATGGGCGCGCAAGTAGCTACCCAGGCCAACGGAACAAAAGGAGACAAAAGGTGAGTTCGCAAGTGTTTGCAGGCCAGCTAGAAAAGGTACGGGAGGAGGTACCTAACATACCACCCCTCCATGAGAAAAAATCCCGCGTCCTCGCGGAGAGAAATAAAAAGAGAGAAAAAGATTTTTAAAAAATGACTGAAGGAGAAAAAAAACACACACACACACACACACACAACGCACGGGCCTCACAAAAGTGTGTACTAAAAAGTGCACTACAGATCATTACAACCGTCAACGTTCCTGTACTACTCATACTATAGTGTGTACATTGCCAATAACAACGGGCCCAAACGCCCCTTCAAAACATGGCACAAAAAATAACTATTGGAGTTCGACGAGGGACTTGATTTGTATTCTGATGACTAGTATTTTGCACTTTAATATACGACATAAATAAGAGAGCGTGGCTCACCATGATCGGACCCCTAATATTAATGAAGGACACCCGCGCGCACACACACTACAAAAAAATTCACGAAAATATATTTGACGAAGAAGGAACGCATACAAAAAAAGAGAGAGAGAAAGGTAGCTGACCTGCATGGCTTGAACGACACGAGGTTGACATGACGAGACGAGGTTGGCGTAGGAGAGACGAGACTGACATGGACGAGACGAGGTTGACATAGACAAGACGAATGGCGGTTGAGGACGGCTGGGCCTGGGATGATCTCAGGGTCGTGGGTCGATCAAAAATCGGGCGCCAATGTTGAATCGGGAAAAGGACGACTGACGACACATTATCCAGACATTACAACGGGAACAGGTAGGTTGGGGGAACGACATTTATTATAGACGACGAGACAAGAGACCAAGACGAACGAAACGACTACATTGAAGAGTAAGAAAAGAGAGGAAGAGATCAAGTCTGAACGGCAAGATAAAGGGCCTGGGTAGCTATGGCAAATATGGGCGCGCAAGTAGCTACCCAGGCCAACGGAACAAAAGGAGACAAAAGGTGAGTACGCAAGTGCATGCAGGCCAGCTAGAAAAGGTACGGGAGGAGGTACCTAACAGGGATAATACACTATGTGAAATGCCCGTCATGGGGTTTTAGTCAGAATTCTTAGTGGCCTCCTTTAGATGCAGTTTATTGTGGATTGTGATCCTAGTGCATTCTTACTCTTTGTATTTGACTTACCTACTGTTACTGACTGAAGTATCTAGACGCATGCGACCGTGTTCTTGTTGTTGTTGTGTTGTTGTTTGACCCAGATCAAGGATGAATATAACAGTGAGGTCACAAAGATTGCTCGTCCTCTGCCAGTAGAGTATCTGCTTGTCCAGGTAATACCATGTGCTGCTGCTGCTGCTGTTCTGCTTATCATCTAGTATACACACATCACATAGCCCTCACCCAGAGATGGTCACACAGCAGTGGCGTGTCCAGGATTTGGCTGAGGGGGGGGGGGGGGGGGGGGGGGGGTTGCGGCCGGGATCAAGGCGGGATGGGGTGGGGGTAGATGACATCATGCTACTGTCCCAGGTCAGCCATTTTGAAAACCGATGTCAAGAAGCTCCTCCTGTAGCCCCCTTCTTCAACAGTTATTCACCCGAACGGCCCCAGAGACTGTTCCGGAGGATCAGCGCACCACACGGGGACAAGTGTCGAACTTGCTTCAAGTTCCCTTCCTTCGTGGGCCTGCGGGACGATTGACCATGATGTTTCGGGGAAGCATTCTCTGGAACGCTCTCCCCTCTGATTTTAGAGTGATACGTGTCCCTGGTCCCTTCCGAAAAGCTCTTTCTGCGATTGATATACTGGCTTACTTTGTGAATATCCTCGTTAAACTTTTATTATCTGCCATAAATTCCAACCTTCTCATCTATCACATTTGTGCATGCATGTCTATAAAATCAACGACGTGTTCCTGACTCCATGAGATTGTCTTTCTATTCTTTGACTCCATGAAATTATTGTCTTTCTATTTCTGACTCCATGAAATTGTCTTCATATAAATTTTTCCTTTTCTTCTTTTGGTCCTTTCTGTCTTATAATTATTATTATTATCATTTCTTGTTTTCCCTTGCCTATCATCCCTTCATCATTCTGTGAGAACCTGTCCTATGGGCAGGTGAGAAGGCATCTCTGCCTGCTCATTTGGTGAAGTAAAATAAACAACAACAACAAGCCGTAAATCTCACACACCACGAGCAGTATTTCTGTACACGCAGCAACAATGTACATTGTAAACTTCAAATTTGCCGTTAGGTGAGCGAATCAACTGCAATTATTTATGCGAGTCCAACAATTTCTCACCGCTCTCAAAGAGTCAAAGCATCCTTTACATAGGCAGCGGTACTTGTCACTGTGCGCTGTTCTTCATGTTCTGGCTACTCGCTGACAACAGATTCTTCCGCGTCTGGCGGAGTGTGACTGTCAGTCCGCTCCGAAAGTTCAACTGGAATAACAGCGACTTCATCACTCCCACTGTTTGCTGTTGGAGCGGCAGCAGGAGTTGCGCCGCCACAGGAACGCTTTACAAAAATTCCAGGCTCTGCTGGCTAGAGCTTGGCCTTTTGGGATGTCCCTGAGACATCGAAGAAAAGCCTTCGAGTCAACCAAAACACGATTCGAACGAGGATGATCGCCTGAGCCCTCGGCATTCGAATCGTGTTTTGGTTGACTCGTTCGAAGACTTTTCTTCGATGTTTGTACCGTTGAAGACGCGTCGAGCGCGTCCCAGCAGGGATCACACTGTACAATAGTACACAGTCAGGTCACCATGTTTCTGTAGCCGCGCCGTGCATGCTCACTGTACGTAGACTCTACTCTGTAGACTGTACTGTACTACTAGTCTGTAGTGTGTACAATCAACACCAGCTCGACCGTGCAACCGCTTTTGGACAATCGTTTCAGGCCGCGCGCGCCCCGAACGAGTCTAGCTCGATCGACCCGGCGCCCTAGCGCCCTGCCTATTATTTTTCGAAACCTAGGTCGAAATTTTTGAGGGGGGGGGGGGGCGCCCCCCCCCCTAAACCCGCCACTGCACAGCCCTCACCCAGAGATGGTTTGCTCATCATGTCCTATACACATCACACAGCCCTCACCCAGAGATGGTTTGCTCATCATGTCCTATACACATCACACAGCCCTCACCCAGAGATGGTGCTTGCTTTGGTGATGAATAAGTAACTGGGCTTGTAGCTAAAAACTTCTTTTAGGCACTACTTCCCCAAGTATGCCAGAAAGTGCAATAGTGTCTGTTGGCGTTGTGGCAGCAGCTGTTCCAGGGAACTGTGCGTATGTTAGGGAAGGTGAAGCCATGCTTCTTGTGCTAAACCCTTCACCCATTTCCAGCTGCTAGGTAGTGGAAGATTACTGCCATATGTGTGTGTGTGTGTGTGTGTGTGTGTGTGTGTGTGTGTGTGTGTGTGTGTGTGTGTGTGTGTGTGTGTGTGTGTGTGTGTGTGTGTGTGTGTGTGTGTGTGTGTGTGTGCGCGTGTGATGTGTGTGTGTGTGTGTGCGCGTGTGATGTGTGTGTGTGCGCACGCGCGCGTGTGTGTTTATGTGTGACATCGCTAGTAAGCCAGGTCAATATCTTGCTGTTCATGCCCTCTATCTTAAAGGTGCCAGTTGCTGCTCCAGTAAATCCCACTCCGATGTTTGCTGCCGACATTTCTGCCGCCAAGTTTCCTATTGAGAACAGAAGTGCTGTTGGTGAGGTTCAGGTAAGGGTCTCTATGTCTGCCTGCTGTTTGTGTGCTGTTATTGTGCAACATATTGTGCAGCATACCGCATGCCATGTGTTGCGTGTGTTGTGTACATTCTAAAGAGTAGGCCAGTGCCCAGTGCAGTAGTTCTTGCTGCTTCTGCCGTTGCAACATCCGACTTGAGTGTGGAAATCAGGAAATCCGGAGGCTTGAAGCATTTCCCTGACTAGTAAAGTAGGATGATGGAAGACGTATGATACAACCACATGATGCTCAGCTAGCAAATCTCCAAATCTTCTGTACATGCACTGTTTCTAAAGAGCTATGTACTAGTTCTCACATTTTTAGTTTGACAGCATATTACAAGGTGGTGGAACACCGTGTTCGGAAACAGTGCGCCGTACCACAACCATCCACGGTTGGTAGAGCCCCGGTCTTGCGACCATCTAAAAATTCTAAATATAACGTGTTTCTACGATGCCAGGTTTATCTAATAGTTCTCACATCTACATTTAGACTGACAGCCAACAAGAATCCATTGTTGTGTGTGTGCTTGTGTGCTGCACTGCGATGTTCTTGTTGTGTAACAGGAGTTCCCTGCTTTCCGCAAATTGGTGCACAGCAATGCATCATCGTTCCTTGACATTGTCAGCAGTTTCCACGTGCTTGCGTTCATGGCATGTTGTGACATGATGCCCATACGGGTAAGTGCACTGGCGCAGCCTTCAGTCTGCAGCCTCTGCAGAAACTACGGTGTTGGGTTTTTTAAAGTCGTGTAGACTGATCCCTAGAAACTGCCCATCTGGGTTTTTTCAGGGGGAGGGGGGGGGGGTACAATGTTGAATCAGTCTGAGCGATACACTGCGGCACATGAGCTATGAGCTGCACTGGCCAATGTAAACCATGCAGTTCTGGTCAGTGCATACTGGCCAATCAAACCATGCAGTTCTGTTCAGTGCATATTGTAGTGTCAAGACCAGGGTCTACACTGTAAAGTGCCCATCTCCGGTGCTTTTGAGCTGTTGATTCCATTCATCTTTTGCCCCTTTCTCACACTGTTCCCTATGCACATCGTACAGATGTACGAAACCCTGTAGGTAGTAGTAGTAGTAGTATTTATTAAATTTACCATCGGATGCCTCAACAGTGATATACACAACTCTTAAGAGGGCCGATAACGGGATAAGTGAAAAGGAAAAGAAAAAGAAAAGAAAAGAAGAAGAAAAAATAGGAATCCAGACATCAAGCAGTACAGTAATCGAACACCAAATCGACTTCAAGCTTAGTACAAGAACGATCAAGATCATCGAGAAACTCAACAGATTCCAAAAAGAAGGTCCAAATACTTCTTAAACACCACTGGGTCTTTAAAAAGATCCCTGAATTGGTTTGAAAATGTAGAGGTACAGTGGTGTCTGCGCCACTCGGCAGGCAGTGTATTAAAAGAAAATTGCGGCACGATTAGAAAAAGAATTTACTCCATCAGTTGTCCGGGGCTTAGATATGGCAATGGAAGCATTAGAGTGGCTTCTAGTTCTAGGGCCTGTTGTGATCGGTGAAAATAATTCCGTTTGGGTAGGCAGTGAGATGATGACATGATTTCTATGAATAAACTGGGCAAAGTCATAATCATAGTGTTCAAATGGATAAATCGACAATGTGGTCAATAATGGCATGATGTCGTCCTGTGACTTAGCACCACAGGCAGCTCGCACAGCATGGCGGAAAACAGTAGAGAGCCTTTGGCGGTCCTTAGCGGACAGCTTCGTTACAAAACACGAACAACAGTACAAAAGATCAGGTAGAATGACTGATACAATAAATTGCCTCTTTGCCTTCCTGCTCAGTTGCCGAAAGGACCGACAAAGAGAGCCGACCTTAGCACATGTCTTGCGAATTACAAGGTCAATGTGAGGCGACCACGTTAGGCGGTCATCAATGATGACCCCCAGGATTCGGGTGCTGGTAACGCGGGCCAATACCTGATCGTTAAGTATCACAGAAACAGACAGGTGCAGGGGAGTTTAGAAATGACCATGGCGACAGTTTTGGCAGAGTTGACTGACAACCATAGGCCCGCAAGATTTAGAGCAAGCACTGAAAGTACCTTGTTGACGGCGTCGACAGCTTCATTTGGCAACCTTCCACTGGCATACAACGTCATGTCATCCGCGAACATCGGCAGCTTGCAGGAAAGAGCATCAGCTGCGAGCGGCAGCTTCCGCACATATATATTGAAGAGCACAGGGCCCAGAATGGTGCCTTGAGGTACGCCACTAGTAACTGGTACCAGAGGAGACGTTCCGATGTAGGTAACCACGCGCTGCTAGGTGTGTACATATCCAGTTGCTTGTTCACTGTGTGCTATAGACATGTGCACTTGACCGTTTTAGCCCAACAGTCAATGGAAGACAGTTGCTCTTCCAGCTTCATCACTTTCGATAGAGATAATGACTAGATCTTTGTCCGAAAAAATTGTACTTCGAAGTATAAAATGCCTTCAGGGCACGTTTCGTAGTGGAAATACTATACTCGCCAAAAAATCCGGCCAATGCTGCATGCACCGTCGTCGACGACCATGTGCAGCATTGGCCGGATGTTTGTTGGCGAGTATAGTAGGCCCTGCACATCCGACACCTGCCTGGGTCTGCCTGGGTCTACGGGATTCTACGAGTTTCTTCCGTGTATCTGTGCAACGTGCATAAGGCTTATTTTAAAGTTATTAGACATGGGAGAAAGACCAAGGAACTACAAGTACATTATTAGACATGGTTTGCATGGTTTGCATTTTACCGTTTACGTTATTTTCGACGGTCGGCGTGTAGAGGGCGAGTCTACTGTTTTTTGTGTGTTTTCGAGACACGGTTAGCAGTTCGGCTTCTGAGTCCTGACTCCTGATGCAACGATTGACTTGTGACGTTGAACATAGTGTGAACGGTAAAAATGCTGACCATGTCTATTGTGGTTGTAGGCCATCATCTGTGCTGAAACCAGCCACACGAAGTCTGAACCGGTGGCCCTGCTTTTCCACATTCTGTATAATGCCGCACGCGATGGCGACATCATAGCTCTAAGCTGCTATGACTGCATTGTGGACTTCATGCCACTTTCACTTTTGGGGTCATCCGTAAATACCGATATTTATTTAGAAACGAAAACTACTGTAAAAGTCATTATTCTAACGAGGCGCATATATAACGATTTCCTAAAATTGACTGGTTTACGTGTACCAAAGGTAACGATTCTCACTTATATTTATGGCTTTTACAGGACTAGTAGTCATTTCTCTTCAACCCCCTCCCCGAGAAACGAACACATACAAACGGTACATCGTATCGATGTTATTTTATTTTCTTCTCGATGTGTCCACACATACAAATTGTGCATCGATATTTTTGGAGAAATAAACAGGCGCTCAACCCCCTCCCCTCCCCCCCCCCCCCCCCCTAAACGACTAGTTTTAGTTTCTAAATAAATATCTACAAGTATATTTACGGATGGCCCCTTTGCTGATTCTGTAATGGTATTGTGCAACCTGACGACAAGCATGAAGCATTGTTATTGATACCGGCATCGGGTTTAGCGGCGGCAGCACTATGCCAGCAGCAGCAGTACCAGCAGTACCAGCAGTATCAGCAGTACCAGAGCAGTATCAGCAGTATCAGAGCAGTATCAGAGCAGTATCAGAGCAGTACCAGCAGTACCAGCAGTACCAGCAGTATCAGAGCAGTATCAGAGCAGTATCAGAGCAGTATCAGCAGTACCAGCAGTACCAGCAGTACCAGAGCAGTATCAGCAGTATCAGCAGTACCAGCAGTATCAGAGCAGTATCAGAGCAGTATCAGCAGTACCAGCAGTACCAGCAGTACCAGAGCAGTATCAGAGCAGTATCAGCAGTACCAGCAGTACCAGCAGTATCAGAGCAGTATCAGCAGTACCAGCAGTACCAGCAGTATCAGAGCAGTATCAGAGCAGTATCAGCAGTACCAGCAGTACCAGCAGTACCAGCAGTATCAGAGCAGTATCAGCAGTATCAGCAGTATCAGCAGTACCAGCAGTACCAGCAGTATCTGCAGTATCAGAGCAGTATCAGAGCAGTATCAGCAGTACCAGCAGTATCAGAGCAGTATCAGCAGTATCAGCAGTACCAGCAGTATCCGCAGTATCAGAGCAGTATCCGCTTTGCTTTCAATAGTAGTAAAGCCTCTTGTACGGGCAACATGAATTGCACATTATCAAACAAATTCAAATTCAATAAACTACTGTAAATATACAAAATTTCGGCGCTGCAAAATTTCGTCACTTCACGATTTTTGACATTTCGGCGGCGATTTATTTTCGGCGTGGGGTAGAGGGCATGGTATAGTGCGACAGATGCTGTGAAAAATTTCATCAGCGTTTTAATTTAGGCGTTTTGGGTCGGTGCCGAATATAGCCGAAATTAAATAGCTGCCGAAAATTTGTATATTTACAGTACTTTGAAACACAATCATCTTCAATGAACAGAATAGTACTTCTCTTCAGGACCAGCAAACTTCAGATTGGGGGTTTAGCTCAGTGGTAGAGCGCTCGCTTCGCATGTGAGAGGCCGCGGGTTCAAATCCCGCATCCTCCAGATTTTTATCTTTTTCTTCAACGAAAACCCTTTTTCATGCCGCGCTTTTTCCTCATTTTCCTGTACTGTACGTGTAAAATTGTAATGCTCTTGCCCTCTGCACTGCCCACTGGTCTCTGTCAATATTACCGTACTACCGTAAAGTACCGCCAGAGCGCCCCACCATCTCATCCTTTCGTGGTCGTATTGTGGAGGTGGTCTGCTGTCTGTAGGTCATACGACATGAACCTTGTACACATATAGCACGTTTCGCAGTCAATCCGTACCTTCGAGCGGACACAAGCTCCACACAAAAACCTGCCAAGTGTGACCTTAGTACACTAAGCTTCTGACATCGTACAAACTTCGTTGCACTCTGCCATACGATTTTCCTTTCTCTGGCTGTAAAATCAAGGTGGGGCGCTCTCGCGAGACGGGGCGCTCTGGCGGTACTTTACGGTACTAGTATTTGTGTGGGTTTCTGTGATAGCATTTTTCTGTACTGCAAATTACTGGATATGAGAGAGAGAGGGGGGGGGGGGGGGAGAGAGTAGTGTAGAATGTTCACCCAGTGACTGCGAGTGTTGACTCACACTACCAGGTATGGTATATGCAAGCCTTGCCTGATAGGTTACTACAGTCCATTCATTGGAAACTGGCACCCTAACTTTTTGGTGTCTCCCGCACATAGTTGTAGATATAGTGAAAACAACAGTACAATCCTGCATTGTGTGACCCGTATAATTACTCCTTGCCACATTTGAGGGCAGAAAGGTCCAAGAACAAGGAAATAGAAATTCAGCCAGGTTTTACAAAATTAGGACAGGTATGCCATGGCAAATTGTGTGGAGAAGCAGATCCCAAATCCATATTTTGAAATTTAAAGTGGGTTTTGATCCTCAATTCGGCCCAAATCAGACTTTCAAAAGCCAGCGGGACTGTTTCCGATGAATGGACTGTAATATGTTTAGCTTTTTACGGTGACAGCATGAACAAGGAGAGGACGCACTGTATGGGAAACAGTGAGGGTCTGAACCGGGGCATTGCCCCATACGGTTGAAATGGTCGCAAGACCGAGACTCTACCAACCGGTGTATGGTTGTAGTCAGGAGCACTGTTTCCCATACAGTGTGTCCTCACCTTGTTCACGCTGTCACCGTGTAAAACCACCATGTGTGTACTCCTAAATGGTCAAGCCAAGCTGGTTCCATACGTCACATACCTACATCTCCGCTGGCTTTGTACGGGGCTGGGTTCCAGTTGTGGGGAATATGTTACGCTCCGAGTTTATTTACTTACTCTTGCCTTGGAAATATTCCATGTTCTGTGGGGTCATTTATTGCTCACTCTATCCATGGTGACATACCTTTTTTGTGCAGTCTTATGGGCCTTTGAGGATACCTTGCTTTGTGCTGTGTACTAGTACGGTGTTATGATGATTGTCTGTTCTCACGTGTAGGACACATTGATGACGCTGTGCCAGGCTGTGGTAAATCGTGACCATGATCAGGCTGCACGTTGGTGTCAATCACCAGAGTGGGCAACTGTCCAGCAGGTCATGGATGCCCTAGGTTAGTTATTGACTTACTGCCGTACTCTGCTGTGCTGTGTTCTCGTGATATGCTGTACTGCTGCTGTGATATGCTGTACGGCTGTGATATGCTGTACTGCTGCTGTGATATACTGTACTGCTGCTGTGATATACTGTACTGCTGCTGTGATATACTGTACTGCTGTGTTATTGTGATATACTGTACTGCTGTGATATACTGTACTGCTGTGTTATTGCAAGAGTACATGAAAACCAGAGTGTGCAGCTCGGATGGGTTGCTGTCACGGCGGAATTTCGTGATTACATCATTTTAGTGATGTGGTACGTACAAGCAGGATTCAAGCAGGTCTATTTCTGCACAACTGCAGCTCAGTTGTATGCACTATGCCACTTCCCGCCTGAGATCTGCGCCAAATATGGTGTAATCACGGAATTCCGCCGTGACAGACACCCATAGCAGAAAAGACCCCAAGCTGCACACTCTGGCTTTCATGTACTCTTGGTTATTGTGATATGCTGTACAACTGTGTTGTTGTGATGACTGCTATGCTATGCTGCTGTACTGCTGTACTGCTGTGTAGCTGTGTTACTGTGTTCCTGTGAAATGGGGTGCTCCTGTGTAGCTGTACGGTGTTGCTGTGCTGTGTTGTTGTGATATAATGCTGGACTCCTGTGATGCTGTGCTGTGTCGCTGTGTTGCTTTACTCTGGATGATTGCTTTGTACGTTTCAGACATTGTTCTGGCTTTGTTCTGTTGTTGCATATGCACGCAGGTGACGAACCTATGGCCGCCCAAGATGTTACTGACAGTGGTTTCAGCAAAGGTGGTGCTGGGGCAGGCGAGCAAGCAGCAGCTGGCAAGTGGGAATGTGCGCACTGCACCTATCGTAATTCCAGCTCAGTCCAGTCGTGTGAAATGTGCACCCTTCCACGTGAGGCGTGAGCCCATCATCCCTTGCCCGAATGCAAGCTGCGCTGGGAGACTGTAGTGTCTCCGAAGTGTTGTGTAGTGAGCAATGTACAGCTTTGTTCTTTTTCTTTCATCCTTGTATTATTCCCAGTGGCCCCACCTTGTACATGTACGTCTTGTAACTCTGTACACCTGTACACCAACTCGAGCAGGGTAATCATTGTTCTCCTTACTCTTTCTTTTTAGTGCCTCTCTTTCTGCCTGTACAAAAGCCTCCGTCTTGTATCTGTCCTTTGTGTACAAAAGCTATCGTCCGCGTCCCATTTGTTTTGTTTGTTTTTTTGGTTTACCCTCTTCTCCTTGGTCAGAAAAGAGACTGCCCTGTGTTTGATATTAAAATCTTACCAACCTGTTCGAACGTCTATTGTGATTACGATGTCATTTCTTTTTATCTCTTTCACCAGTCCTCAGTCCTGTTACTACACGCGATCCGTTAGGATTTTTAAGGCTCGATGATGCTCTTTTATAATGTTGCTCTAGAATCTTAGCTATTGCTGTTGACTTGAGTGGGCGTTGGATACTGTATGTGTGCGTGTGCGTGTGTACTACGTACATGCATGCATGCTTGCGTTGGGTGTGTGTGATCACGTGAGGAGGGCATTCATTTTTGTGCATGTGACATAATAATAATTATTATTATTATGACAAGTTCCCGGAAAACAAGTTACTTGTAAGTAATTTTCCAATCTACATACAGGTTTGCCGGCGCCAGAAGGCTGCATGTACCAGTGTATTGTGTAAACGTCAAAAAGCGCAGAAATTGCAAAAATCATCAAAAAGCGCGGAAAAATTAGCAATCGCGATTTTCCCAGTGGGGATCCCTGGTTCAGCGGTACGCGCCCGGCCCGGCGCCCATGGCGCACCTCTCACCATAGCAATGCATAATGATTGAAATGGTGGGATTTGCTGACCGTTCAAAAATTCGTACGTACATGCATGCGGATATCGAAACATCGCATGCAAAACGTTGATATAAAAATCATTCGCCAGCTTTCTGAAAAGTTCTCCTGAGCCCGTGTAGTCTGCGAAACTACCTCACAAACTTCAGACGACAATTGTATTTCCTCGCGGGCAGTTTGGTCAGTAACTCCTTTTCAGTGGGTGCCATGGCGTCCGTAGAGCAGCTGACGCTTTTGAAAGCTTTCACTGAGTTGTTGAAGAATACACCAGACCTCTTGCACAAACCTGAGTTGAGTTTCTTCAGGGAATACTTAGAAAGGTGAGGGTACCACAGTTCTGTATGCACTACAAGTATTTAGCACAGCAAGATCTTGTAAACAGTTTATTATTCTTGGTTGCACTGCATGCTTCATTTTAAAAGGGCATGTGACGTCGGAGCATTTTGTGCGTATTTGGAGCACTTGCACCGTGTTTGTGTGGGCTATATTTATATTCGTCACCATCCCTGACTTGCTCGAATGGAAAACTAAAACTGCTGAGACTTCCTAAGAGAATGAAGTCATGTACTGATAATAGTGATACAGTATGCATATAGCTCATGAAAACATCAAATGAGGGTCGTGCATTCTGCCTCAGGCAAGTTGCTCCGCTTCCAAAAGGGAAATGGAATACACAATAATCCCCTCGTGAATCATGTACATGAACACAGTATTTCAGCTACCACATATACATATACACCCGGCCCCGCTCCAAACGAACGTACTTCGTGAAGTAAAATAAAATTGATCTGATTGAGCTTCAAAATCAGAATTTTGATAAATTAAATTGCACCGAAAAATGTGTACATTTGGAACATGCTTACAGTGGCGGTGCAGGCTTGATACGTAGTTTATTTATTATTTTTGGTCAACAGAGGTCGCGTTGGCCCTGAACCTCAGACGGATGACCAGTCATACATAGGCCGTTACAAGGCACTGTAAAGGAAATAGGCTGTATCGCAGTATGCAGGAGAGAGAGACAGAGAGAGAGAGAGAGAGAGAGAGAGAGAGAGAGAGAGAGAGGCAGAGAGAGAGAGAGAGAGAGAGAGACAGAGAGAGAGAATGGCAATAACAGAGTGTGCACCTGTGTGCCTGTATCTGCCGTGCTAGGGAAGGTGGGAGGGCATGTCTATAGGGCTACAGGCTAGAAAAATCGTTAAAGTAAATACGATGGCACTTTTGTTGAACAGTCCTATGCGCGCGCTTGTGTGTGTGTGCATGTGTGTGGTTTTTTTGAATTTTTCTATTTTCATTTCAACATGTATTTTGGTGCTGTGTACTGGTTTGTAGCTTAGGGGCTACTATTCCTGCGGAATCATCTGATGAACCAGCTGCAGAGGAGCAGAAAGAAACACCACCAAAGCCTGCACCAACCAAGAGTGCTCCGCCACCAAAGGTGCAGAAAAGAAGAAGAGTGAGCTTCACTCCTCTTCTTCACAAGATTTACACTTGTGTGTGTCATGACCTATTGTATACGACTAGTCTTCTAGCCATAGTGCTTCTTCAATGTTGGCACTCCACTTTGCAAGTGGCAATTGTAGTCAGTGTAGATACTGTTTATATCCTGAATTTGTTTTACTCCTTGATGAGAGGGCAGAATCTGGGGGTTTGAACAATGATACTGAAGGCAATAGCTTCAATACGACGATCACTAGGACCAGCTGCTTTGTCAGCTCCTCACTGTATCTAATGAACACGTACTTGGTAACACGTGCTGTAATCCTGCGTATATAACAACATGGTCTCAGAAACAACAACAAAAACATGCTGCTGTTGCCCCTTTTTCACTTGCTTTTTTCTCTCGGCTGTAAGTGCATGTTTGTATGTGCATTGACTGCACCATGTCAGTATGTATGTACAGGAAGCAGTACACTGTCATGCTCCATCAGGACCGCCGGAAGCAGTTTTTGATTGGTCCGGTAGTATCATTGCCTTTCATACAGTTTGTGTATGATATGGCGGGTACACATGACCTCCATGGTAGGAAACATGTGTTGGTGGGCGAAAAGTTGGTCTGGTAATAACCTGACCAACCGGAGCGGTTCCGGCGGGCCTGACCATGCACATTGGCCTCGAAACTACAACTCGGTGTGTGACTTTGTGAGCTTCATTCTTTTATAGTAACACTGAACACAATCATTGAATGGGAGGCAGTCTTATGTTTGAAAACAAGACCATGAAGGGATACTGCCGTTTTCCTATCTACTCAACTTGAAAGAGTATACCGGGTATGTGTGTGGTCATGATATCGTTACAAGACCAGCGTGTTGTGTGTGTGTGTGTGTGTGTGTGTGTGTGTGTGTGTGTGTGTGTGTGTGTGTGTGTGTGTGTGTGTGTGTGTGTGTGTGTGTGTGTGTGTGTGTGACAGGTGTATTGCTGTTGACTCCCTCCCTGAGTGGTGTGTTGACCTGGTCTACTGTAGGCTTACTGTGTACTGTGCATGCATATTCATTCTACTTGCACTTATGTTTGTGTGACTTTATTGTTTGGTCTCTTCTCTGACAATTCAGGAGGATTCTTCAGCTGAGAGTGACATCGAGGAGCCAGAAGAGTTAGGTAAGAGCTTGGTCACTTCCCTCATTTCTACTTTGGGGTTGTGTGTTTGCGTGCGTGTGCGTGTGTGTGTGTGTGTGTGTGTGTGGTAGTGTCATTATTCCAACGGAATTGACCTCGGAATGATGGTACATGTACATGTATTTTTTGTGCAGGGAGGGGGGCAAGTCACAGTGCAGGGAGGGGGGGGGGGGGGGCAAGTCACAGTGCAGGGAGGGGGGGGGGGGGGGGCAAGTCACAGTGCAGAGTGGTGGAGCAGAGTAGTGAAATCAATACCGTAGCGCCTAAGTCTGTTGGAATTTTCTGCTTTTTGTCTTGGTTGATTTATGATTGGTATAGTAATTGAGAAAGATGACGAGTGTGTGGAAGCAGATGAGGACGAGCCCCAGTCGATGGGTAATCCAGATATTGAGGTGAGACTACAACAGTCACTTGCCTGCAAGTTGTCCATGATGAACATTCTCAGAACTCTCTTCTCATGGCGTAGACGTTCTTGCTGTCAGGACCCTTGATTCTGTTGTCCTGGCAACCCTTCGAATAGTGGGATTTGACACTACTGTACAAGCAGAGAATTTAGTCGTGAATAATGTCGTCAACTTCGAAGAAGGGTAGAACATCCGGTCAACAATTGTGTACATTGACCATGCAAAGGGCAACAACTCTTCCCAGTGTTTCGACTCCATTTGCTGGCGTGTTCGGTGTACGTGCTCGCACAGTTATTTGATCAGGTGTGTGTGTGTGTCTCTCTCTCTCTCTCAGTCTCTCTCTCAGTCTCTCTCTCTCAGTCTCTCTCTCTCTCTCTCTCTCTCTCAGTCTCTCTCTTTCTCTCTCTCTCTCTCAGTCTCTCTCTCTCTCTCTCTCTCTCTCTCTCTCTCTCTCTCTCTCTCAGTCTCTCTCTCTCAGTCTCTCTCTCTCTCTCTCAGTCTCTCTCTCTCTCTCAGTCTCTCTCTCTCTCTCTCTCTCTCTCTCTCTCTCTCTCTCTCTCTCTCTCTCTCTCTCTCTCTCCCTCTGATTTAGCCACCCACACTAGTAGCAAGTATTACCTTCACCGGGGCAGGGGTAACTGCAGTTGGATCCCGGGACGAATACCCTGATGCAGTCAATCCTTTTTTCTGCACCCTGTACTCACCCACTAACTGAGGTGTGGTGAGCCTATAAGTGGGATCATTTCCAAGTCCACCCATAGTTTGGGGATTTCAGGGGTAATGGCCGTTGGGCGGTTCAATAGCCAATTGTGTCATCTTTCCAAGATTCCTGTTGAGTCTCTCTCCCCTCTCCCGGGGAGACCCACATGACCAATTTTGGCAGTGATCAACTACAAGTTTGTGTGTGTGTGTGTGTGTGTGTGCGTGCTTTCTTGGGTTGTGCTAGGTGACAGATGAAATGCGAGATGCTGCACAAGAGGCCAGGAGTCAAGCTATGGCCGCCATGTCCAATGGTAACGTGATTCGTAACTCTGTTCATGATTATAGTGATCCTATTTTGCCTTCTTCTCTTGGCAATTGAGGAGGTAATGCTGGAGTAGGAAAGATTAATCCCATTTTGAAGCTGATAAAATCTACAGTAGTTGCTTTTGTCAATGGCAGTGTGTGCGTGTACATGTACCTGCAGAATTGAGGGTGCAGAGGAAAGTAGGGGAGATCCCCTTTGTACATTAGCACCAGGTAAACTGTACATGTACTAGCCAACTTGACCTTTTCTTCTACAGTACCAGCATGCATGCACAGCTTTCGACACTGTCCAGCTTCTAAGTGCACAGCGCTCAGAATGGCTCACACCAACGGCTGGATATCTTCTCTCGTATCTTGGCCCAAACTGGTTGTAGAGAAAAGAGAGGAGTATGATTTGAGGGTGCTACTCACTGCTCCGTGTGCATTGTTTTGTGATGTGTGCAGGTGAATTCTCTGAAGCCATTGAGCACTTCACTGCTGCCATTGAGAAGAACCCCCAGTCAGCACCTCTATTTGCCAAGCGTGGCCAGTAAGCCAAGAACATTACTGTTTTGATGCGTATACATGTACTGTGTTTGTAAGCATTTCCATTGGGGAAAGAGGTGGGTCTGTCAGCTTGTTCATGTGTAATGTGCTGTTTGCTGACGCCCCCTCGTGCAGCCCAATGTTTGGAGTGTGTTTGTTTGTATAGTCGGCATGCTGAGTTGTGTAAGCTTATAAGGAATGTCATTGGGTAGTAGGGTACCCATGCCACCCGTCATTAGATCAGGTAGCAGGGTGGCAACTGCTCCTGAGAACCCGATCGGGTAGTTGGAGTACGGTGTTTTCGCAACGGTGCATGTAAACAGCACGGCTACGCGCTTGCTGTACACTTTTTATGTAGCGCAAGTGCACACTCACTGTACAAATTAATTAAAAAAATCCCAATAGGGTACCCGTGCTATCCGGATTGAAAAAACCCGAACCCGTTACCCGACCAAACCCCTACCCGTTGCAGCCCTAATTATTATTGCTCGGTAAAATGATCCGTCGACCCGTACTGCAGGGTAGTAGACTTTTGCCAAACTGCTGGGCACAAAGTTTGTGTTGTCACTAGACTCGTGGAATACCCGGCATGTGTGATTTGCTTCAGGTCAAGTCGGAGAATACTCTAGTTACAGACATTTAATGTATTCACCTTGTTTTGTTCCTTGTCTTTCTGCTCATTTTCAGAGCTTACGTCAAGCTGAGAAAGCCCAACGCTGCTATCCGGGACACCACTCGTGCCATTCAGCTGAATCCTGACTCAGCACAGCCGTACAAGTGGAGAGGTATTGCTTACCGGTAAGTACCGGTATCTCCTCAACTCACTCTTCAGGCTATGGTGTGTGCAGTCTACATAGAGTTGCCATTCACTTCTCGTCTGAGTGTGCAACTGCTTTTGTGCGATCTCTATCCAGTGCTACTTGAATTACAATGGTAGAACTTCACATCACATGCCTTGGTTCATTAGGTTACGCTGGCAAAGAGTGCAAAGCGATCACCAGAGAGTTGAACCCAAAGCAGGCTTGCACACAGCGCTGTAGCTATCATGCACAAGGTGGGTATAATGTGAAAAAAGAAGAATCAGAGGTTTACAAGTTATCCATTGTTTGTGTCCAACACTAACAGACTTGAGCAAGATACCGGTTTGTAAACCTTTGGTATATTGTTTACGGGTTTGTCATGTGATGTGAAGTTCTGCCATCCCAGGTGGCCCCATAGACTGGAGTTAGAGACGCTTGGGGTGATGTACTCTTGATGACATGCATTGACATGACGCCCAGTTTTTTTGTGTTACGATTACTTGCAGGAAACTTGGTGAATGGTTGAAAGCAGTTCAAGACTTGGATATGTCTAATAAGCTTGACTTTGATGAGGATGTTTACATCATGGCCAAAGAGCTGCGCCCAAAGGTATTACGTGATGCTGTAGTGTGCTGTATCTTCTTTCATTCTCTCTCTCACTCTGTGTGTGTGTGTCTCTCTCTCACTCACTCTCTCTCTCTCTCTCTCTCTCTCTCTCTCTCTCTCTCTCTCTCTCTCTCTCTCTCTCTCTCTCTCTCTCTCTCTCTCTCACACACACACACACACACACACACACACTCTCTCTCTCTCTTTCTCTCTCTCTTGCAGCAAGAATAGTCCTGGCTTTATGCACGAATTACGGTACATCCTTGTCAGTTGGGGATGTGTTATCACTAGAAGCAGCTGTATAATAATGCTGATACTGATTTTTATTTAATTTATGTACAGTTTATATCCAGCCCACTGATTATGGTGCAGAGCCACTCTGTTTTATGTGTGTCTATCAGCACTGCTTGTTGTACTGTTGTGCATTATCATACTACCTACACATTCGTTCCTCGTGTTGTATTCACGTCAGCTAGCTGACGTCTGATGCGCGTAGTCGCGTACACGGCTTTCATTCCTCATATTGTACTCACGTCTGATGCGCGCAGTCGCGTGCACTGCTTTCATTCCGCAGTTGTATTCACGTCTGATGCGCGTAGTCGCGTACACTGCTTTCGCGCGATCTTTTGATTTGAATGTTTTTGAATCTCCGCAACATTCCTTTGTACTGGAAGATGATTTCGATTAGAGTCAGAGTAAAACATTATAATACAGTCTTCTAAAACAACAAGTCGTGTGTTTTCCGGAGACATGTTCGAGTAAGAACAATTAATATATCTACTATCTAGCCAGATTCATGTTGCGCCCTAATGTTCGATATTGTATCACTGTTGTTGTTGTTTTTTGTTGTCGTCGTTGTTGTGTGTCTGTGCGTGTCTGTGTGCGGGTGTGTGTGTGTGTGTGTGTGTGTGTGCGCGCACGTGGGTGTATGTGCGTACGTGTGTGTATGTGTATGTATGTGTGTGGGTGTGTCTGTCTGTGTCTGTGTGTCCAGGTACTGAAGATCCAAGAGCGTCAACGTGAAATTTCCCGTATCCGCGAGGAGAAGGAAAGGAAAGCACGCATCCGCCGTGTGTAAGTGAAGCATTGTGGGGTTTCATACTCTGACATGTACAGTATGCGAAGGACATCTGTTTGTTATTCTTTGTAATCCATGGTGCCGTTGAGTGGGCTATATGACAATGGTGTCTGCTGGGTTTGTGTTGTATGGGAGAATGGAGATAAGATCGTTCCACTTCAGGCCATATTATTGTGTTCTATGGAATGGAACTATGTTTGCTTGTTGCAGGTGAATATAGAATATGGGAATTGGTCAAAACTCAAAACAATCCATTTTCCGGGTTTGCCAGGATTAAGTTTGTTGCGGTGATTTTTGCGCGAAAGTCTGTCTGGCTCTATCAGGAAGTACAATGTATGTCTAGCCCTGTTAGGATTGTCAGGGAGTACAATGTATGTCTAGCCCTGTTAGGATTGTCAGGGAGTACAATGTCTAGCCCTGTTAGGATTGCGCTTTGGCAAGGGTACTGTGAACACAGGTTTTACTGCGTAGTATCCTGATACTGTCGTTGGCATGGAAATCCGGTCGCACGTCTAGCGGCCCCAGGGCGTTGGCCGTGCAGCCGTGGATAAGCGGCACACACATGCATTTATGCGCTGCAGCGCGCTGGTCGCATCGGATCAACATGTGCACTGCACGCAGCGTTCTGTACGCGCTGAGGGCTCTGTCCCCGGTCAATCGACTGGATTTCCGTGTCTGCTACAGTACTACACACTGACGCACTGAGTACATAGGAGTACAGTCATTAGGAGTATTTCACTGTCCAATGGCAGAAGCCAATGCAAAGGAGGGGGCGTTAGCCAGCCATGGCAAGAGAAGAAAAAAAAAGAATGAATGAAGGAAAGAAGATGATAATCGGAAGAAAAGAATGCATCAGCGGGGTGAAATGTATCACTATGTTGACCATGGTGGAGTCATGTATCCTGATACTACGCACTGAGTACAAAGGAATACAGTTATGTATCCTGATACTACGCAGAGACTACGTAGGAACGGTGTTTTCTCGCCATACCGGAGCTTCTGCTTTTCCGTTGACTTGACACTTGGCAAACAAACACCATTCCTATGAAATCATCGCCGAAGTCGCTACCACTATCTCGTGCTGAGTACATGTACAATGTATTTTATTGGGCTTGCGTGCAATCATTTGTTCGATAATTTCTCTCTCTTCCCCGTATCTGTGTTGTGACCGCCACAGGAAGAAGGCACAAGCAGCACAGGAGAAGGCACGCAAGGTTTGTCTTATACCCGGCTCTCATGGCAACCCTTGTATAGCAACTTAATTAGCAAGTCTACTGAAGTACTATGAAATTCGGCTTCGTCTTGAGCATATAGCTGTGATGATTTATAGCCAACTCACGTTGCTTTTCTTTTTCTTCTTTCCTTTGCTTCTGGTACTTTTCATCAGGAGGAAGAGGAACGTGCTGGTCGATTTTCAGGTGCCGGTGGCTTTCCAGGTGGTTTTCCTGGAGGCTTTCCAGGTGGCTTCCCTGGTGCAGGCGGTTTCCCCGGTGCTGGAGGCTTCCCTGGAGCTGGAGGTTTTCCTGGTGCTGGAGGCTTCCCTGGAGCTGGGGCTGGAGGCTTCCCTGGAGCTGGGGCTGGGGGCTTCCCTGGTGCTGGTGCTGGGGGCTTCCCTGGTGCAGGGGCTGGCGAACCAGACCTCTCTGCTCTATTTAGCGATCCCGAAATCATGGCAGCATTCCAGGTAAGAGCCACCATCATTATAATGTATGTTTAAACATATCAAACACATTCATCCACGCAAACCATATTCAGGCAAGGAGACAATTTGCTTACTTTCGCAGCAAACTGTTTTGTTCTCTGCTCATCTAGGCATACATGCACCTGGGTATAACTGTAAATTCAGAAAACAGAAGACTATAGAGGCAAATTTGTATTATTAATACCGCATAGAGGCAAAGCTCCTAGCAATTAGAAATTGGTAACAATCTTGCAATGGTAAGTGAAGAAAATGAGAGAATGCTTTCCATGGTGGTTTGATTTCTGTTTTGTTATTTTCACCATCATCACTATGCTCAGCTCCTTTTTTTTAAATCTATCTATTTTCTTCACCTGGTACGAGTTTCCTCGGAGACGAGAATGCGATAATACTGAGTGTGTCCTTTTCAGTGTTATCCTCGTATAAAGAGTGTTTATAAGAAGGAAAAATCACCAAAGAGCTACAAGTTACGCTATAATTAACCACTAACACCACCGGGTTACTTTACAATCAGCTCGTGCGATAACATGGCACGACCTGACCAACGGTACTGACGTTCTACACCTAATATTATAGCGTAACTTGTAGCTCTTTGGTTCTTTTTCTTCTTATAAATTAATCCTTGGCAATAGATGGGTAAATCTAGAATCTACTCTCACCAGCCAATGAATGACACAACTGGACTACTAGTATTATAGTGCTGCTCAATGAAATCCAATCACGCAGGTCCAGTACACGCAGGTCCAGTACACGCAGGACGTTGTGGAGCCGCAGACCTGCGAACACTGGGCTGTGCACTGGTGCAGGGCGCTGTGCAACCCCAGATCTGCTAACTGGATTGACGAACCTCACTGTTTCCTAGTAACTCCCAACATACACACTTATTGCATGCAAGATATCGTGACTCTAGATAGGTCAGAAAGGTGTGTTGTAGACATACCCGGATAAGGGGTACCACTGTACTGCATATACATACACCATGCACTGTGGGAGAGACATGTTTTCAGCCAATCTTGTTTTCACTTGCTGCCTTGTTTCGAATATTGAAGACCTTCTGCTGTTGTCTTGTGCATGCGTGTGTGTGCGTCCGTGTGTTTGTGTTTTCACACAAAGGATCCTGAAGTAATGGCTGCTTTTCAAGCTGTGAGCCAAGACCCAAGTAAGATTTCCATGTATGAGGGTAACCCAAAGGTCAAGCGTGTCATTGAGAAGCTAAGGACGAAGTTTGGCGGTGCAATGCCCGGAGGAATGCCTGGTGGAATGCCACCTACTGGAGAAGAACCCATGGATGATGATGGCCCAACAACAGATGCCAGCAGTGAGCCGAATACTGCTCAAATGCCGGCGTCTAATGATGATCTGGACTGAGTTAACTTAGTGAGTACATGTATATTGGAGCTATCCTTAGCTCTGTGTTGGTGTTGTTTATGCAACACACTCTGGAGGTTGCTGCTCTATACTCTGCGCCGCAAAATCTTCTCATCATTTCTTCTGCCCTGTGCACTGTGGTAGTACATGCCGATGTGCAGCAGCTTCTCCTGAGAGCACTGCCACCACTGCCGCACTGTCAAGCCAAGCGGATTTGGCCTTTGTGGCTCTACTCAAGGTTGTTTTTACCCTTTCACTATTCTCCATACAGTAGTAGCTCACCCCTGCTGCTGCTGCTTCTGCTGCTGCTTCTGCTGCTGCTGAATTTTCTACTCAGCTTTATGTTGCTTCGTTTCAACTTGTTTTCTGCTTGATATTTTTTGATACCGTGACATTTTGTTCGGTAGCAGAACTGCTATTTCTCTTCTTTTCAGATTCCTATTGTACACCGTTACGAACAGAAAAGACACATGAAGCTGGCTTTCGAAATTTTATAGAATTGTTTGATTGACACCACGAAATCCATGTATGCCTAACATGGAAGAGTAGCTAGCTGAGCAACAGGCATTTTTGAATTCAAGCGGGCTTTGAAGCACAAACCTTACAAGCGCACACAGTACACACAGTGCACACAGCGCACACAGTACATGTACTCGCAAACTGGTTCTAACTAAACAAAGAAAGGGTCTTCCGGTACATTGCTGACCAGGGAGTTGAATGGGGTGTATAGAACTCCCTGTTGCGGACACGCATTCCCTATGTTGTAATTTAATGATCAATAATACTGCCTGTAACCATGATAACAGTCACTAGTTAGTTAGTTAGTTAGTTGATTGTTACAAGTAGGGAATAAGGGAGTCAACCAGTGGTATCAAGAGTACATGTGCTCTGTTGGTAGTCAGTATAAATGTTTCGGCCGTACAAAAGTTACTAGACTAGTCACACCACGCGCAGTGTACGACACATCTGCTCTGCCCGTATACAGGACCACATAGCCAGTCATGGCAGTGGACGAAGGGCAGAAGGTGTGTGCGTGTGTGTGTGTGTGTGTGTGTGTGTGTACCAGAAGACAGAGCTGAGTGGAAGCAGGTGTGTGCTCTAGGTAGCAGCGGACACAGCGGTAGCAGAGGCTGAGTTTCCCTCCGACCCCACGGACGCACCATTTGTATGTGGTTGAACGTAGTGGCGACTTTGAAGTAACATTCCCATTCAGAGTCTGCAAGGCTTTATTCTGCTATCCGTCCACCTGTACTCGGTGGACATTCTTCCAAAGGTAGCTGCTGGATCCGTAGCAAAACCGTAGAACTATATAGAAAGTTTAAAAGTGTATGAATAAAGTTGAAAGGCTGTTGTTACTGAGCTGTGCCGCCGTATTGGTCTCCGTACACTGAACCAGCCTTACTAATCAACCATTCTACCTGGAAGACAAGTATTGGCAGCGGCTAGCAGGGACTGTACAAGCATGGTCAACGGTACCAGCGGGTCACGCGGTACTTCCTCTATTCCAGTGTCTAAACCTGTGTTTCCCTCACTACACTCACTGTGCATCATGAGTGTCTCAACCTGCATTTCAGTATCACCACTTTATTACTGCAATACCAGTACGAGCAGTACTATGCTGTGCAAGAAACAGTTCATACTTTTCCTTCTCCACCATTACCATTCCTGATGTTGCCGGTATCGAAATGTCTGTGTTCACACCTGGAGAGAAGCATAAGATACAGAAGCCATGCACTGTATCAGTTTGTCAGCTGTCAACTTGTCGTCCAGAACCTCTCAGATCTCAGTGCATGCTCAATAAGCTGAAACAGGGGCCGTGGGGAGTGTATAGTGCACAAACATCAGGGCTGGAGAGTGCAGATTAGCTGGGTCTATATTGTAATATCCTGTTTAGAATTCACCATCGTGCCCGCACACAGTATCAGCAGGTGATGGCCGGCCTAGTTTTGACAAGATGTCTTGCAGGATGTCAAAGTCCACGCGCGCGTGTACTCTCTAAAAGTGAATATCATCATGGGCCGTGTGTCATAGGCTGCTGCAATTCAATGTCTTGATTTATTTGACGTACATGCAAAACACTTAAAGAATACTCAGATGGGATATTTAATATTTTAAATCCACGGTGGGTTCAAAACATCAGTACCAGGCATTTAGCTGTCCCCGGGGAAAATCGCGGGAAAAATCGCAAAAAACGCGGGAAAAAACGCGGCATAAATATGGCATAATTTGCTGTGAATTTGCGGTAAATATGCGGTGAATATTATTGATATGCGGCGAATTTGCAGTTAATATGAGGCAATTTTCAGTGAGTATGTAGTGAAATCAATCAGTTACAAGTCTCTGGTGTAAGCACTCGTCATATTTGAGTAAAAAGCCGCCACGATGAGACGTTGCTGACCGAACAGTGCACTGTGTGTACGTGTAGTGCAACAAAAAAACTCAAAAAACGCGGGGAAAATCGCGGAAAACGCGGTCTTTTAAAAAATCGCAAAAAACGCGGAAAAAAACGCGGCCACGGAATCGCGATTTTCCCCGGGGACAAATTTAGGGCATGTTCGATTGGTAGGATCGGGATCTCGATCCACCGGATCCACTGGATTCGCACCCTTTCGATTGGTCGAATCCGGATCCGGATCCTTCGGATTTGGATCCAGTCAACCCACCTCGGGGAACAGGGTTGACCGGATCCAAATGTGACCTTTGTGCGTATATGGCGGGTAAAAATCGTTTTTGTACACATTGTGGTACGCACACGTGGATCGAGCGAGATAGAGCTTGTTGACTTTTTGTACAACTGGCGCGGTGAGTACGACTTTTTATTACTTCGTCAACATGCCGGCAACAGTCAAGGCCCAAAAAAGTGTCCAGTTGACTCTGAAGGATCCGACGGATCTGAGATCTGGATCCCGATCTTTACCAATCGAACATGCCCTTAGAGACCCTGTTCATGGGCGCTACTTTGAGGGTTGTTTCAACCTCTGCGGCACGGCAGAGATGTATCAGCAACGGCAGAGGAAACTTCAACGATGAGACGCCCCCAGGCTCAGTGGCTCATGCTCCCAAGTTGTCAGGAGTTGTCTCAAAAAGAGTCAAAAGCCAGCAATCAGTCTACCTTCATGCAGCCTACCACTTTCACGGCACAGCACCATTATGCACTGTATTCATACACCATTATGCACTGTATTCATACACCATTATGCACTGTATTCATACAGAACAACAAGGACGATCAAGGCTTCTTTGCTGCTACTTCAAGTTTCATGCTCTTGCAATCATCAGGCGACAACATGAAACATGAAGTAGCAGCAAACAAGCCTTGTTTGTCCTTGTTGTTCTGTATTATATTCTGCTATACGTGAAACGTACAGAAATCAAGTAGAGAGCAGGTGTCTGGGTTAGAGTCTACGGCTTCGCGTGTTTTGGCTCCAGATTTCTACGCGGAGATGAGGTTCTCTACGTTGTGGCACACGCAGAGAAAATGCGTACGGATTTGCTGGGTATCGATCAGCTGCATGCAGAAAACTGCCAAATATGGAAGGGGAAATTCCCAGTACACATTCCACGTGACTTCTCTACGTGAAGCGTAGAGCAGAACAGGATTTCTTTACGTTACGGGAATGCGAAGAGAGTTCGCGTGATTCTTTGCGTTGCGTTCCCGAAACGTAGAGCAGAACCTCCCTACTGCTGTTCTGTGTGTGTGCTGGTGTATGCGTGCGTGTGGGTGCGTGCGCGTGTGTGCGCGTGCACGTCTGAAACGAGTTTGTAGATGTAGTAGTAGTAGTAGTAGTAGTATTTTGATATACATTATGTACTCACCGACTTCGGCAGTCATAGCTTCTTGCACTGGTCCAAGCACCGTTAATGTGGTCGAGTGTCGCGGCGCTACTTCTGGCACAGTGCTGCGGCGGTGACCATGGTGACCGGCACTAGCACTAACAGTCTGCTGTTGATCCCGCCAACCGGACCGCTGCTTGAGCGGGTTCTCGCCGCCGTTGTAAAGATAGTTGTGATCGTGACGTACGGCCGCTTTCCTGCTGCGGGCCTCTAACCTGGCCTCCTCTTCTGTCGCAACCTTGTCCATGGTTTCAGGCGAATCTTGTGATAATTCGAGTAAGGGCAGCGCTGCCTCACTAGTAGCTGCAGTACTTGTTTTAGCCGCTGTTGTTCTCTGTTTCTTGGCCAATGAGGAGCGAGTACAGGACTTGGCCCTATGCATGGCGCGCTGCGACCGCGGTTTTCGAGGATGATCCGATGCGTTGAGTTTTTGATTCGGAATGTAATCCTCGTTTGCAGGATCCGTGGATGGTCGGCCAGAGCTGAAGTGATCGCCACAAACTCGATCACCAGACTTTGGTGCCCATGGCTCACCATTAGCCAGCTTACTTCGGTCCAGGGCTTTGATCCATAACTGTCGCCTCGCCAATGTCATGTTGGTCGGTATTCTGAAGAATCCTTTCCCACACTGTTTCGACTGCCGACTCCCGCACCCGGTCACGGAGCATGTTGTGACGGCTGTGCCAAGCAGCATCACCATCAAATCCATCCTCGGACTCGGAGCCTAGATCAGATAGGAAGGATAAGGCTGAGACGTGAGAGAGACAACAACGCGGCTAGGCTAGGCTAGGCTAGCTTCAGTCTAGTCGTAGCCTGTGCACGCTCGCTAGCCAGACGCTGCAGCAGTACGGCAGGACTCAGCACGAGGTAGTACAGAAACTGTCAAGATCCCCGCAGTTTGTCTTCGACAGGACAAGCGGTGAACATCACCTTCAGCTTTTGACAGAAAATGGAGAACGCAACACTACTCACTAGCACTGAATGCAAGGACAGAGAGAGAACATCCGGAGAAGCGCGCTGCAAGAAAATGCGCTTATTTTTTTTGCCTTGACCCCACTCGATCGACTCCCTGTGGTGGTAGTCTAGCCTGGTTGATACATCTACACTACATCTACAACCCAGTGCAGTCCAGTAGTCTGTACGTGTAAGCGCAGACCCCCCCCCCCCCCCCATCCGAGATTTTGCGCTGGAAAACTGTGGAAGGCTTAGTGACGTAACTCTGTAGTCCCGAGAAGTCTACACGTAGATCGATCTACATGATTGTACTGATGTACATGAAGCGAAGGCTAGTTTGTGTGTTTCTGAACATTCAAGCGATGCCAACGCGAATCCCGCGAATTATTATTATTATTATTACATGATTGTAGCCTAGTACAGAACTGACCTCTGTACATCAGTACATAGGCCCCTACTAGCCCTAGGCTAGGGCCCGGCCAAGGCAAGGCCAGGGGCTAGGGGTAGGGCCCTGTAGCCTAGGTAGAGCTAGCTAGACTCAGCTAGAGCTAGAAAAGGCTCGGTGATGATCAGGGAGTTGTCTACAACTCCCTGGTGATGATGTAGCGCAAGCAGTTAGCACTAGGGCCGGGGTGTGCGGATAATGTTCGAAAAGGTGGCAGATTCTGCTCGAAAAGCAGTGAAATTGGCAGAACCATACAAACCTTATGGCGGGCAATTCCTCGAATTCTGCTCCATTTCTTTATCCACATACCAAACATGTATGAAACTTACCAGAAAAAGTACCGAATTCTGCCAATTTTTCTGCAGGCATTATCCGCAAAGGCCTAGTTATAACGTTAGCACCTCACGCACCCCCCCCCCCCCCCCCCCCCCAGTCACCGGCGGTTTTGCTCTTTCCCTACTAGTACTGTAGTTGTAGCATATCCCTACAGGCTACACTCATAATAGTCATATCAGGCTACATGCTACAGTACAGCCTCCTACATACAATCATGTAGATCTACACTTGACTGTACGGAGTACTCCAATCTCCATAGTCGATCTGCACTACTATTGTATTGTATTGTATTTATTTAAAAGGATTCTCCAAAAGCAAATGGATGCTTATCACGGAAGTCTCCCACATAAATATCGCAAGAAAAATGGGGAAATGGGGGAGAGGAGAGTGGAAGATGAAGCATGGGAAGAAGGGAAACAAGTACCTAAATATCGAGGTATAAAAGCAGGAAAGAAATCGACGAGGGAAGAAATCACCTCTGCAGTTAAAGGGGAAGTTAAGGCAAAAATTAAAATTTCACCAGTTGTAGTCTTCGGGGTGCTGAGTCGAATGGTCTTGGTCCGAGAAAGCTGAGATGCTCCCTTCCTACTTGAATCCCAATCGAACTCGCGCACTTCCATCGAAACTGGGTGACTGCGCCCTACTAGATGGGGATTTGTATGCAAAATCTCACTAAAAGCGCCATTTCGTTCTTATAAAAGCACGGATGACCGCGATTGGCCCATATGTTGTAGTCTTTTGGACGCTGAGTCGACTGGTTTTGGTCCGAAAAGGCTGCGATGCAGCGTTCCTCCTTTATTCCCAATCGAACAGGGTTGAACAAGCGGTCACGTGCTCCTGGGTGCCCAAATCACCTGGTCACCACGCCAGCAGGGTACAACTTTGACACCAAGGTTCAACTCGAGTGACAGGACTGCACCCAAAAAAGGTCAAACACGCTAGTAAGTTGTACCCTGCAGGCACGGTGACCAGGTGACTGGTGTACGCAGGAGCACGTGACCCCTTGTTCAACCATGTTCGATTGGGAATAAAGGAGGAACTCTGCATCGCAGCCTTTTCGGACCAAAACCAATCGACTCAGCGTCCAAAAGACTACAACATATGGGCCAATCGCGGTCATCCATACTTTTATAAAAAGGCGACGAGGAGACAACAACTTTATTAATGCGATCAATAGTATAAGCGAAGCGGACATTACAAAATGATGAATGAGAATACATGTATCTAAAATGGTTGTTCCTAATCGATTTTCTTGAGACTATCATCAGGGAAAATCGTCTCACAATAGAGGCTATACGGAGAAACAAACTACGGGAAGAACCCTTCAGCACCTGAACGCACGCGTCAAACAACATGTACCATTGTACCTATTGTCAGATGGAGCCAAAGCCCAGCGACCTGGACGAGGCCGTCCCCGCAAACAGGTGCAAATTGCACAATTACAACAGAACCACACGGTACCGGTTGAACGGACTACAAGTACACAGGTACGTGAGACTGAAGGAAATGGCCAAACACAGGTACGGAGACCAGTAACTAGGAGCATGACTCGTGCGCTGGTAATAGCATCTGCAACCGGACATGGACTGGCAGCGAGCAGTAGCGTGGGATTGTCGCTGGGTGCAGAGGACGGGATGGAAGCGGAGGAGGATGAGGAAGGTGAGAGCAGTGATGAAGAGAGTGAGTTGGACAACCAAGATGAAGATGACCGGACTGAAGGTGAGAGCACAACGAAAGGGTCAGCCATTAAGAAACACCTCTTGTCTAGTAGCCAATGCCGCTCAGTGTATGATGATTCATGCTTCACTGTTTTGTGTTGACTTCAACAATTTTGACTTTGTCTTCAGACTCAGAGCACATCATCTGACTGAGTCGTGTCGTGTCATGATGTATCACGTAATGTGAGCGAAGTGTGAGAAACTGAGCTGTGTTCGAGTCAGCGAAGTGTGAACCACAGAGCTGAGTTAGAGTCTATGGCCTCTTTTACGGGCAAACAGAATACAATTGACAGTGGCATGGCGAATGATTAGAACACAACACCAAAAAATGAAAACAATTGTATGTGTGAAAAAACGCAAAAACGAGAAACAAAAAAAAACAAAAACAAAAAAACACCAAAAACAAAAACAAACAAAAAACTAAAACCAGGAAAATACAAGGGCACTGTCCTGCCCACCATCGTCTCCAAAACCTCACAGCCGGCCCTCCGAGATTGCCAACTCTCGCAATGCATTCACAGGACGGTGATATGACGATCGAGCACCGCGGATGCACATGATCGCCGACCGCAACAATGCAAACGCCAGTCGACACCGGACATATGTCATTGTCTGGGCATACAACTTCGTGTCCCCACTCGAAATGAGGCCACACAGGCGCTTAACAAATCTGGAGCACTCTGGCGCACAACAACCGGCCGTGGTGAAAACTAGTGGAGTAAATGTCCCACGGTCCACATTGATGATGCGCTCAGCATACTGCAGCTTCTTCTTCCTCTCATGCTCCGCCAACAGTTTGTCGAGAGGTTTGGTGGCATAGGACGGAGCATCGGGATGAAAAACCCGGACATCCAGGAAAGCATTCTGTGCCCTGGTCCACAGCCCTCGAGCCCGGATATCAGCGCGAGCATCGTTGGCGGTGATAGTTGAGGCTGCCAGAAACACCTCTCCCGAAACCGGAGCAAGCTGAGGCTCGACAGCGACATCCGAGCAAACTTCAGTAAGTAAATCGGCAAGAATATCGCGAACTTCATTGTGCCGAATGGTGGGGAAACCACCAGTAGGGCAACACATGGCATGGGCCGGACTAAACGGTTGGCCACAAGAGCAGGTAGTAGGCACATCAACCAATGCCCAGTCATACCGCAACGCCACCGCATCCCTGAAATCTCCCTTCGACAGATGATATCCGTGTTCTCTGATAGGCAGTGTGTTGAGCCAGCTAGAGACACCTCGGGAGGACAAATGCTCCAAACGACGCGACATATCCGCCGACGCCGACTGCCGCAGCTGGCGGAACTCAGCCTCACTTGCTGTGCCGCGTTGTCTGGCAAAATCCCTCTTGGCTGTCATAGCATCTTGCCGAACAAGTTCCGGTGCTTGCTTGGTCCATGATGTGTTGTTCTGTTGCAGAATTTCACTAACCTGGGCTGCTGTCATTGCTCTGGAAGCGTCGCGCTCTGTCCCGCTCATGCTGTGAAAGTGTGGAATGGCCATTCCCCCGAAACGAGTCGGCAGCCTGAGCATCACCAAATCCTCCGTGGTGAATGCATCTCGACCAGTTGCAGCCGGCAAGAACTCACTGTTTTGTGTCGTGCTCGTAGGTTTCGTGAACTTAAGGTATTAGAAGCTGTTTTCATCCGTAAACACAATCCTAATCTATGCATTCAGAAAGAAAATGTCACAAAACTGAGACTCTTCACCTAGCATTCACACACGTATTCATTCGCATACACCTACACCTCACAGTTCCTCACTCTATCACATTCACCTGCTTCCACGCCTTCATTTCACTCACCTTTTGTAGTAGCTCACACCGTCAGAACACTCTCACATCTTTTCTTCTAATTTCTTTCGTCTTCTCTCCCACTTTAGTTTTTTTTCACACCTCACCTTGTATACTTCCCACTATCCGATAACCTATAAGTAGTTTGTTTCTCCGTATAGCCTCTATTGTGAGACGATTTTCCCTGATGATAGTCTCAAGAAAATCGATTAGGAACAACCATTTTAGATACATGTATTCTCATTCATCATTTTGTAATGTCCGCTTCGCTTATACTATTGATCGCATTAATACTTTTATAAGAACGAAATGGCGCTTTTAGTGACATTTTGCATACAAATCCCCATCTAGTAGGGCGCAGTCACCCAGTTTCGGTGGAAGTGCGCGAGTTCGATTGGGATTCAAGTAGGAAGGGAGCGTCTCAGCTTCCTCGGACCACGACCATTCGACTCAGCACCCCGAAGACTACAACTGCATGGTGAAATTTTAATTTTTGCCTTAACTTCCCCTTTAATAGCGGGACATTTAGATGAAAAAAAAACCAGCAAGGATTAATTTCAAGGAAAAAAAATTTCTCAAACGGAAAAGTTCGGAATCCCTACTCACAGTGCAATGTCATCAGTGTACCAGGTGTACATGGCAGTCTAGTCCAGACTACAGCGCAGCTGAGTCTCGCAGGCGACCGACCTACAAAGTACAATGTAAGGGGTAAGTAATTAGTTATAAGTCCTCCACAAGCTACGTACCCAAATCCTTTTATCGGAAAGAACAAGAAAGTGGAATAGCAA